AACGTCATCGTGACCTTCGAAAATAGCCCCGTCCATTGCCTCGTAAGTGCACCCTTCATGCCGATTTTGGTGCAACCACTTGACAACTTCCAGATGATCTGCTCCAGCCGTCGCATCCAGGGCCTCCCCCGCGATCATGCAGCCACATGATAACATCAAGCCTTCCAGCAGCCGCGGCCCGGTTCACACAATCGAGGTGAATGCGACCGAGCCGCTGGAATAACACTTTAATATTCCTCATCCGCCCCGCCCCACACGCCTCTACCAACGCATCGTCAACCACGGGCGCATCAGTATGGGCCAATACCCAAGCCAAAAACCTCGATTCTCTACGACGAGCCGCGGCCGTCACCAGTCCGACGCCCGAGCCGACAATGCCGATACCGTGTAACCATTCAATTGTTTGAAGCTCCCCAGAGCGCACAGCAACGTTCAACATCCGTTCCCCCCAACATACGAGCCGGCCGTCCTCATGCAGGCGCTGTAAAAAGCCAATGTGACCTTGCCAAACCGCTTTCAATGCCCCATCGCGAATACACACACCATGAAAGGTATCGACAAGAAGGTTTGCCAAATCCAATTGATCATCGACTATCGCGCTACTAAGCGCGACATTAAAGTCTCGAAAGCGCCGCAGCTGGCTAGCCTTATCTACCGGCGTGTGCATCGCGACACGCTCCACCAGTTCTCTCGATCGAAGCTGCACAGCCTTCGCCAACGAAGCCGTCCTCAGAAAGGGGTAAGTTTCAATAATAGCCGCCGCAAAACTACCATGGCTGGATAGTTCCGTGCGGCCAACAACCGACAACACACTTTGCATCGGGTCCATAATTGCAGCGGAAGTATAAATGAAGGGTTTACATGCCGGTTGCTATCCTAGCTCGACACAGACGAAGTTTCGCTAAGAATTTTGCTAAGAAATGCGCGCGCCACCCAAAGAATTTTTCCCGACCTGTTCTCCTTTATATAAAGCCCCTCTTGCGCTCACGCTTGCATTACAGTACCCAAAAATCTTTTGGGCTGTGTTATCTCCGAAATCTATTGCGAAGGCTCGGGTAGGAGGGTTTTACACAAACATTTTTATATCAGTACATTCATAGTACTGATAACTAAGTACACATATTCATCGATGGCGTACGAAAATGCATTATTCTCAGGAAGTTGAGAAGAGTTCTGAAACAACTGGACTTGGCGCGGCCCATCAAAACTTCTCCTACGATTCGTCTCACTTTTCAGTTCGTGCTCGATTGCTGCAGTGGCCACCACCCTCCGCGGGCTCATATTCGCCACTGCGGCACCGAGCGCGCTGTTGCTATCTTACCGAGCTTACTTGTGTCAGCGCACTGATAGGTCGCGGTGACGCGTCGCGGCATCCCACGATTCCTCCGCGCGGCGCGCCACGACTCCCTTGGATCGAAGCGCCCGAGGGCGAATACCGTATTGGAGGCCGAGCAGCCCCGAGCCGTTGATTGTTGGAGGGCGGTTGGCGAGAGGGCGGCCCCAAAGGCTCCCGAGCTCAAAACCTTCGCTCCCAGCTTTCGGAGCTAGTCCGAGTGCCCCTATCGACACAAACGTGTAGGTTCGGGCACCAATGCCTTTAGTTACATCTAGACTTCGTGCACGGCCAGCGTTGGCATAGATTATATGACACCGCGTTCAAGATCACATTGTCAACATAGGTAGAACAGGAGGCCTATGTAATGTACGGTAATACACCAATGCAAATGTTCTTGTGAGCCGGAATTAGCATGTACCATACGTAGTTTCTTACACAAGCGATCGGATACCGATACATACGCACCTTACCTTAGCTTTTACGAATTTAATGGTGCAATACGTTAGAGATTTGGGTTTTCAATGAAAAATATTAGATTTATAAGACCCTTACACGTGAATTTTGTATTGGCTCGATACCTACTTTTTCTGTGGCCACATATTTGAGGCCCCGAATTAATCCCTATTGGGCTTCTCGTACTACACAGTAGCACTACCAGGATTAAATATCACCTAGCCCTATTATCAAACGTGCGTACAAACCGAGGCGCACCAAACCTTTTATGCAGGTTTTGGAAGACGCCCACTGACCAATCAAAGTTGGCAGACCTCCCTTATACTGGCACCTGCCGGGTTGTGTCGGATTAGCTATATTTCGGCACTCTTGTTTTGTTTATTTCGGCACAGTGCCAGTTTAAGGAAATAAAGTATGCACTTTACTACAATTTCTCTAGCATATCGAACTGTTTAGCCTGGAAGATGCCTTCAAGGGCTAGAGAAGTCAACGAAGTGCGCCGGTCGTTCAGTTCACACTTCAATACGGAAAAATCGGATTCGACGGACGCCGTATTCGCGAATATGGTTGCCAATCCGCAGCAGAACTGGCGGAGATGTGAAAATGTCTTTGGAGCAGCAGCGTTTTGCACTGAATCACAGGCGTCGTTGAAGCTGGTGTCATACGATTCTTCCTACAGGGCTATGCGAACCATCTCATCAAGCAGATTGGCTTGACACAGCTCTCGATGCTCCCGTTCAACGGCTTCAATTTTTGCCTCACTCCAAAACAAAGCCAATTGATCGCGGCGAGGATTCAAAATATCTTCTGCAAACTGGCGAGGAGGGACTGTGACAAGCTCAGCTGGCATTACTGGCGGAGCCGGAGATTGAGGCAGCGTCATTGTTGCTGTCTCGCTCAGCTTGTACATGCTCCATACCTTCAATTAGATGCAGTACAAACTTGCCAAGCTGCCTCAGAATCGAATTTTTGTCGGCATCTGCAACACTATTCATGTGATTCTTGACGAACGTCCCCTGGTCTTGAATAAACTCGAGCAAGTGTTGCTCTTTGAGCCAGTACTTCGTAGAAATCGTGTCATTAGCGCTAGATTGGAATTCAGAGCTAGGCACGCGTTCAACTCGTAGCAGTTTGCGAAGGCGATCTACAAGGAGCTCAATCTCTGCCATTTGCTGCGAGAGCAGGACATCCTTCCCCTGTATCTTGACAAACGTGACGTTCACCACCACCGTTATCCCACAAATAACAGCTGCATTGACCCACCATAATGGCGTTGGTGCCGCAGACACGTTTTCATCAAGGTGTTCTTCGAGGCGAAAATGGTTTTTTAATATCCACTGCAATGCGTTTCCCATGTACAGCCACCGATTAGTTATTTTTTTGGCGGCACCTCCCATTTCAGTATTCAGCATTTTTTGGCGGCGAAGGTGAACAATTAAATCCTTTGTATTCTTCACAAAGTCTCCATTCCCAACAATTGCAAAACCGGCTTTTATGACCAGGTCCATCTGATGAGCAGCACACCACACTCTCAACACCGAGTGGGTGGCCTCTTTCTCTAAAAGAGTGACCATCCCACCATGACGGCCTGTCATTGTGTTCTATCCATCCGATGAAATACCAACCAACTTCTGTCTCCAGTTAACGAGCAAAATATCGAGTACTCGAACAATCAGTTGAACTTGGGCCACAGCAGTGTGGCGGTCAAACATAGGGACCGCGAGCAAGTGTAGGTTGACTAGCATGCCGTTGACGGCAACACGAACACGCTGATCCAAGAAAGAGCGATCGGTGTGAGTTGTGATGTCGCAAGCAAATGCAAACCCCCACATATTTGGGTCTGCGATGAGGTTGCTGATGCGTTGAAACGAATAGGCAACTAGAATACGAGCATAAGTGCCTGTCATAGCGTCGGTCATACCGTAAAGCTTCGAGTTCCCTGTGGCATTGTGGTGCTGCTGAATTACTGCTGCCGTCTGCCGAAAAGACAACCCAACCGAGAGATGTTTGACCGAAAGAGTAAACCGCAGAGGCGTCTTAATTTCCACTTGGTAGACCCCATCCACTACCGAGCCGAAAGCACGAAGAGCCCTCGCAACAGTCATATCATCATCTTCATCTTCAGCATTGAAAAATACCTTTCCAATCACTTCAGTCACAATCAACTCTGGAAAAGAAAACCGCAACACAGCACTCTCTGTGTCAAAATGAGCTACAAATTGGTTGCTTCGAGAAGTGAGATCAGCAAAAAATACAGCCCCCGAGACTTGTGTATTCTCCCCACTTAGCTGAGTGCGCGGAAGTATTGTGCTCGACATAGTTCTGGAGTCGGAAAGGAGCCTTATAGTACTTGATATTTTGAGTACGCTTTCGTTTGCTCTTGGGTGCTTCCTCTCTACCAAAGTATCGGCAAAACAGGCAGCGGACCGAGCAAGCCGCTCCCCCAGCGTCACATGCTACGACCTCGAGTCCGTACTGCAGCTTGTGAGCGTCTTGGAACGGGGTTTTACGCGAGGGGGGCTTCTTAGAGACGCTTGGCTTTAGCTTCTCCATCATTCACTGCTTGAATTCTGCGATTTGGGGGCTTCTAGTGTCCCTGTGGGTAAGACCCACGAAGATCAAGCGTTCCACTGAGGGTTCGAGTCTCGCCCGGAGCGATTCCGATACAAAAAGCCACGTAAGTCTATTTCCGGCCCCGACTACCTCCATCACTACATCCCCTGGAACCCCCTAAGTCACCCCCCTAATGGAAATCCCGATTAACCTCTGCAACCGCATCCCCTCAAACCGCCGACCTCAGGAAGGGAAACCGATCAACTAGGAATAGTTTAGGGTAACTCACTTAGACGTCAAAGTGCCAGCTTCCAGCAGGCTCCGACCAGGTCAAGTACCTGGGGCCTTCTCCCAGAATTCTGCGATTTTGAACGGTCGCTTATTTCGGCACTCGAAAAACTTTAAATATGCACATCGCCATACTTAAACGTATATAAACTTCAAGTGCCGGAATAAAGCTCCCACCCAAAATAAAAGCTGACAACTTTGGATGCGGATTAGACAACTAAAAGGTGTAGTAATTCAACAATTTATTAGTTTATCCATGGTGCTTGTCCATCTCTTTCTAGAAGCAGCCCCGCGTCCTCATTCATATGCAAACCTCCCTGCTCGCCCTTCCTCTCCACTAGAGCATCGCCGTCTGACCGTCAATCATCGGTCACCTCGAAACCAGTCCAAAATCTACTCGTCTTGCGTCTCCGCTTCCTCTGCCGCGCTTCTTCATGTAGTCACTGAACGCCATCGAGCCCAGAAGCAGCGCCACCACCGCCGTCTGCCCGTAGATGCGCGTGTGCATGATCTGCTGCGAGCGCTGGATCGACGTGTTCAAGCTCTGGTACGCGAAGATGCCGCCCACGAGTGGCACGCCCACCGTCGTGCTGGCGACGGTGGGCTGAAGGTGTACCAGTGTGCTGGTACACCGTCGTGCTGGTACACCTTCAGCGAGCTCTGCTTGGGCACCCGCAGCTCGACAAAGTTGGGGTCGATGGAGGCCAGGTACATCTGCGGGTTGCGAGCGCCTGCCAGCATGCGGTTCTCTGACACGAAGGAGAAGACGGCCATGACTGGCGTCAGGGCCAACGCCGTCTTGCCACTCACACCGAGTCGGGCGCGGAACGCAGGCCAGTACTTGTTCGCCGACAGCACCACCGCGCCAGCAACCACTCCGGTCATGGACCCCGCCTTGATACCGGACATGTAGGCGTGCCACGTGATGACATCGCGCGTCGACTTGGGAGCCATCACCGAGTTGGAGGACGGAGCTACGTGCTGCATCGTGGTCGCGCTAGTCTTCATCCGAACGGCCTCGTGTTTCATCCAAATCTTACCCACCCGACCGTGTTCATTATTAATAATCCATGATAATCCAGCAGCTGCCGATCAAGGGGTGACTACGTGAATATACCCCCTGCCCCTCATTCCGAAGTAAACATAAGGTAAGGTGCCAGTTGCGTGCCTACAACCAGTTCCGTGCCTACTTGTTTTAGCCAATTAGCATCTTCTCCTTGTTAAACTCTCGTAGACTATTGGTAGATTTTTCCAGCGTCACATGCAATTTCCGGTGATGAGCCTCCTAGGATTTGCATAGCATACAAAAATGCTATCAAAAAGAGGCAGGAAACTGGCAGCTCACTCCAAATCAACAAGCTTTTCAAAACAATAACAAGAAGTTCTGCAAAATTTACACGGACTAGCGTGAAGTACATAAATTCAGCCCAATCGCGCAGATTTAGTGGGTGCAATCAGATTTCAGAATGGACAATTCAATGAAAAGTTATGCCACAGCAAGTCCGCAAGTTCGAAGGACGGCACGAAACTGGCAGAAGACCTTATTATAAAATTTGACGGCAAGACAGCGACCAAGCAAGAGACTAAAACCGGCGGGCTAGTGACCGACTCAGCAGGCAGCAGACCCAAACCCATCGAAAGTCCAGGCACCCCCCCCCCCCAACAAGACTAGCGCGACCACGATGCAGCACGTAGCTCCGTCCTCCAACTCGGTGATGGCTCCCAAGTCGACGCATCACGTGGCACGCCTACATGTCCGGTATCAAGGCGGGGTCCATGACCGGAGTGGTTGCTGGCGCGGTGGTGCTGTCGGCGAACAAGTACTGGCCTGCGTTCCGCGCCCGACTCGGTGTGAGTGGCAAGACGGCGTTGGCCCTGACGCCAGTCATGGCCGTCTTCTCCTTCGTGTCAGAGAACCGCATGCTGGCAGGCGCTCGCAACCCGCAGATGTACCTGGCCTCCATCGACCCCAACTTTGTCGAGCTGCGGGTGCCCAAGCAGAGCTCGCTGAAGGTGTACCAGCACGACGGTGTACCAGCACGCTGGTACACCTTCAGCCCACCGTCGCCAGCACGACGGTGGGCGTGCCACTCGTGGGCGGCATCTTCGCGTACCAGAGCTTGAACACGTCGATCCAGCGCTCGCAGCAGATCATGCACACGCGCATCTACGGGCAGACGGCGGTGGTGGCGCTGCTTCTGGGCTCGATGGCGTTCAGTGACTACATGAAGAAGCGCGGCAGAGGAAGCGGAGACGCAAGACGAGTAGATTTTGGACTGGTTTCGAGGTGACCGATGATTGACGGTCAGACGGCGATGCTCTAGTGGAGAGGAAGGGCGAGCAGGGAGGTTTGCATATGAATGAGGACGCGGGGCTGCTTCTAGAAAGAGATGGACAAGCACCATGGATAAACTAATAAATTGTTGAACTACTAGTCTGCTGAGCTTTACACTGCTGGATACTCCACGCAGCTTGTTTACGTTGTCCTGATGCTGATGTGGCACAGTTGATGCAAGCTTGCGTGGATTGCAACACAAGTTTACTCCTTGGCCTCTTGGTATCACCCCAGCGAGATGTTTAGAGGGTTTTGGCCAGTTTAGTGGAATTGACCAGTTTAGTAGAACCAGTAATATTGCAGAAATATTGAAATACGTGCTTTGGTTGGCTATAAAACTCTTACCACGCGTTTCCATATGGTAGTTCGATACAAAGACCAGTATTATTCCGCTCTACTAAACTGATCGCAGCATACTGTAGGTATGTTTTCTTTGGCGCGCTACAATAGCACTTTCATAGCTGCTAACTGTGTCTGGATTGGTGCACATGTTAGAGCAAATCTAGGGCTTTCATTGTGTACACGTTTTATCTCCTAAAGATTAGTAGTTTTCAAGAAAATGCTTTTCAAAGTCAAAAATTCAGTTTGCTCTACTAAACTGGCCAATCCCCTTACTATCATACGGTCGTCCTCAATACATGTTGTACGTCCCAAAAACACTTATGATGTTTTGCCAGTGTAAGAGAATGCAAGGTTGTGTTGATTCTATACATGGCGATGATAACCCGGGGACTACGTACTTGTTGGCACCAATGCCTACGCAGCTCGGAATAGGAATCTATCGTGAAACGAACGAAAAACTATCTTGGTATAGTTTTTTTGGTAACTTGGACGCTTTCTGCGGCATTTAGCAGTCGGCGACTTATCGGCACTCCTCTGACAACTCATCTGTCGGAGGTAGCGCTAGTAGCACGAGCAACTATGCCTGATGCATGGTGCAGACCAAAGCGTGCGTATCTTGTAGTGTTTGCTGCCTGGCAGGTGAGTTAGAAGGTCAGTTTTCGGGTCGATGTGCCCCGGCTAATGAACTCGTTTCAGGTTTTCGCACCTTATTTTCCACAGGCATCTGCTGCTGTCGCCCCCAACGAACTGTTAGGCACTTGCTTTGACGAAGCGTGGGCAGCATCGATTTCAGCAAATCTGTCCATTTCAGCTAACGATCGCGATTCGACGGGCACTCTGATCAATCCGTATCTCCATGGGGCCCTCAGCACTCCACGCTTCCGTGTGAACGATGCCCGCACAGCCCGCGCACGTGATGAACTGTTCCAGTCAGATTGCATGCCCTCGGATGCGGTTTTCTATGGCGTTGGTGTACGTGTCGACAGCGATGGTAATGTGATCGACCCAGGACGTGTTAACGGTTCACTTGTACTGGAGATCGACACCTGGAGCTCGCATGCACTCTCCTCAACAGTGTTGGCTATTCTAGCGCAAGAATTGGTACGTGAATGTGGCCCAATGTTTCGCTTCATTTATCGCTAAAACAACTTCATTGATGTCGTATGGTACAGTTAGGGTACGAGGTATCCTTCTTCAAAGCCTCTGGGTCAGCGGATATGACACAGCGGATGTCTTCCGTCAGAACGGGAACTTGCTCGCCCACACACGCCAATATCGAGGTATGGATGGACGCGGCAACAGTTCGCGCGCTCGCTGTATATTCCAACGAATCCTCCTTCGTTGGAAGCGTGGGGTATGACGGACTCTCAGGACTTTTCACAAGCACTACGCTCATTGAGACTGGGCTGGCTGCATCACCTTCGTTCAGCGCAGACTTTTGGAGAGACTATCGGGACAAGGATGCTCTAATTCATGAGCTACGCGCGTCGGTGCTCTTCGACAACACCGATCACTATCCCCCAAAAGAGTCTGGGTGTGCTGACGGCGTACTCGGCTGTAAAGACTCGTGCTCCAGATCTGAGGCTTGTACAACAAGGGAGTTGCAGGGTGGTGAGTGCCTTGTGGTCATCATGATGGACGCGTCTTACGATAGTGGTTATTTGCAGGCCTCGATGTCCAACAACGGTATTCCAGCTTACTTTTGCTTCCTTGGAATAACTGGGGCCGTAAAATACGTGGCTGAAGCGCTGGCGAAAAAGACGCCTGTAGCGTTCTACAACTATCAGCCGAACGAGTTTTTCCAGCATCATGTGGGTGAGATCGAGCGAGTATCGCTACCGTGGGCTACACCGGAGCTAACAGCAGTGGATACGGGGGATTTCGGAGAAAATGGCTATGGGCATGCCACCAACAATCCCGTCCGGGTTGACTTCCCGCACCTACTCCTTGGGAAGTATTACGCGAACCTCTTATCGTCAAATGAAGGGGGGATGGCAAGCCTTATGAATACCTTCATGCTGTCAGAGAAAGACATGGACAACCTGCTTAGTGCCTACGACAAACTACACAACGCTGGCGTTCTATCCGAGACCGAAGCCAGCTTTGCAGCAGCCTGTAGTTGGCTACGCGCGCCGGAGAACTATGCTACTTGGAGTGGCTGGTTGAATCCTCTACCCTCGTGCGAATACGATGTTCACTACAGCTACACCATTGAGGGGTGCGACTCCACCTCGAATGGCACCGACACTTTTCCTCGTCGTATGAAATTCTACTGGCGATCCCCACGGCCGGAAAATGCGTCACTACCTTACAATTGTGACCCGTTCCACTTGCCGAACTCGCGGTTGCCTAGCACATTGAGCACCAGCCGCTCATGCTCCTGGCTGTCTCAAAACTCCAACACTTGGCTCGTGTGGGCGACTCTGGGAACACAGCCCACTTGTGACACTAGTTTCTACACTTACGACGTCTCTGAGTGCACCAACTCGGGTCAGCGCGAGGTGACGTACCGCTGGTATCTTCCCAGCACCACGAATGCGTCGTTCTCGAGCGAGTGTAGCGACGGAATGACTCTCCCTGACTCGGTTTTGATCGACTGTGAGTACGTGCCGTACTCCACCACAGCATCGCAAGCGGTTTTTGTGATAGCTTGCTTGTCTGCATGTATCATGCTCGGAGGTATCGTCTTCGTGGTGTACGAGCGGGAAAAGCCCATCGTCAAGCGATCGCAGTACCAGTTCCTCGTGACGATGCTACTTGGTGGTCTACTGATGTGCGTCGCCACAATTTTCTACAGTGGACCCCCCTCGCGGGTAGTTTGTGCTTTGCGTCCAACGCTCGTATCGTGGTCCTTCACGCTGATCTTCGGTTCGTTGGTGGTGAAATCCATGCGCGTCTACCGAGTTTTTCTATCAAGTACCATGAAGCGCGTCGTGCTGTCTGCTGGGACCATGATGAAGGTCTTGGCTGGCTTCCTGATGGTAGACATCATTATCGTGGTGAGTTGGGAGCTGGTATCGCCATCTGAAGCGGTCATCAAAGCCGAAAGCGATGCCGAGATCGGTGGACTCACAGTGGACCGCCTCCGCTGCGCCTCCGGCAGCTCTGTCTTCGTTGGGCTGCTGTTCTTCTGGAAGGCGGTCATGCTTTTCGGCGGGCTGTATTTATCCATCCTCATCCGCAAAGTCTCGTCCGACTTCCAGGAGTCCGTGTGGATCTTTGCATCCTCCTGTGTGGTGCTCTTCTCGAGCCTGTTGCTGCTCCCGATGGGGTACTTCGTGACGCTGTCTGCAGCGGCCTTCTTCCTCTTCTTCTCCTTCATCGTGCTGAGCGCCACGATGCTCGTGATCGGGCTCATGCTGGTGCCCAAAATCGTCCGTCTGCACGACTTGGCCACGAGTGCTGCTAGCGAGATGGCGAGCGTCAAGACAACGAGGGAGAAGCCCAACTCGATGTCCGTCTCTGAGGCCCAAGTGGCGCCGCTGCCGACTCGCTCGGGAACCAGCGCCGGCAGCAAGAACAGCAAGAGCCGAATGAGCAGCAAGAGCAGTCGCAGCGGCAAGAGCAGCAGGAGCGGGAAGAGCGGCAAGCCGGATCTCGTGCGGGTCGCGGTCCGGGTCTCGACGTCTGCCCGCAAGTTGTCGGCCAAAGTGGGCGCCCTGAATGCCACACCGGTCATGGCGTTCACCTCCGCTAGCCCCAAGTCGCCCTGGAGGTGGAAGCGAGGCAAAGACACGACCACTGAACGAACCTTCGACAACCGGAGGCCCATAGAGGAGTAAACGCGATAGAGTAGAGCAACCTTCGACCACGTTGAAGTGGCCATTACGATCAGCGAAATATGTAGCCATTTATGAAATGATTATGCCATTCGCGACACGACCAATCACAGCTCAGCGTAGCTCTCCGACGTCGGGCCCAGTGCGTCATTCATCCATCACTTGTCTGCAGTGCTCGACGCTCGCGCCCCTCGCCTCGATGAGACTTCCCAGCGGATTCTTCGCCTCAGCTGCACATCGCGGAGCTGCCGCTCGCAGGTGCAATCACTTTGCATGCGTTTGTTTATTGGCTGGAGGTCGGTCGGTCCATTGACACCGCCGTGTGGTTTGTTTCGTTGTTGTCGCTCTGAAGCTTCGCGCTGGCTCGACGCAGCAAGAGCACGCTGTCGTACCGAGTGTTCGAGGACGCCAGCAGCGGCAAGACGCCCACGAAGACGGCGCTGGTGATGCACGGTATTCTCGGTGAGTAGAAGGGCGTGAGGGCCGTCGTGTAGGAGAGCCTGGAATGACCGCTGACGGTTGTCTCTTGTGTGACGGTATTGATGTAGGGAACAAGCTCAACTGGCGCACGTTCTCCCAGAAGTAGGGCGTTATAAGGGGCTTGGAACGTGTGGCAAGAACTTCCAGCTGACGGTTTGTGTGTGCGGCATTGCTGCAGACTGACGAAGGTGAACCCTGATTGGCGGTTCATCTGCCTGGACCTCCGCGGTGAGTCGGCTTGTGGAGCTTAAAGTTCGTGTTGGAGGAGGCATATGTCGGCTGACGAGGTTGTGCACTTTAGGTCATGGCGACTCACCATCGTTCTCGGAGCCGCACAACCTGGAGGCGTGTGCCAACGACGTCCTGTACGTTCTGAGACCTTGCTGCGTGCTGTTAGCTGCTACTTTAGCTCTGTTTCTGACTTTTGCACCTACAGCAAGCTCGCCGATCATTTGAAGGTTGAGCCGACGGCTGTGCTGGGACACTCGTTCGGTGGCAAGGTGGCGCTGACGTACCTGCAGCAATGCATGCACCAAGACCGCGCACCGCCCAGTCAGGTCTGGGTTTTGGACTCGCTCCCCGGAACAGGTAACACCTTGAGCTCGAGATTGGATAATACTCTGATGATATCTAACCTTGTATTGACCTCTCGTTCTCAATTAGGTGAGACGGACTACGCAAGCCGGGACCTGACGAACTCGATCGAGACGATCTTGCCGGTTGTGAAGAAAATCCCTTTGCCGATCCGTTCAAAGGTGCAACTGGTGAAGGACCTGCAGGACCAAGGCGTTGCGTTGGGTGAAGCTCAATGGCTCACCACCAACTTGCGTCTGGCCAACAAGAGCCCGGAACTCTACGAGTGGAAGATGGACGTCGATGTGATCGAGCAGCTCTTCCGCTCTTTCCTGGCCACGGACCTTTGGCCAGTGGTGGAGAACGCGCCTGCGACGGAGGGCAAGGACGTGGAGCTCCACTTTGTGCACGCCTCGAAGAACAACATGTGGACCCCGGACCTGCTCGACCGACTGGACGCCCAGCAGGAAAACCAGGTCTACCACCACTTGCTGGAGAAGTCTGGCCACTGGGTGCACATCGACAACCCGGTGGGTCTCATGCAGATCATCCAGACATACATGCTTCAGTAGAGATGCATCAAGTGAGGGAAGATGCGCTTACTGGACTTGCTTGTGGCTAAAGTTTTCGGTAAATACAGGCACGTGAGATCTTTACCAGTGATTGTGGACTGCTCGTTAACCGTTAGCCTTTCGCGGGCGTTAAAAGGTCGTACGCGTCTCTCAGGGATGACTGGTTGACAAAGTTGCTCTGGCGTTTTATTGTGGACAATGGACTACTCAGTCTTGAATTTACTTGTGAAGCACTAGGTTGGTCAGCTCGCGACTGCCGAATGGCGATGGGTCTCTTCAAGTTTCGAGGGGTGCTGCTGCTACTGGGAATTGCATTGCTTCTCGAGGCTGTTCGCTCGGTCCAAGAAATTACTTTGGAAGCCACTGCACTCTACGATACGCAAGGCGCATGTGCCGACACGTCTGTTGCGCCTGTGTTAGTGACGGCAATTCAGTCGTATGGCTGCGTGGAGAGCGCCAATCGGAGACGCCGGAAGGAATCTCGTTGTTTTCTGGTACGGTTTGCTCGACTACAGATGGCACCGGCGATAGCAAGTTCGCCAAGATAACGCTACCGTACTTGTTTGGTGCAAGCCCGTACGTGGTCTTGGAGTTCTACGAAGCTGCGACCCGACGAAGCTGTTTATAATCACAGCGTACCTGGCGGACGGCAAGTGCCACAAGACAGATACGGAGAGTAGCTACCGAGCCACGCGCTCGGCCGACGGCTCGGCGACGGTGCAGTGGTACTCGGACGCGACGTGCACGACAGCCGACACGCTGTTGACTGTGACGGCAGCACAGGCAACGAACAACGCTTGTGACGGAACGGTGAATGGCATTACAGATATGAAGGTGTATGGTGCAGGATCGACTCCGCTGTACTTGACTTCGACGGTGAGCTACGAATCCAATGCCAACTCGTGCAAGTCGGGTCTGCCATCTTTTGTGACAACAGTGATAACTACGGTGGAATGTACGGAATCTACAGCATGCACTGGGAGCGCTGCACCGTTTACTGGCGTATCGTGCAGTACGACGCTGACATACAGAGATAACGTGGCTGCTGTATTCGGGTCGAGTCCAAACTTAATTGTGGAGGAGTACGCAGCTGGGCAAAGTTGCGATGCGACGGAATTGACTGGTATCACGACGTATCTGGCCGACGGCAAGTGCCACAAGACGGGAAACACGGAAAGTTATATGGCAACACGGTCCGCGGATGGATCAGCTGTGGTTACGACGTACGGGAACTCGGCATCATGTGCCACAAGTGGTGCCAAATTGATCGTCACTGCTGTGCAGGCCACGGGCAACTCATGTGCTACGGATGGAGATGGCATCGTTGACACGAAGGTGTACGGGGCAGGAAGAACTGCAGGGACCCCACTGCACTTGATGTCTATAGCAGTCTATGACTCAAATGCTAACGCATGCAAGTCTGACCTGCTACTGCTTGTGGAATCAGTGGTAACCACAATGGACGCATGTACGGAAACTTCAGATTGTACCGAGAGCTCGTCATTGTTTACTGGCGTGTCGTGCAGTACGACGCTGACATACAAAAACGACATGGCTACTGCATTCTGGCCGAAGCAATACGTAATTGTGGAGAAGTACAATGATGGGAAAAGTTGCAATCCAGAAGAGTTAGTGAGCATCACGACCTACCGGGCGGACACCATCTGCCACCAGACGAGCTCGACTGCAAGTCATAGAGTGACGAGGTCAAACAGCGATCTCTCAGCAATTATTCAAGTGTTCACCGATTCGCCATCGTGCACGACGACTGGGACAGCACTCGCTCTGACCCGGGATATGATAGTGGACAACCAATGTTTCGATGGAGCAGACATTGGAGACATTAAAGTGTACAGCAGTTGGACATCTAAGCGGCATTTGGCGATGACAATGATATACGATTCGCGACTAAATGGCTGCAACTCACCCGCGGTGCCGTCGCAACAAGTGACTGAAATGGTGGGCGAGGACACTTGCATCACGTCAGAGTCTTGCATCGGTGAATCCTGCCCATACACTCGTACGATTTGCAGTGAGCCTACCAGTTACCGGAAGAACCGTGACGCCTTGTTCGGCTCGATTCCGTACGTGACCGTGGCGAGTTATGCTGCTGGGACGAGTTGTGCTGAAGACCTCTCGATCAATCGAACCTACATTGCGGACACCAAGTGCCATCGATCAAGCCTTACCAGCAGCTTCAGGGCGATACGCAAGGCTGATGGCTCCGCAACAATTATGACGTATGCCAACTCTACAGGTTGTGAAGACTCTAGTTGCCACGGCAGACCAGGCCTCCGGGAACTCATGCGCAAAGGGGCCTTCTGGATTTGGTGACAAGAAAGTGTTCGGTAGCGGGGCGACTCCGCTGTTCTTGACGGTGACTTCAATTCACGATTCAACCGCGCACGACTGCAAGTCGCCGGCGACTACGCATAGCGTAGACTCGTGCGTTCCGTCGGTCGGCTGTCAATACGCTGGATACGCGCCCAGCAGAACCGTGTGCAGCTCAACACACACGTACCCGACCGACGTCGCTGTCGCGTTCGAGGGGACTCCAGTCGTGACTGTCGAGCGGTACATTGCTGGAAAGGGGTGCTCGGAATCAGCACTGTCGAGCGTCACGACAAACGCGATCGGATGCCACACCACGAGCGCGACAACATGTTTCAGGGCCAACGTACGATCGGGTAGGTCAGCTACGATCGAGATGTTCCCAGACTCGTCGACCTGTGACACAATGGGGTGCACCCTGTCCGTGACTCGCGCCCAAGGTATTGGCAAGAGTGCGTCGCCTCCGAACTCGCTGACATCAAAGTCCTCACAGTATACTAGTGAGCGGCATTGGGAACACCACGTTGGAGTGATCATCACTAGTCGGTATCCGTAACTAATATTTATAGCTACCGATTTCCCACTTGAGCTTTGTATGCCGACTATCAAAAGATCGTGAAACGACGCCAATCACTCAAGCGATCGTAGCTCCTCGATCTTCGATGACCTTGCTGCTCCCTCTCCTCCTCCTCCTGCTACGGCTGCTCGCCAATGCTGCGTGCGGCGTGCGTACACCTCCGCAATTGCCTCGCCAATTCCAAGCGGAGGTGCAAGTGTTGTCGCACCTCACCGACCCCCGACAGGACTATCCTCCGTCCATGGGGAGGATGAAGGTGCAGTACGACTTCGATCAGCAACTCGCACGAGCTGAAATGTTGGAGGGATACAACGCAGGCAAGACGTTCGTACGACGCTATGACCAGGTATGGATGAGCGACGCATACTGCAAGTTTCTCCTTGGATAATCAATGTTTTCTGCGTCTTGTTCGCTAGAAACAAGAGTTTATGGTCAAGGGCGGCGAGTTCCGCAAGTGCGAGCGAGCGTACTTGGGGGACGCCATGCCGGCACCAGAGATACCTTTCACCCAAGAATTCGTGGTACGTATGGGGTTGACTGGATAAAGCTGATACAAGCAAGCGGGCATTTGGTGCTGACGGTGAAACTCTTTAGGCAATGGAGAGTGTGCGGGGCAAGGTGTGCGAGCACTGGGTACATGCACATGAGGACGCCCGCGTGCATGTGTACAGTGATGTTGCTACGAATGGTACGAACAGATTGAAATGCTCACGAGTATTGGCAGCTTACTCATCGTTTTGTTGGTTGTGGTGGTGCAGTTCCCATTCGCCTGACGGAGGAGAACGTTATTGACGGGCAGCCTACGATGCTCCTGACGTTCGATCTATTCGACGTCCATGTGGGACCGCAGAACGTGTCGAGCTTTACCATCCCAGACGGATACGAACGCAGCGACTGTGTACGAAACGTTGGGGGCTTCCCGTATATTCATGCCTTCCACTACTACCTGCGGTTTTAGAGTAGGACGATGGCAACTTCACAAGTTTGGGGCGCGGTGACGCTGTATACAAAATACACCTGCCTTCGCCCTCTCAGCCACCGTCGACAATATCATGCCTATCTCCAATATTCGCCTGGTCCCATGTATCCGCCGTTGTTTTGCTGCTGCTGTTGTTGTTGCTGCTGCGTGGGGTCAAAACCCAGCTGCCGACTGCCTAGTGGCGGGAGTCCGAGCCCATTGTCTGGCTGGCCCATCGCCGAGTTAGAGTAACCTGTCGACCCGAAAGCGTTGGGATCTTGCGGCGCACCGTAGTTGCCAAATTGGTCACCATAGTATCCCGCAGTAGTGCCGTAGTTGTAGCCCCCGAATCCCATCGGTAGTGCGCTGTTGTTGCTGTTGTTGAGCGTGTCCTCCGGCTCGAAGCCCTGGTGGTACTGAGGCTGTGGAGGAGCCAAGTGGTGCATCTGCATTTGCTGCTGGGGTCGATACAGCTCCTGGTACGAGGGCGGTTGGAGCGGTTGCTGCTGCTGGATCTGCTGATGGTCCTGCATCTGCTGGTTTTGTTGGCTCACGACTTCCTTCATGATGTCCTGTGTAGAATGGAAGGCCGCGTTCAGCAGCGCCTGAGTTCCGTCGGGAACATAATCGTCACCCACAGCAATCTGGTTCGATTCAGCGTGCTCCGTGTCATCCTCCGTTTGCAGCTGCTGCTGAGTATACTGTTGCGCCGTCTCGTCCGGGCCTGGTTGCTGATGCATCGCAAAAATGTCGGCAGCAATTGCAGCGTGCTCTTCGTTGATAGCAGGCGTCGGTGCAGTGCCGTCGGTCGCTCCACTCTTGTCGCCCGAACTGGCAACTGCTCCGGCCGCCGCAGCGCCACTCTTCTCCTTCTCTTTCTCCTTGGCCTTCTCCTTCTCCTTTTCCTTCGCCGCCAGCTTCTGCTTCTTACGTTCCTCCGCCTTCTGCGCCTTCTCCGACTCGATCTGCTTCACCTCATTGATATCAATCATCGAGATACGGCTGCGCTGACGCTTGAAGCGGCCGGCATCGGCCTTACGTCGGATCTCCGACGACAGCTCCGTCAAGTTCTTCTTCTTCCCGACAGGAGGCTTGGGAGCCGGCTGCGTTAGCCTTGTCGATGACGAGGCCGCAGCTGCCGCCGAAGCCGCTGCAGCACCCGAAGGCCGCGCCATCTGCGGGCGGTGCAGCGGCTTCTTCATCGGCGACGCGCCCACGTCGTCCTCCTTCCCGTTGATGTCGTCGTCCTCCCCGCTCACGGTGAAGTGCGTGGCGGCCGTCGGAGCCAGCTGAGGACGCAGCGACGGGTTCAGCAGCCCGTTCTCGAGGGAGAAGTAGTCGTCGAGCGCCACGAGCGACGAGCTGCTGCCTCGGCGCTTCTGGGGCGGGGACGCCACCGTCTGCACCACTTTCGCGGCCGTGGCCTCCAGCTGCGCGTGCAGATACGAGTCGGCCGCCTGCCCGTCGGCCTGCAGCACCAGGAATTGCTTGACGATGCCGGCGCTGACCTTCACCCACTCCTCGGCGTCCTTCTCGGCCAGCAGCAGCAGCGCGTCCACCTCCTTCCGGCCGGCAGCAGCCTCCGCTTCGTCCCGGCGGACGCTCAGCAGCGACAGCAGCAAGCGCACCTTAAACAGAGGTTAGAGTAGAGAGTGTGAGCGGGAGTTTAGAGCGTACATGGCTGGAGGTTGTGGGCGTTTGCGCACCTTGATGGGCGTCTCCAGGTGCGGGAAACTGGCGCGCGCCTCCGCCAGCTTGGACGGCGTCAGCAGCCCGCCGAACTCGCGCGAGCTCCACTCCTGGCGCAGCTTCTGCAGCAGCCACGCATCGAACGACGACGACGTCGACGAGGCCGCAGGGGGCGTCGGCGCCGTCACGGGGGCCGTGCGGGTGGTCGTCTCCGCCATCATGAGCCGCTCTGTGGTCTCCTTTTTCGAGGCCCCGCGCGATAAAATAACCTATCTCAGTGGCTTAGGTTGCTGGTAGAGGGTGAGCGACAACCCGGATTTGTATCGGGGGTGGCGCAGGTTGCAGGGGTCGGCACGACCGGCGTGAAGTTCCTGAAAAACCGACTTTTTTTACTACGCGCTAACTTGTATTAAGTGTCCAGTATGTAAAACAGCCCTTTCATTTTTGAAAAGGTCTATGGCGGTTTTCGAGTGCTATGGCTGTCGCGTGATTCGGTTCTCAATAAGAATCCTTTTCAGCGGCTAACAGCACAACATACCCCCGATTTAGAATGCGGCTATGTTGTGCCAATAGTCGCAGCCATAATAAAACCCGGATTTCGATGGAGTGGTACAGATTGGCTCAGTTTGCTCGTTGAGGGTGTTTGTCCGCTTCTAACTGCTTCTAAACACTTAATTAGAATTTGTTAACCCCACTTAGCCCAGTCCGTAGGACAAATGGAAGGACCAAAAGTTAGGCGCCTCGCTCCGTATAACTAGAAACAAATAGGATCATGTGACTACATGGGCACAATCCCCCGTCCTAGCTGTCCTGGTGGTCTTATCGGTTTAGCGTCCTCCATTGTCCTTCTCGAGATATAAGCCGTTGAAAACTTGTCTCTTGTAACATCGAATTTTGCCGATTTGTCCTAGCCTAGGACAAATGTGACTTGATTTCAGTATGGTCTCAGCTGGAGCTATCTTTAGCGCCGATTTCCATGCCCGATGCGCCTTATAAGACACACCTTTGGGGGTCAAAAACACCCCATACAAATATCAAGTCATTTTGGTCCTTTTTCGGGCTCCCTAGGACAAAAACGGCCCGTGTGTGCCACACCAAAACACGATTTGGTCCTATCTCCTAGGACAAATCTAAGTGGGGTTAACAACGCTGACGCCATATCTAAATTAGAAGTGTGTAAAATATAGTACTCGTAACTAGACTTCTACTAACGTAGTCTTTCTGTATAACACTCGCATCGACCAAAAATCACACTAATATAGTAGTAGTACTAAAAACAAAGGATACTGAAGTGGCTGCGTGATATAGCGTTGGCACCACTAAATTGTCAAAACTTGCGCGCATGTCAGAGCGATAAAAGGATATGCTATGCCAGGTTTGTCCATTAATTATATAGTATCAAATAAATATTTCTGGCGGCCTTTTCGGATGTCGGCACCCATGGAGCACCGTACCACGCATCTCTAGTGAACCGGGGGCTTTCCGTCACGATTTGTACTAACATTTGTATGGTAAGATCAAAATGGGATGGCCAAGGTATCTACACTAGATGCCCCCACTGAGCGAAGCGAGGCGGACTGCACAGATCACCGCTGGAATCTCTTGCATTACAAAGCATAGTACTTGCCATCTGAATTCAATTGAATCACAAATAATAATAACATACTTGAAGTACCAATGTAGTATGTTGGTAGTACATGCATTGAATGAGTACTACTAATAGTTCATATTAGCACTCTTCACAAGAGTCTCTGTCATTGTGTTTTTATTAATAGTCCGACCTCCAACGGAATGGCGCACAATCTCAGCGTGGGCATTGACCAATATATGCGGGATACCATGGTAGTGCAACACGCTCAGATACCGCCCACTATTAATAGTATAGCTGTTTTTGTAGTGGTACAAGTGTCAGTATGCATTAGTAACATGGAGCGAATATCAGTATAATCACATCAAATACTACAAACTATTGATAGTGAAAATAATAGGGCGATACAGGTACCGCCCACTAAGTTGTACACACAGTCAGTTGATACGCCTACAAATCGAGCCAGTTTTTAATATCACATATAAAAGGTTTTCCTGGTTGTCATGTGAGGCGTAATGCATGGCGCACAACTCAAAGTAGACACTAGTACAGGCGTTCTCCATGGGGGCAAGATATGTATGCATCAAAAGCAAGCAATCAAGAGAAGAAACGTTGTCGGTAGGCCCTTGTAACTCATACAGTCGATTCGACAAGTGGGCGACTCCAAGGCGGTAAGTTGAACTGCAACAGCGTATTCTTTGTACACATGTGATAACCGTAGTAGTAATACGTGCATAAGTGATGTACAAGTGATATATCACTAAAAACCGTAAATTACGGACAGTAAATTACCGTCCGCAGTTCACAGCTGTGCTTGGGCGGAGCTTTACTGTAACTGGTGCTGAAACCGGGTACTTTTGTTTCCGAAATAGGTATTATTAATAATACTTGGTAACTTCATTAATTCTGCCTAAAAGTTACACCTCGGGGTTGTTGGTTTAACTCTAGAAATTACGACTAAAAGCTACGAATTGTTATTGCTACAGTTCAGCATTGTTTGCTAATCGAACTAACATCATTAAAGCTACGGTGTAACATGTATTAAGGCAAATCAACAGTTTAATGTCCATATGCAGAAAAATTACTTGCTGTTTAAGGTATTTGTCAAGGATTCTCGACCAAACTAAGTATGATACGCATCCGCTGAAGCATACTTTACTGCTAAGTGATGCTTGCCAATATCTCGTGCTTACACGTATGTTACTGTGAGAAGTTCTGCTGATACCGCAAGACTGTAGCGCTAAGTGTGTTTTGCGGTACAGTCAAACCTGTTTATATGATCCTCTCTATTTGAGCCATGCCGTTTATTTGATGCAGGCTTTGTCGCTACCAAATATTTCACTTAGTTTTTGTATGATCTCTGTTTATATGCATACAAGGTATATGAGTCACATTTTTGGGGACCAAATTAGGTCTCACCTGTTTATTTGATTCACACTGCTCACGGCCACACACTCTTCAAAGCACCACTGCTCAACACTCAACGCCTACCGCAAGCCTTCTTCGCTCGCCATGTCTCCTCGCGCCTGTCTGACGCTAGAACGAAAGCTCCAAGTGCACCTAAAGCTCAAGCAGAATCCTGGCATGAACAACCCCATGCTCGCCGAGTGGATCTACGCAACTTTCAAGGCCCGCGTCAGCCGTGCCACACTCGCCCGACTGCGCAACCTTCCTTCTTCCTACTTCAGCCACGTCGACCTGGGTGCGACCAAGCGGTGCCGAGTGAAATTCCCTCAGTTCGAGCGGGAACTGAGGGAATTTTTCTTTCAGAACGAAGCTAAAACGGCGATGGCGGACGACGTGCTCCTGCTGAAGGCGCATGAGCTGGCGGAGCGCTTAGGCATCGATGCCACGCAGCTCCGGCTAAGCAACGGCTGGCTTCAAAGCTTTAAGAAGCGCAATGGGATCCGCTCCTATACGCTACACGGCGAAGGTGGCGCTGTAGAAGCTGATGAAGTGCGAGATGCGAGGCTAGAGCTACAAGAGTTGGTGGCGCAGTTTACACCCGAGAATGTGTTCAACTTCGACAAAACGGCGCTTTTCTATCGCTTAGCGCCTAATCGAACGCTAGCTACGACTATTCGCAAGGGCAAGAAAAAGGAGAAGCAACGTTTGACTTTGGCCTTCTGCTGCAACGCGACTGGCTCCGACAAGCTCGACCCAATAGTCATCGGTACGGCCAAAAACCCGAGGTGCTTTAAAAAGGGAGCGGTGATTAAAGGTAAACCTATATTGTACAAGTCCTCCAAGAACGCCTGGATGACATCCGTCATTTTTGACGAATGGCTGCACCTCTTCAACATGAGAATGGCGGCCGCCAATCGCAAGGTCCTACTTCTAGTCGACAATGCTTCATGCCACAAGATTCTATGAAACCTGACTCATGTGACTGTTCACTTCCTCCCTCCTAACATGACATCCGCCGTACAGCCGCTGGATGCAGGTAAATATTTTATCTATATTGTGGTGTAGCCTAAACTAACCAACTCTATTACGGTGTTTTTTTTATTCAGGTATTACCCGGTCGTTCAAGGCTCGGTACCGGAAGCATTTTGTGCGGTGGTGTTTGGATGCACTTGAAGCTAACATTACACGCAAGCTCAACGTACTGGAAGCTGTCCAATTCTCCATTGATGCTTGGGCGGGTGTGACGCCAACGACAATTACAAATTGCTGGGTCAATACTCGCATTTTGGGAGGAAAGATGCTAGGAAGGACCCGTGCTGACACGGATTACATTGAGGAGGTATCCAGCAACGAGATGGAGGAGTTAACGGCGATGCTATCGAGGTGGGAGGGCGCTGTTAGCGCTAGTGAGTATCTGGCAGTGGGCGAAGACGTTCCTGTGCACGAGCCAGATGTGCTAGTGGACGAAGCGGTAGGAAGTGATGCAGTTTCGCAGGACGAGCAGGAGGAAGAGGAGGGACAGGAACCCGCAGTTCAACCTGCCATTGCTCTGAGACACTGCATGGAGCTGGCTGCATTTCTGCTGCAATGCGGAGAGCAGACTGACAGAGAACGAAGAGCTTTACAGACCGTGACCGCTTTGGTTCGAGAGACTACGGTGAAGGCAAAGCGGCAGCGAACTATGCACGATTTCTTTACGTGCACCACATAATTTTTTTAACTGAGTCCATTTTATATGAGTCATTGTAGTAGATGGTCACCAACAGGGCCTCATATAAACAGGTTTGACTGTATCAGGAACTGTGTGAGTTGTATGGTTATCTATGTGTCTCAATGCGGGTTAGGGTTACCAGCCGGAGAAGGGGGGCAGGTGAAAGCGATTTCCAGGATTTCACAAATTCGCCCCTACCGAACCTGGCGCTCCCTTAACTTTAGGCAAGCCTGGGCTCATCGGAGAGCTAGCCTTGCCCTTTAGCTTTCCAACGAGACCAACTTCACTTAATGATATTTCGTGCAGCCTTCAGGCCGTTCCATTTCCTAGAGCACTCGTGGAACTTTGGAGATTTGGTGTGGGTGACCTCCGTCCCCGCCCAGCTGCCAGACTGGGCCAAAGTATGGCCATGATAAAAAACACGATTTGCATTGGGGTGTTTTTTTGCGGTATCAGCAGCAAGAGCCATGTTACTGGGCTAACCGAGCTACGTAAGCTGGCTCATTTCTCTGCATATTCTCTGATGGGCTCCGTCTCGAAGGTTCAAAGGTAGTACAGTACATGTACATGGAACGGAGAGTGTTCCAGCCTTCAACTGCAAATATTTGATACATGTTCGGATATCTTTACACACTTCCATAGCAAACTAGTTCTCAGTATATTATTCTGCATTCACGATCCTGCGTTCATGATTAAGTAACTGGGGCGCGCTTCGCGTGCGGGTCTCTAAGCGGACCGAACAATTTTGTGCTTTTTGCTACTAAAACGGTTAGGACGCGCCGCACCTCAGCGCCAGTCTGCACTTGTTACTGTTATTAACATTATCACCACTATTTTTGTGAGTACTATACATGAAACGCTTCATATTACTGCACAAGAAACTTAAATTTTCATACTATTATAATTGATGTTGACCAGAAGTACGAATAAAAACTTTCAATATGAAAATTGTCAATTAATATGACGAAAATATGTGTTATTGGCAAGCGCCATATTGAAATTTGTATTGTTGGCTCGTATGATTTCAGGGTATTCAAAAACACAGTCAAGGCGCATGGAATTGAAATATTTAATCAGTATAATAATTAACTTTGGTTATCGTCATATTTAAATCATTATTACTGTCAAGCAATTTTACCAATTCAATATAATACTGAATTGGAGGGGCCCTGATGTTGACAACATCGTGTTGCAATTGGTATTTATTGCAACTGCCACTGTCGCCACCACTGCCATGCTACAGCTACTGCGGCTGCTACTGTCACTGCTACTGCCACTGCTTCAGCCACTGTCACTGACACTGGCACTATCGCTGCTGCTGCTACTCCTACCTCATCACTACTTATATTGCTATACTACTCATATTCCACTATTGTTGAAGATATTGCATTTGTTATGCTACCTTTGGCGCGCGTTACTACTGGCCACAGCCACTAACTGCTTACCACTACTGCAACTACAGCTACTACAACTACTATTTCACTACTGTTAATGATGTCATAGTAATGTTGTCATTGATATTGCTTGTTCGTATTTGCTGCTATCGCTACTGCGACTGTTTATTATCTGCTGCCACTACCGCTACCGTTGTTATTTACGCTACAACTACGATCTCAGCATTGATAATGGCACTGTAATGATATTGCTCCTGCTTTCTTTTCATGCCTGAGAAAGACTGCCAAAATCTACTCCATACTGCTTGACTTGCTGCATAATATCACGGGGCATTTCATGGCTTGCTCAAACTAAATTTATAAGTAGATGCCATCTGAATATCGCCGTCCACCGTGGTGAAAACGACGCGATCCAAACATTATCGATGATCTTATCGTCCTCTAGACCCTTGTAAATCACTCGCCTCTTTTCCAAATAATGTGTGTGACTTGTATTGCTGCGTAAGTAATATCAATATGACGTATTAATAATTCTTATTCGGTATATTGCTATTGGAATTGTTCGCCTGCGTCACGATCACTGCCAGCTACCACTGCAACTGCCCTACTGTCAATGCCACCGCTACTGCAACCGCTATTAGTTACTGACTTTGAAACTGATATTGTTATCGCTATTTCTGTTACTATCTTTTTTTTGCTCGCCCCACCATCAGGAAGAAAAACTGTCATGGTCTGCAGTACTCCATGGTGCGTGAGTTGTTGCAACCCAGTATAATGTCATCCAACGAGACTTCTTCGCGAGCCGCACCTAGTAAAATACCTCTATTTTTACGAACTATATTTGCACGTCAAAAGCATCGATCCGGACGCTGCGCTGCTTTATACCAGTAGTGTGTGCAGATCCACTGTTTCCTCGGCGAGGTACACAGTAACAGTAACATTGGTACCGCTTGGTTCACAATGGTCACAGTTACCTACTACCACCTATATTTAATAGGCTTGGAATGTCGCGCTATAGCTCTCCACGTCGGCTTCACTAATGCTACACCCGCCTTCATCATCAGTCTACCCCACTTCCTCGTCGTTGTTGCTGTCTCCTTCGTCTACAACGATCGCTCGTCAACCAGACTTGCCAACGGCACTAGACCTTGCCTGGTCCATTTTGTCCCTGCCGTTGGCGACGTCGAAGTACCCGAGGGAGTCTGCCAAGCATCGTTGTTATGTTGGAGACGGGGAAACAGCGATACTGACGAAGAGGCAGTGCTAGCGTGTACGTAGACGACTGGATGCGGCTTCTGAAGAAAATCGAGGAATGAGGCAATATTGCAACAGTGCTCGACTATGAATAGCTTTACCGCACAGATCATTTACCGCATAAGGCTATCTATCTATCCCACGATAGCCAACGCATGGTCAAAGCTCGTCTTCAAAAGCAATGTTGAAGTCAAGATCCCAAAGCTTCACCTGTAACATTTTATCGGGTCCTTTCAGGCTTCCTGGCGAAGGGGGTCTCATGAGCAGGAAACGTGTTACCAGATTCTGGTACACGGTAACATCCACGGTTTCCTTGGGTTTTCATGGTAACTGTGGACGTGTACCTGCGCACACTATATACCGGTAATTGGGGACCCGGGTGGTGGACCCGGGGGGTTTCGCAGTTCGAAGCTAGCTTGTACGGATACAGGGAAACGATGTACTCGGGCATCCCCTGCGCCTGCTTCGCAGCCGCAGCATCTGCCTAATCTACCACGGTACAACCAAGTGTACAAAGTTTGATCGCTTATTTTCATGGGCATTGCCAGTTCATATACATGTATCGTCACTCCAACGAATTCGTACTTCAACGATTGGGTTTCACAAACCCACCGTGATGATTCTACCTCCTCCTGCTCGTCGAATGAGGGCTCCACGGATTTAGTTTTAACTTTAGTTCTTTGTAGTTAGTAGAACGGTTATCAACAGCGAGGTAATCAACGTAATTTCCTTCCTTCCTGCTACTGAAATGTGCGCTGATGCCCAGGCAGAATCCTTTATTGTTTAGATTGCAGTGTGTGCTCGGAAACTTACAGGTGACGATAAAACAAGAAAAACAGTGCATTCGAATAATTAGCGCTGCCAGGATAACTGCTCAACCAAACTTGCAGGATAACCCGATGAAGCCAGCAATTTGTTTCAAGTTTGATGAGTTAAAACTGAGGTCTAGCAGATTTCGATCGCGTGTAGGAGTAGGATACACCGGGTGTTCGTCCTTCGCTTTGACGATGTCCGCCCGGTGCTTCCTCTCGCACAGGATGCGCGGCGTACAGCGACAACGTAGGAGCATTCAAACTCTGTTTGATAAAACATGGTGCAGCCGCACACATATTTTGTCCTGGTCGCCTGAAGATCTAACAACAACAAAAAACTGTCAGCTTCGATTCGTCCAAGTGTGATATTGCCATTGATCAAGTATTAATCTGAAGGTACTGTATGCATGTAGCATTAGGATGATCTGAACTAATGTCGGTAACAATGTACTTTGAACTTGTATTGACAAGAACAGGATCAAGTAGTAGATCATTCTACACCACCAGTTCGGTGGATCTCTGCGGGTCGTATTGTAGTCTCACACAAGACAAGCTTAAATCATCCTAGTCTTCATAGATAAATGCCTAAGCTACAGTAGTGCAGTTAGCCTTTAGCCTTTTTCCCCGGAGAAGACGTACCACCAGGTGCAGCTCTTTTTGAGTCTCCGCTGTATGAATTCGTTCGTCACCGTATAGGACGTCACCGCATTGCCGGTGGATAGAGTTGGGTTCGGATTAAAAAAAATTGTTGAACGAAAAAAAATTGAGCTATACTTCCTATCTTGCATCGCACAACCTAGGACTTTAAGTAGTTTTTTGCAATGTTTTAGTGGAATGTTTTATCTAATCCATCCGGATTAATTCCAGTGAGTGTGGGGATGCATACAATATCAGCCCGTCGACAGTTTATGTCACGGCAAACTCAGCTGACCACACGATTTTTCAATATCTCTCTCTGAGAAACTATGCATGCAGAAGAAAATCTGTGTCTGAAAGAGGAGGGTATAAGTTATGACTCATAACAGATCGAATCGATAATTTTACCGCTAATGGAATGAGTAAGTACTATGTTGAGAGCTTTGAAGCTGCATGTACAGTAGTATAATACGATGCAGTGATGTGGCGGCACCAGTTGTGTCCAAGGTTAGCATCATTAGCACCGATGCCCCATATTGATCGAAAGAATACAATGCTTGCTAGTACACAATACATTGTTCGTCGTCGTAGTCCGCTAATACACAATACGTTGTTCGTCGTAGTAGTAGATGGAGCAGAAGGGGAAAAAAAGAATAGACATCCATCAAACCCACTTCCTCTGATGGCATCTGACATCAATCTACGGTACCTGTAAGTGTCATTCAGGCCGATTCGATCGATTGCTGTATGATGTTGTGTGAATGTTGTTTGATGTCATCCGCACGGGGGTGAAGTGACGAATGTAGCGTGAATGTCGTTCGATGTCATCCAAAAACCTTCCCCAATCGACAGTTCTTCGAACTGCGAATACCATGAGATTTTGGATACTCTAGTTCATATTAAAATGTACCGAATGTATTAAACTGATGGTCTGACAAGAAATGACGCTGGCTCTAAGCTATCCGCTTAGAGAACTACCGGTAACACCAGCAAATGCCGCTCCTTCTGCGAAGTTTTTGACCCCTGGCCATATGATCACTACCGGTATTAATAGTTAAATGAACGATACAACTGAGCTTAATACTTTTAGTAGATGTAACCGGCTTTCTGACCCATCGCAAACCTATAAGTGGTGTCCCCAAACGTGCGAACAGATGCAAATTTATTACAGCATTGGCAGCTATACCTTGCTCAGATTTTCCCAAGCGGTAATTACTTTACTTTAGAGTACGCTTTCTACATTTAGTGCATCGCCATGTATTCGTATTGCACCTTTTTCTCGTGGCATTGGGGAAGTGCAATGCACAAAAGTACACACAGCGGTGATAACCTTAAGCACCCCTTAATCCAGCAGCTGAGATAACTTAGAATGCTATACGTTAAAATCAAACATTTCCACAACAGCATGAACATGTTGGGTAGCTGCACCCAAATACCTAATTGCTTAAAATATTATTTCAAATTCAAGCTATGTTGCTCCTGCACTTGTGAGTTAATTTCTCTACGCGCAAAATTCCTACAAAGTAGCTTCGCTCAGCGCCACTAATCGTTTGTCTTCATCAAGTGCGTCTTGTGGTAGTTTGGGCCAGGCCGTGACATCTCCAGTAAACTTTTCGAGTGCAAGGCATGTCCAGAAGTAACGCGAGAAACTAAGAAATAGTTTTGCTGCGGCTTGTTTGCGATTGCCACACTCGACCTCCAAGAAACGACAACCAGTGAATGCAGAGTCTCCTCTTGCACTTCGTATGCGATCCAACCGCAAACACGAAAGGAAATTACTGTTTAACTTGACCACTCCCGAATGCTCCCCCGTACCGTGCCTGCATCTCCTCCGCTTGCCCCTAGTTTCCCTTTATTTTCATTAATTCAAGTACACTTTTGTTGCTGTTGCCCAGTGACCTGTGTTCTCCCGGAGCAAGTGCTCCGGGTAGCCAATCTCCACTACGTAGACACTATTATATGATTCATAACTTAGTATCTGTGACCAGACTGACTGCAATGGTGCCGGATTGAACGAGTCGTTCAGAACAACACACGACAGCAAAATGCTGACACGGAATCCATTGTCTTCTCTCTTATCGCTACGGTACCATAGTCGCTTAGAAGTCTTGGTCCGAGTCCGAGTTTGTCTCGGAGCCCGAGCCTCCCGAGCCTGAACCAGAGCCCGATCCTGAGCCAGCCTCCGAGCCCGAGTCATCGTCGTTGTCAATGAGCTCACCAGAATCTGCAAGTGACACCTGGTCGGAGTCCGAGCCGTCCGCGGCAGTACCATTGCCTGCGCCACCAGGAGACACGGCGCCAGTCGCGCTCTCGTCGCTGGAGTCGTCCTCATCGCTGCTGCCACTGCCGCTAATCCCATCGGAGCTGCTGTCCTCGTCGGATCCCGCTTTCTTCTTGCTCGCGCCAGCTCGGCTCTTCTGGTTGGAAACGTTCGATTGCCGTGCTTTGCCTCCGCCGCCGCTATGCCTGTTGTTGTTGTTCGACTCCATTGCATCCAGCATCGAGTTCTCGATTTGGTCTTCCTGCTCGCCACGCAGAATGGCGAGCTCGTCGTCCCGGAACTTCTTCTGCAGCTTCTTGAGCGACCTGTCGTTCTCGGCGAGTTTCTTCATTTCTCGGCTGTTGTGTAGATCCAGCTCACGCTGCAGGTAGTCAAGGTTACGGAAGCGCTCGCAGTAGATGGCGTACTGCCGCTCCAGCTCCTTCTCCAGCTTTTCGTACTCGTCCATGAACGCTGGGCGCACGTGCTGCAAGCTCTTGAGCCGCTTCTCGCTGCGCTCGAGGTCGGTCTGCGCCTTCTTGATCTTCGCTGCTAGCGCCTTCTCCTCAGCGTCCAGCTCCACCACCTGGTGCTCCGTCAGCTCGACGTTATCTTGGAGGTTGACCAAGATTTCCTGGATACTGCGCTCGAGGAACTTCTGCTCGCTCGAGTTCTCGTGGTTGGTGGACAGCGCGTCCAAGAAGCGAATCGCCTGTTGTCGTGCGTCACGGACATCAAGCTCCGTCTCCAGTAGATCGTACAGCTTGGCGCCCGACTGCGTGATGTCCGAGGCAAGCTGCCGCGTCGCTTTCGGGTCTTTCACACGCGAGCCCAGCAGCGACTTCACCGAGACATCGTCGTCATCATCGTCAGGCTCCTGTTGCGTGGCCAGATCGATCCGCGAAGCCTCGTACAGCACCCGCGCCAGCTTGATCAGCTCCTTGACAGCAAACCCGTCGGCTGCGTACAGCCTCTTCGGGTTGAGTCGGATGCGAGCCTTGGCCAGCACTTCCGTTGCCACCTGCGTGAGGAACTCCACGCGGTCGTCCTCCGTGTCGATCTCCTCTGCGATGCTCGAGCTCGGATCGTACTTCTTGACCATCCAGTAGAGCAGATCCGACACCAGCTCGAAGTTCGGCGTGCGGAAGTTTTCCATCGAAATGGGGCGAGGGTAGCCCAGCGCCCGCATCATCTCCGTCAGGTTGCGCAGCTCGCGGAACGACATCACTTGCTACACGAAGCACTAAATCTCTCGATAGGTTGCCTTGTCGTGCTGGCTTCGGACTGCTCGGCGGACTTCACCACCCGACGCGTCGTTTCGAGGATCCGAGATCGCGCCAGTCAGACCCCTCTAAAAACGTCTGCGCTCATACTTCTCGAACTTCTCTATTCTTGCGCTCGTACCTGGCCAGCATCGTTGCATTGCCAGAGGTTCCTCCTGTGTGTATGTAGAGCAGCTCGCGCTCCTCGCCGCGATCATCAACTGTAGTAGACTTACTGCCCGGTACTAACAGGTCTGATATCGAGGCGGCACTTGATTTGCTACGTTCCAGAACTTCATCCAGTACCGCGTCGTCCGAGAACAACGTGTGCCATGCGAAGGCTCCGTACACGAGGTCGAAGTCCACCTTGGTCTCCTGCAGCACCTCGTGGTAGATGTCGTACAGCGGCCACCACAGTCGCCCAAATCGGCTTTTCCTCTTGGGCGTGATCACCCGCGGCAGCAGCGCCGTCTCCACTTGCAAGGTTGGATCCTCTCCAATAAGCTGCTGGAACTGCTGGCTCAAGTACGCCGCATCGCCCACACAAGGAACAGCGTACAGCCTGATAGCCGGGTGCAGGTGCTGCGCCAGGTACAGCGCCGTCGTCCCCGTGCCGCAGGGCAGCACAACCGAGAAACGCTTGTCCGGCCACTCCGTCCGGACGTACTCGTTGATCTCCTCAGCCAGCAGCTTCACGCCATCCTGCGCTTCCGGGAACGCCGCCCCTTGCGGGACGTACAGGCTCCTCGTACCCGGCGGAGGGCGCCGGTCTCCATCCACAAACTCGGCAAAGTCTCGCGTCCGGGCCAGTTCGTGGTATGCGTCCGGAGGGAGCTGCACGTGGTCCATGCCCAGACCCCTGGCCAGTACCAGGTTGCCCTCCACCGCCTCACCTCCAAGGTGCAGCTCTCGACTGAAGTACGTAAAGGGGACGCGCCTGGCACTCGCCAGCTGCGCCAAGGCCAGCATGGCGTTGCTCTGCGACCCGCCGAAGCTGAACAAGTGGGCACCCGCGAAGAACTCGTCGCTCTGCTTGACGAACCAGTACATCTTGCGCATCTGTATCACAACCTCCGTTTTAGCTAAAAGTATCCACGCACAGTACGCGCAGCCACCGAGTCCCCACCTTGTTCCCGGCCAAGTGGAACACGTCGTCCCTCTTCACGTGCACGCGTTGGCCTCGGAAGTGCACGCGCGTCACGGGCGACGCCCGCCACTGCCACCCGCGCACCATCTCGCTCCTAATTCGGTGTATTAATACCTACTTGTAACAGGTGTACCCACCTCAAGATTAATTCGTACTTAGCACGCCCGTTTACACGCCCTTTTACAACGTGACGCCGCTTCTTCCATCGCTGCCGCTGGGGGCGTCAGTTTCCTCTCCGCCCCCGTCCAGTCCGCCAGGATGCGGCGCCTGAGCTCCAGAGGTGCGCTACGCTCTTGCTGCTGGTTGTGTAGGTCTGTGTCTGTGCGTAGCTCACTGTGTCTGTCTCTGTCTCTGTGTGTGCAGGCGGCGGCAAGAACTTCAGCCTCAAGAGCGAGGAGGACGTGGAGGAGCTCATGCAGACGCTGGTGGCGCAGATCCACGCCAAGCTCAAGAGCGAGCTCAACCTGCGCGAGATCTTCATCCCCAACTCCAAGGCCGAGGCGCGCTGCAACATCTTCGTGTCGCACAACTACGCGGCGTGCCCCAAGCTCTGCGTCTTCATGCAGCCGGGCGAAGGTAACAGCAGCAGCAGCTGCAATTTGGATCACCTCACCCAGGTTTCTTCTAGTTTTTTTACATTCTATTAACTATTATATTTTACTTGTCATTTATTTGTTTATGTCGACGTCAGGCATGCAGCCGGGCATGTGGAGCCGGACGATCCACCCCAAGACGGGCTTCCAGGGCTCCATGATCCCGTACTTGAAGACGGCGATCCAGGGCGGATACGGCGTCGTGATCCTGAACCCGAGCACCAACTTCTGCATGGTCAACGGCCACCGAGCCAAGATCCTGCACTCGTCCTCGCCCGAGGCGCACGTCGCGTACGTCTGGAAGAACTACATCGTGCCCAACGCGGCACAGGAGATCAGCTTCATCGTGCACGACAACGCCGGCATCTTGTTGAAGACCTTTCTGTCCACCTTGAGTGGACACGAGGCGCAGAGGGTCGGAGGCATCGCCTTCATCGAGTCGGCCCACCAGGTCTCGTCGGGTGACAGCAATTCGTTGTGGGACATGCTGCGCGAGAAGGCCGTGAACTTTGAGGCCTCGACGGAGCCCATGTTCACGGTCATTGCGTCCTCCAAGGCGAGACTGGGGTGCACGTCCCTGTCGGTGGGGCGCACGTCGGGTGAGGCAAACAACCGCGAGTGGACGGTTCATTCAGTGCAGACGTCGGCGTTCGTGTTCCTGCAGTCTATCGCCAGCGGGATCGAGGAGTCGCTGCATGCTATCCGCGCAACGTTCCCCAACAAGCTTATCGTGACCGTCAACCGTGCACGATTGACTGGCCAGCCATACAACAACCCGTTCGCTGTGGTGCAGTGTGCGGGACAGAAGAAGGAGACTGTGGGCAGCCATAAGCACACCATGGACCCCGAGTGGAACCAGACGTTCTCCTTCCCTGTTACGTCCAGCGACGCGAAGGTGGTTATCGTCGTGAAAGACAGGTCATTCCCCATGAATACGTCGCTGGGTCAGGTTGTCGTGAGTATGAGCGAGGTGGGACTTAATCGCGCCGACCGACGGTGGTTCTCCCTGCGTGACGAGAAGGTTCCGACAACACACGGCAATGGCGAAGTGGAGCTGACGCTCGAGTGGGTGCACGATACGTTCGTAGCTCGCTCCGATTCGTTTATTCGCGGGAACCGCATGCCGACACTAGAAGCGCAGCGCAACCGTCAAGGCGGTGATGGTGAGAACTGCTGCTACCTGTGCAAGACTACGTTCGTATTGCATCGCCGTCGCTACTGCCGCATGTGCTTGCGTTTGGTCTGCACGTCGTGCTCAGATCGCCTATTTCTTCCCGGATTTAGCGAGCCGAAGCGTGTGTGCTCTGGGTGCTGCGATCTTCAGATGATGCTACACAACAAACTTCCGCGCATGGGTCCCAATGGTCCGGGCTCGAGGTTACCCTCCCAAGACAAGCTGGACGAGCATGCGCAGCGTATGGAGGCGATGCGGAAACGCGAGGAAGCCGAGAAGCGGCCTCTCTCTATTAACGACTTCGATCTGCTCAAGGTGGTCGGTCGCGGCGCCTTCGGTAAGGTGCTGCTGGTGCGCAAGAAGGACGGCAAAAACGCTGGCCAAATTTACGCTATGAAGATCCTCGTCAAGTCGCACATTATTAAGAACGACCAGATCGAGAACACCAAGGCGGAGCAGCATATCCTCAAGGAGATCAGCCACCCATACGTGGTGCGGCTACGGTACGCGTTCCAGAACGCTGACAAGTTGTACCTCATCATGGACTACTACCCGGGTGGCTCGATGTTCTACCACCTGCGCAAGTCGAAGAGGTTCACGGAAGATCGCACGCGGTTATACATGGCTCAGCTGCTGACGGCGTTGATGCACCTCCACAGCAAGCAGATCGCGTACCGTGATTTAAAGCTGGAAAATATTCTGATGGATCCGAAGGGCAACATCGCCCTGACCGATTTCGGTCTGTCGAAGGAGGGTCAGATGGTCGAGGGAGCCATCCGCGCGTCTCAGGCAGATACGGGTATGAAGACCATTTGTGGTACAGCCGAGTACATGGCGCCAGAGCTGCTGCGCCACCAACCGTACGGCAAAGTGGTCGACTGGTGGAGCTACGGTATTCTGCTGTTCGAGATGCTGACGGGCCGAACGCCCTTCGTCGACCGCAACCGTCGGCAGATGTTCAAGAACATTATGCAGTCGGAGGTGATCTACCCCTCGCACATTTCGCCGGTGGCGCGCTCGCTGATCTCCAAGCTGCTGAATCGTGACCCGGCACGAAGACTGGGTGGAGGCCCCAACGGCGGCCGTGACATCATGGCCCACCCGTTTTTCGAGTCGATTGACTGGGACAAGCTCATGCGGAAGGAGATCGAGCCTCCGTTCGTCCCGGACGTCTCGAGTGTCGACGATATCACGAACGTGCCCGAGATGTTCCAGAACATGGCGGCCGTAGACTCCCCTGTCAACAAGAAGAATGGCGACGGCCACCACTTCGACGACTTCACGTACCAAGAAGACGGGTACATTATGCGCGCCACGCACAACATAAACCAGCATTAAGAAAGCTACGCAATACATCGATCTGTATAATTTGTAATGCGTTTTGAGCATGTTCGTCTTTGGCGTTCATACGCGCGAGCTCTACGCGTCAGACTCCACTTTCTTCTTCTTGCTCGATGCTTCTGCATCTTCATTCGTTTCAGCACGTTGGCGCTTCAGATTGGGCGGGAGGTTTGGTCCGATGACAACCTTCTCTTCGTCCTTGCTCGTCTCGTCCAATTCTTCAGTCATCTTGTCCGTGATGGCATCACCAGTATCAACACTGGAGGCTTCAGTCTCAAGTTTTCGCGCCTTCATGAGGTGCGGGGGCAGTTGTGGTCCAATGGACGCGGCAGCCTCCTCTTCGCTCGCTTCAGCTGCTGACTTTGCTGAAGGTGGCAGCTGCGGTCCTGCTGGGCCGCGAGCAACTCGAGCTCCTTTCTCCTTCGGTGCGCTGCGCTGGAGACGACGTCCGTATTCTTGCAGCTGTCGACGGAAGCTCTCGTTGGGGTTGGCAATGGGGCGGCGTTCAACCACAAAGGCCAACGCCTGCTCGAAAGTCATGGCCCGCAGTTTCATGAGGTACGCCACGACCATGGACGACGAGCGACTGACCCCTTTGTTGCAGTGAACGAGGATGCGACCTGCAGATCAGGACATGAACGAGGGAGAAATGCACAACATACGCCGCACTTGGCCACCGTTAGCAGCTCCATCTCTCTCCACCCAGACATAGACAGATAAATGGTGGTGATACCATAGTACTTGGCTTGGTCCATGAAGGCGACACAGCCTTCGAGCACCCCCGAGATGTCCTCCGCCTTGTTGTCGAAGATGGGGCAGCGCCTGTACGTGAAGAGCTTGTCCTTCTCGAAGAAATTGGGCACTCCAGCCACCGGGTCCATCTTCTTCGGGGGCGTCACCTGCACCATCCACCATCCACTCCAGCATTTAGACCCCCCTTCGTTTCACAGCTACAAGTGTGTGCGTACATTCAAGACGTGGGTGATCCCCAGCCGCTGCAGCAGCTCCTTGTCGCGCGCGTGGGCCCTGGAGCCCAGGAACACGTGCTCCAGGATCTGCGAAGGCTCGCCGTCGTCGTCCCGAGCGCCCATAGCTGTCTGTAGCTGCTCTGTGCGCCGCGTTTTCGCGCGCCAAATTCCGGTATCCGATACTCAAACGCCCTCCAAATGTAAGGAATGCGGCAAAATGACACTCGTGCGCTTCAAGCTCCGGTAGCTCCGCAGCAGCATGAAGCTCAACTCACCTCGAACCCTAAGGTTAGCCCCGATATGCCAACGACCCTCGAATGCGTCGCGGCTCTTCGATTGTGGTGGTAGACTTTGGGCCGAGCGACGTCGCTGGAGCTTGGGGCTTGAGGAGGGAGAAATGGGAGGCCGGTTCTCCCGCGTGCAGTACCGAGAGCAAGATGCCGCTGTTTTGAGTCACTTGGTGCTGCTCACGCAAGTCTGGTGCGTGCACTTGTCGACTGAGATTTGGCTCGGTATGGTACTGAACGGGGTTCGTGTCTGTTGCTGCTGCTGCTGTAGGGGTCTGGACGAGATCGCGTTCCTGTCAATGAGGCTGCGACGCCTGTCGTTCAACTTTTGCCTCACTCTCCAGCAGTTTGAGGACCTGGTGGGACTCCGCAGTAACCCGCTGTTCAAGACGATGCTGCATCGGTGGTTTGCCACGTTCCAGAACACGCACAGCAGCACCATTGTGAACGGACTCGAGTTCCTCACGGCTCTGGCGCTCACCGCTGCGGACGGCAAGCTTGAGGAGAAGGCGGGCGCTGTCTTCGGTATCTTCGACTTCGATGATTCGGGCGCCATCACGCGCGACGAACTCGGAATTCTGATCAAGTCGGCTGTCCGTGGACTCTCCAAGGCTACGAAAGGCTTAGGCCCGAGGCTGGCAGCGCTCTGCCCCATGAGCGAAGTGGCCGAGCTCACCCGACAGTGCTTCGTGCACTGCGACCTGGACGACGAGCAAGATCTTCCTCGATCCCGCTTCATACTCTGGGTCAAGCAGACGCCAAAGATCGTCAACCTGTTGCGCTGCTTCGTGCAGCGAGAGTTTTTGTCGGAGGAAGAGGCTGCGGTGGTGATTCAACGCTGTTCTCGAGGAATGCTGGCGCGTCGTGAAGCTGCCGAGCGTCGTCTTGAGCTGCAGCTCGAAGTGGAGCAGGAACTTGCTCAAGCCGCTCAAAAGATCCAGGACGTGGTGGTCACGCGCAAGAAGAAGCGAGAGCGCTTACGACAGCAGAAGGTGGAGCAATTCGCCCACCATGGCGCTGTGTACTCGTTCGGAGCCAACGCTCGAGCCCAATTGGGTCACGCAAACCTCGAGTTGTCGCGGCACGTGGTATCCCCGTTGCTGGCGGCATTTTTCAAGCACAATGAGCTGCGGATATCGCGCGTGGCACTAAGCGAAACTCACGCGAGTGCTGTTGCTTCCGATGGCCAAGTGTTCACGTGGGGTGCGGGTGTTCCAGGCTCCTTTGGGTTCCTCATACCACCTCATTCACAAGACGGCAGTGGCTTTGGCAGTACGGCTGGGCTTGTTCGGAGACAACCGACGAGAGTGGACGATCTAAACGATGTGATTATTGTTGACTCACGACTTGGGAGTCATCACTCGGTTGCCTTGAGTGCTGGAGGAATCGTCTACACTTGGGGGTCTGGTGGCTATGGGCAGCTTGGACATGGGGACTTCGCAGTCGCAGAGGACGATTCAGAGCGCAGCGACGCCATCTTTCGGTCTCAATTCGATCCTCACACTGGACGCGAGTATCCTGTCATCGATCTACCGCTGCAGCTAGACTCCAGCTACTTCGAGGAGATGCGAGTCACGCAGGTAGCTTGCGGCTGCTACTTCAGTATGGTCGTGACTGAGGACGGCAGCGTGTTCAGCTGGGGCGAAGGCTCCGATGGTCAACTGGGTCTCGGTTACTCGGATTCCTTTCGCGTTGGCTTCTTGGACCCAAACATCAGCGGCAGCAACTTCGTCTACATACCGTCTCCTACGCGCATTGACGCACTCAAGGAGCCGATCGAGAGTATCGCCGTGGGTGGCAACCATGTCTTCGCTATCGGTCGTGCCCCCGCAAGACACGTTTTCGAGTGGGGTGCCTGGAAGCGGCGTGGCCCCACGGATGCACGTGAGAGTGCCTTTGCACCCCTGGAGAACGCAGCCCTGTCAGCCCTAAGCGTGCATCAAATAGCAGCAGGCAAGGAGCATGCACTTGCTGTAGCGTCACGAGTTCAGGTCTCCCTCTCGGTGGACCAGTATCCGTACCGTCGACGATCCAGCAGCCCAGACCTCGATGAAAAACTCTCAGAGGGTGAATCTCTCCGCGCAGTTGCATTATGTGCACGATTCGGAGCCCAGCCATCGCAGCTCTCGCGTGCGATTACAGGCTCAGTCTTCGCTGTGCCTTTGCCCGCTGATGAATTCGGTGGATCGATTCAGGTTTACCCAAGTGCATCAGCTTCGTCTTCAGCGGCATCAGCAGCGTTGAGTGCTGCAGTTTACAATCGGTCCGATTCACAGCTTCGATCCAGTCTCGCGCGCTGTACGGGTAGAATCGCACTACTTGATCGAGGCACGTCCACAGGTCATTGGATCTCTCTGTTGCTGGACTCGTCGCGCCCTGCTGAACTGCTGGAGATCCCTTGCGTACCGGCGAATGTTGGCCCCACGCTGAATGCTACGGGGGTGAAAGCGCAGCTATTCTACTCACCCGAGCGTCTGTCGAGTCTGCGGTTGTACGTTCGACCTGATGAAGTCGTTGGTCGAATCGCTGTACTGGAGTTTGGCCAAGAGGACGTTGCCTTTGATGCAGACGCGCTAGAGGCGGCCGAACTTATCGGACGCCTCATGAGCTCGTTGGTTGCGCTGGTCAAGGACGCACAAAACGCAGGCGCAGTCGGTGTTGTGATCATTTTCGACTTTCTAGAGGCGGACGCGTTCTCGCTGGAGATCGACGAGGAGGACAGCGACACCGACATTTTTAAGATTCCTGCTGTTATGATACGCAAAAGTCTTCATGGCGAACTGCTGCTTGAGCAGCTCCAAACGCCTGGAAAGCGGCCGTGGTCGATTGTTTCGTACAAAGAGGATGTGCTGGGGAAACAGGTAAGCTCAAAAGGTCTACGGAAGAGGGTTGCTCCGTGGATTTATCTAATGGGGAACGGTGCTCAGATTTCGATAGCCCAAAAGGCTGGAGCCAAAGCTGTGGTAGTTGCTCAAACTCGCGTCGACCCAGATCCGATAAGGGTAAGCAGCAATCATGTAGATACTTGTGGAGCCTCTCTGACTGATTTGCCTGGTAGCTGGGCATGAGTGTGTTTGGCGCAGGCGAAGACGAGAAGGCCCCCAGTAGTTCAGGGATAAAGATCCCCGTTATCTCGATCCCCTACCAAGTAAGAGTTCAGTAGCTGTGTAATAAGCTGTCGCTCTAGCATGGTTGAGCTTACACTATTGCAATGGTGCATGGGTAGGTGGGGGCCCGAATGAAAGCGACCCTGGACGGTGTAGAGGCTGAGGACTCTCAGTGCCGCATAGCCCTCGTTGGCCCGGGGACTCTTTATGCGTGGGGGCTAGCGGAAAATGGTCGGCTGGGACTGGTAAGTGTGACTGTCCTGCTTAGCTGCAATAATCAACTACTGTCGACTTACATACGAGTTCGTGTAGGGCGACATCGAGAACGAGGCGCTGTTTCAATCGGGCTACGACGGCGCTCGACAGAAGAGCTACCAGTTCGTCCAGGACCCGGAGGTTGTGTCAACGCTGCTCTTTAAGGAGATCACCCACATTTCTTGCGGAGAGGGCCATTCGGCTGCTGTGTCGAGTACGTGGATTGAATCTGTCGGTCAGCGTGGTTTTGGAACTGAAGTTACTCAAACTTCTTGGACAGGTGACGGCGCGCTTTATTGCTGGGGAAGCGGCCGCGACGGGAAGCTTGGCACAGGGTCTTTGGATGATGAAGACGCCCCAGTGGTTGTTGACGCGCTGAGCTCCGTCAAGGTCGCTCGTGTCGAGTGCGGCGCCCGCCAAACGGTACGCGGCACCTTCAACTTGTCAAGCTACAAAGTGTCCACCATGCACCTCATTCTAATGCAACACTCTGTATTGCACGCACCCACACAATCCGCAGCTCGTCGTAACGCAGAACCCTTCCGTCTTCAGCAACAGCAAGTAGCGAGAGCACCGCCATCATGCATTCACCACCAAAGCAAAACACGTTGGAGACGTCGAGCTCCCTAAATCTTACCCTTTAAAACGGGTACAAGTTGAAGTGTTGCGCTTGTTAATTCATACCCCTTATAATGGGTACACCAGACTAACGTTTTTGTCCAGTCATGAGGCCGAGCCATTTCCCCATCGGACCCTCAGAGTAAGTGAGTGACGGACGATGGCTCGCGGCAAGAAGAAGGGAGGCCGTCGCGGCGACGACTCGGACTCGGACGACGCGCGCAAGGCGCCGCCCCCGGCCCCCGCGGCCGCCGGCGAGAGCGACAAGAAGGCGGCGCGCAAGGAGAAGCTGAAGGCCAAGAAGGCGCAGCGCCAGGCCGCCAAGGCCAGCGAGGAGCAGGCCAGCCAGCGCACGGCCTCGGACGCCGAGCAGGAGCAGGAGCAGGAGGAGGAGGACGAGGAGGACCCGTACGCGCAGGTGGCGGTCAGCATGAGCAAGAAGAAGAACAAGAAGAAGAACAAGAAGAACGTCAACTTCGCGGCGCTCATGGACGACAGCGACAGCGAAGACGAGCAGCAGGAGGAGCAGGAAGAGGAGGAGGAGGAAGAAGTGGACGAGTACGCGCAGGTGGATGCGAGTATGAGCAAGAAGAAGAACAAGAAGAAGGACAAGAAGAAGAAGGCCCAGGTGGAGGAGAGCGAGGAGGAGGAAGAGGAGCAGGTGGAAGAAGACGAGCAGGAAGAGGAGGAGGAGGAGAAGCCGGAGCCTGTGGTGGAGAAGAAGAAGGAGAAGAAGGACAAGAAGAAGGGCAAGAAGAAGATGATCTCCACCGACCTGTTCTTCGACCCCGTGGACCAGCCCGAGGAGGAGGAGGAGAAGGACAAGAAGAAAAAGAAGAAGAAATCCAAGCTCCCCTTTGAGACGAACGACGACGACGAGGAGGAGAACGACGACGACGGAGAGAAGAAGAGCAAGAAGGACAAGAAGAGCAAGAAGGACAAGGACGGCAAGCGCCTCAGCAACAAGGAGCGCAAGCGCCTGAAAGAAGAGCAGGAGCGCCAGGAGCGCGAGGAGGAGTACCACCGCGCCGCCAACCCCATGGACGGCGCGCAGTTCTCCGTCTCGCAGCAGGCCTTCACGGAGGACTCGAACTGGGAGAACGCCACGGACATCCACATCGAGAACTTCAGCATCAACGCGCACAACAAGCTGCTGTACGACAACGCGTCGCTGCACATTAACGCTGGCGGCAAGTACGGTCTGGTCGGACCCAACGGTCAGGGTAAGACCACGATCCTGAAGATGATTGCGCTGGGCGAGCTCAAGATCCCGCCCAAGATCGACTGCCTGTACGTGGAGCAGGAGGTTGTGGCCGACGACACGCGCGCTGTCGACGCCGTGCTGAAGGCCGACGCCGAGCGCTGGGCGCTGCTGGAGGAGGAGAAGCACCTGCTTGCCGAGCTGGAGACCAAGCAGGACTCGGCCCTGGACGACCGACTGAACGAGGTGTACGAGCAGCTGTCGACCATGAACGCGTCTGCTGCCGAGGCCCGCGCGCGCCGTATTCTTTTCGGTCTGGGTTTCGACTCGGCCATGCAGGAGAAGGTCACGAAGGACTTCTCGGGTGGTTGGCGTATGCGTATCTCGCTGGCCAAGGCCCTGTACGTGGAGCCGACGCTGCTGATGCTGGATGAGCCGACGAACCACTTGGACCTGAACGCCGTCATTTGGCTGGACGACTACCTGCAGAAGTGGAAGAAGACGCTGCTCGTGGTGTCCCACGATGCCGACTTCCTCAACAGCGTGTGTACGGAGGTGCTGCACCTTGAGAACAAGAAGATCGCCCACTACAAGGGTAACTACGACATGTTCCGTGAGATGGAGAAGCAGAAGCGGAAGCAGATGGAGAAGGCCTGGGAGAAGCAGCAGAAGCAGCTCCGTAACCTTAAGGCTTCCGGTAAGTCGTCGAAGAAGGCTACAGAGATCGTCAAGAAGAAACGTGAGCCTGGTGCTCGTTCGGCGAAGAAGAAGGCGCTTATGCCCGATGACGCGGCCGATGCATCGGCCCCCATGGAGCTGCTGGAGCGGCCGAAGGAGTACATTGTGCAGTTCAGCTTCCCGGAGACGACGGTCGTGTCGCCTCCCATTCTTGAGGTTCGCGAGGCCAGCTTCCGCTATGGCGAGGGCCCGTACCTGTTCAAGAACTCGGACTTCGGTATCGACACGTCGTCGCGCGTGTGTATCGTGGGCCCCAACGGTGTGGGTAAGAGTACGCTGCTGAAGATGATCACGGGTGAGGTCATCGTGACGGAGGGCGAGGTGCGTCGCAACCCGCGCGTGCGTCTGGGTATTTACAACCAGCACTTCGTGGACAAGCTGCCCATGGGCGAGACGCCCGTCGAGTACCTGCGTCGCCTGTTCCAGGACCAGTCCTATCAGCAGGTGCGTAACCTGCTCGGCAAGGTCGGCCTCGAGGGCCACGCACACGAGATCAAGAACCGCCTGCTGTCTGGTGGCCAGAAGGCCCGTGTGGTGATCGCCGAGCTGATCCTGATGCGCCCGCACATCCTGATCCTGGATGAGCCGACGAACAACCTGGATATCGAGTCCATCGACGCGCTGTGCGACGCCATCCGCGAGTTCGAGGGCGGTGTGGTGATTGTTACGCACGACGCCCGTTTGATCGAGTCGACCGAGTGTGTGCTGTGGGTGTGCGGCGACCAGGACGTGGTGGTGTACGACGGCACGTTCGAGGACTACAAGCAGTCGATCCTGGACGACCTGCAGAAGCAGGCGCACGCCGAGGAGGAGCGTCTGCAGGAGAACGCCGCCAAGAAGGCCGAGGCTCGCGCCCAGAAGATGCTCAAGCAGACGGCGGCCGCCACCGAGGCCGCGGCCTAAATGTCCCGTGCCGGTGCTGCAGTTGTGCAGCTATTACTATAGCGACATATTGCTGTGCATAGCTTTAGACACGCGGAGTCCGCGCCAAATTGCATGTAATTCCCCAACTTCCATATTGCCCTTCGTGCATGTCGAACATGGCTACATGGCGCATTGGCGGGATACCTTTAGTGGCATGTCACTGTAGCGAGTATTGCGCCAAACAACTGACCTGTATATTCGTATCTTTTTCATAATATTATGAAGAACATCTTCACGTAAGCTCTGTTTTGGACTGCTATATATGATAATCCTGATATTTTCGATATGTAGGAGCCGGCCGGGGCGGCCTCGCGCGCTGATTGGCCCGCGCGCAGAGCGGCGGATTGGTTGGCTCTGGAGGTCTTCGCCTCGCTCGAGCCGCCCGCCAGCGGCTCAGTCCATTCCCCGCAGAACTTCTCGTTACTAAGTCAAAGACAACAAGCATGGCTGACAAGGTCCCCGTCACGGTGCGCACGCGCAAGTTCCTCCGCAACACGCTTCTGGCTCGCCGCCAAATGGTGCGTCCATTGCCCGTCCGCCCTGCGCAGCACAACTCTAGCGTCTGCATGTCTGACCTTCTATTGCCTCTACTGTGCCATCCTCGACCAATCGCCAGGTGGTGGAGGTCATCCACCCGGGCCGCGCCAACGTGCCCAAGGCTGAGCTTCAGGAGAAGATCGCCAAGGTACGACACGCACCCGAAAACATACAAACTATCCATCCAGTCAGTCAGTCAGGCAGGCAGGCAGGCAGCAGCTTCAGGACACACACAGGAACACAGATATACTAGCTCGGAAAGAGTTCTTCTCAGCAGCAGCGGAGCGAGGTATTCAGAGCCGATTGCACTCCTGACAGTCAGGAAATTTACCCGCAAGGAGGCGGCGGATAGCTGCAATTGCTGACTGGCTGGCTGGACAACACGGATATTCAGAGAGAGAAAGGGATGCAGAGATCGGGTGGCTGACGGTATTGATGGTGCTGTGCGCAGATGTACAAGGTGAAGGACGCCAACACGGTCTTCCTGTACGGCTTCCGCACCCAGTTCGGTGGCGGCAAGTCCTCGGGCTTCGGTCTCGTGTACGACACGGTGAACGACGCCAAGCGCTTCGAGCCCAAGTACCGTCTGATCCGCCAGGGTCTGGTCGAGAAGGTCGAGACCTCGCGCAAGCAGATTAAGGAGGCCAAGAACCGCGGCAAGAAGGTGCGCGGTGTCGGCCGCCGTATCGCTCGCCACAAGGCCGCTAAGGCCAACAAGTAGAGTGTTAACTCGGTCGCCACAGCGACGTCGATTCTGGCCCGAGCGAGCGCTCGCTGCGCTGCTCACTGCGCTTGGCTCGTTGTCGCCATTCCGCTGAGAGTATTTTGGGGAACAAGAAGGTCATGCTGGGAAGTGTAACTAGTCAAGAAACTCACACGTTTGCTTGATCAACCACGTCGCTTTGTTCCCACGTCTGCTGTTCGTATCATTGACTGCTTTTGTTGCATGCCTTACCTGGTTAGTATCTGTGTGTCTTCGGCAGGGTTATTCGGGAAACACAGAACGAATGGGCGAGAACTATGCATTATATTATGTGACTGAAAGGGCTGTGTGCATCTTCTACCTGACTGGGTGGAGGCAGACTGCGCTGATAATTATGATGCCGGGACGATTGCTTGTGGCGGCGGTAATCGACTTCAACACGGAGCAGAGTTGAATTTGGCGGGGCTCGGAACTCCTTCGGGACCGAGTGCGGCAAGGTGAAGTTACTGGATTACGCAGCAACCACCCTTGGGAACTCCTTGAACCGTGCCCGGACCTGCCTGCTTGCTGTAGTGTGTTCGATTAGAGTAGTTCATTTCCACTAGTGCGCCGCCGGTCTCGTCCGCGAATGTGAGCTGCCTACCGGTCTTGGTGACAGTATACTCGTTGCCTCCAGTCTGAGGAGCTGCGTGAAGAACTTCTGCTGCTCCTTCGATGTCGTCATCTTCAAATTCATGAGCATTGGGGTCGGAGGTGCCATTCACCTTGGCGTTGCTGTTTTTCGTCACCAGCGGCGGCCTTGCAGCTTGAGGTAGATCGTTGCTTAGTGAGTTGTCTTGGGTCATGAAATCCGGAGCAGTGGTGGGGTCGTCGTTAAATGTAGGCCCTCGATAGTTCGCTGTGTGCGAATGATCTGTAGTCTCTGGTTGCACGCTTTCGGACGAGTTCTCCGTCGCTAAGTCCTGCCAGTCATCGTCTTCCATGCCGAGCTTGCGTCGCTTGTCGCCGTCTGCGTTTGCTTCCATTGGGTGTACGGACTGGCGCATGAATCCCCTTCCCATGCAGCGGGGGGGGCCTAACGACTTCGTCGAGGCGCCAGCAGTAGCTTGGCTGGCGGCGGGTGTGTCTGCTCTCGGGTGTCTCGAGGTTCTAAACGAAACGGACTTGAAATCTCGCAGGAGCAAGGCGCATGGGGCGGCTGACTTCCTTGTGCGGAAGGTCAACGGCTGCCACAGGTGGAGCTCTCGTCCTCGTCGAGTCCCGGCCTTCAACTTGGGCAGCAGTACTAACACCTGTGATCGTTATCGACTGATCTGGGCGACTTATGTCTTGATTCCAAGCAGGACCCCAGGTAAGCAGCGGCACCTCCCTTGGCGTTCTTATCGCGGATAATACAGCCCCAGTTCTGGTGTGGACTATTCCGATACGACAATAATGACTTCATTCACAGCGACCCCTATATATAGGAGGGATGTTGCATCCTGCAAGCTTGGCGAAACCCTGACCTCTCCCTGCATGTTAGCACCACACTGTTGCTGACGGAGATTGAGGCAGTTTGAGGGCCATTTTGGTCGATAAAGGAGCCCACGATGCCGTCCGTACCTTCACCCACGTGAATTCGCTCCGCGCGTGTTTACTGCATGTTACGATAGTTCGAATAGCCCCATGACGCCAGACCGATTTCAGTTTGTCAGCGCGAGCCTCATACTAATTATTACCTGTTAAGCGCGCCTGCGCTCCCTTTTTCACGACTCGTTCATGACTACACATACCTGTTTGCTCTACCCCGTCTCACAGGGACTCGACAGTAGAGTCACGTGAGCTAGTGGTGGATCCCGCTTTGACCGGCGAAGCCTTCGCTGAGGGTGAGCTTTCATCATCCGCAGCGGATGCCACGCGCTGCGTCAATTCGATCCCCTGAGCAATTGAAGACGGTGTGACCGGCTCACGACTTGGTAGTTGGTCCATCCGGGCATACAGCAGACCGTGTTGTGTCGGCCGCCACAGGTAAACCACTACCATCAAAATTCCGAAAAAGAGCAGGCGAGTAGCCGCCCATATCACCCACATATACGGCCACGGCACCCATACTGCGCCTGAATAGCTGCAACGCAGGCATACCACGTACAGATCCGTTAGCAATGGAAAGATGATGGGAATTCAACCAAACTATCGGTAAAAATTACAATAAATACTTACACAGCCCCCTCAATTGCCATCAAAATGAAGGACAACACCACATAAGCAACGAGGATCCGATTCAGTGAGGTATACATCTGCAGTTTCGCTGTCTGATAGGAAAACAGAGCAGAAGAGTTAAGTTGGACAATAATAATCACAGCTGCACTTGCTTGTTACCTGGCCAAAGGCTGCTAGGTTCTTGCGGGTTAACTCGAGTGACAAGAAAATCCACCCCCCGAAGCAAGCGTTCGTCATAATAACGAGAGCTTCCCAAACAGCAGGGGGTTGCACCTCCCCATCCGACTGATTGACAAGGTGACTCACTTCCAGTGCCCCCACTGCGATAAAGTAGCAAACTCCGAGACCAGAAACCACGAAAACCTCTGGCCACGATATTTGCATCCGCACAATTCCGTAGCCCAAGCTCACAAGGGTGGTAGCGATGCGTGCCACCATACCTGCCATCACCTTCACGAGAGTGGAAAAAAGCACCAAGTCCGGGTAGGGGCAGCACACCGGCATACCCGAGTCGTTCAGCAGCTTATACGTCACAAACCACGCAACCGATTCGCCTGCATGTGAAGATCAACGGCAAGAACAGTAAGTAATCTGACAGTATACACACAAGAAACAACTTCAACTCACCAGTTGCAAGTAGCAGCACTACGAGCAGGAAGTAGTGGGTCCCCACAACGCTCTGGCGGTAGTGGTTCAGCAGCGCCAAAAAGTACACGTCCAGTGCCCCATACATCAGCGATAAAACTCCACTGCATCGCAAAAAAAAATCATCAGTCCTCCATCGTCCAACCCTAATTATGACAATAAAAAATCATCCACTTACTTGAACGGGAACAATCCGTACAGCAGCCCGGGCAGGTATCCGTACTGGTTCTGGAACGCAATGGCCGCGTCCACATGCAGCAGCGGGTCCACCATCGGATACGCCACGAATTCGTCTGCACTCACGGGGTAGCCAAAGCCCTCGCTCTTCTGCTTCCAGCAGGGCACGAGCAACACCGTCTGCAGTCCCCCCTCCTCCGGGTAGAACGTGGCGTTGAGCTGCAGCGTCTGGTCGCTGCTCACGGGGTAGAATTCGCCCTGCAGCTGGCCTTCTACGTTGCTCTCGTTGGAGAAGTTCCAACCGCAGGCCGCGCGGTCGTCGAAGCCCGCAGCGAGCGCCGCGTCCGCCGAGTAGGCGGCCAAGACGACGCCGAAGTCAAAGTAGTCGCGCAGTCTGCGCACCGTGATGGTGTCCTGCACCTCGTCCTCGGCCAGTGGACGCACCGTCGCGTTGATGTGGACGCTGGAGCGTCCTCCGATCCCCCAGGGTCCGTGGCCGTCCGCGAACATCCGCTCCGTGACCTTGCAGCCCGTGATCTTGTCGTGCACCTCGTGGATCGAGCAGGCCGCAAGCAGATCTCGCCGACACATCACCAGAAGCGCCACAAGCAGCAGATTCCATTGGTACCCGCGGCATCTTGAAAAGCCGCCGTGGGAGCGCGGCACGGCGGCGGCAAGCGTGCCGACCAGCGGCGCCATGACGGAGCTCTCGAGTGCGGAATGATCATCGCCACGCACATCAACTGTCGCATCGTCTTCAAACACATTTCAGCCAATGAGAGACGCCTTTCCGTTTTCGACCAATGGGCGCGCGCCAGATACCCTCGGAGGCGTGTTCAGTCTGCATTTCGCTCGAGAGTAGAGAAAGCTCGCGAAGATGCCGCGGTCCTCGCTCGTGCCGCTGCTGCTGCTGCTGGCGCTGGCGCTGCGCTCCGTGGGCGCCTCCATCTACCCCGTGGAGAGCAGCTACTGGGTGCCGCCCTTCCAGCGCGCGGAGAAGCTCTTCGCCACGGACCAGGGGCCCATCCTCGCGCGCACGGGCAACTCGTCGGTCACGGTACGTTCGTACTGTAGTACCTCTAGCGATGCATCAACGATCACTAACTGGAGAGGTTGCTGTACTGTAGATCGACATCAGCGGTGTGAATGTTACGCAGGACATGGCCGGCTGGAGACTCGTGGTCTTCTTCTACCACGTGGACAGCTACGAGGACTTCCAGGCCGTGGCCGACAAGATCGAGCTGCTGGCCTGCTCCGACGTGGAGGGGATGAAGTTCGACGGCATGTCGGACATCCAGCGCTTCGTCTTTCCCGTGCTGAACTCGTCCATGCCCTCGGTGAGCGCCAACGTGTCGCACCTCGTGAACACGAGCGGCTGGACGGACACGCAGGTGTTCGTCTGCGCGGACGACGAGGGCGCCCCCACCGAGACGCTCACGTTCACGGGCTCCATGGAGGTGCGCAACCCGTACGGACTGCTGCCCGCCGTGCTGTACGGCATGCTGCCGTTCAGCGCCTTTCTGACGATCGGATACCTGGTGCTGGACGTGTTCTTCGTGTTCCTGCTCATCCGCTACCGCCGCCAATTGCTGTCGCTCCACTGGGGAATTCTGCTGATCCTGGTCATGGGAACGGCGGCGTCGGCAGTCTGGTTCTACGCGTTTTTCAGGATGAACAAGACAGGCGAGCCCGTGTGCTGCCCCTACCCGACGACGTTCCTGATTGCCGTCATTTTGGATGTGAGTTTTGTGTATTGTGTTGAGGTGAGGTTGAAAAACTGTTAACTGACGCACTTACTGTGATGCTTTTGACGCTATATGGTAGACCTTCGTGCGTACGCTGGCGCGTATCATCCTGCTAGTGGTGTGCCTTGGCTACGGCATTGTGCGCAGCCACATGACTCGCGTTGAAGTTAGTGTGATTGCCCTGCTGTCGCTGGCGTACTTTGTGTCGGGGATCGCCGACGAGGTCACGCGCGGCACGTCAAGTGGTGCTGACTTCCGCGAGAAGCCGACGGCGTGGTCGTTTATTCAGCTGCTGTGCAACCTCACGTTCATCATGTGGATCCAGTACTCGATGGAGCGCATCCTGCGCGATCTTCGCGACCAGAAGCAGTTTGCCAAGCTCAGCATGTACCGCTGGCTGGCGTGGTCCCTCGCAGCTTTCATCGTGTTCTTCACGATTCTTACAGTTGTGGCCGTCTGCAGTCGGCTCGGCGTGTTTGAATGGGACGTCGAGTGGGAATGGATGCAGCTCGTGGCTTGGCCGGTGCTGAACTTCACTGTCTCGGCTGCGATGACCTTTATCTGGCGACCGACGCAGAACAGCTCACAATTCGCGTACTCCATGCAGGTATGTGGGAAGATCAACTGGATTTTAAGCTGTTCATCTTGATACTAACAGGAATTCGTTGTTGAATGCTACAGTTGCCTATGACTGAGAGTCCGGGTATCGAGATGACACGCAACACGCACGGATCGTCGTCGGATGAGGACATCAACCCAGAAATTGAGTCCGACTCGGACGAGGAGAACCCGCGTCCCCCCGTGACGGAGAAGAAGCAAAAGAGCTACAGCAAGGATAGTGATGATATGGAAGGGGTCTAGGATGAGTGCAATTAATTTTGTGGGTTGACTGCATCTCATCGATATGAGGCACAAGGAGAGAAGAATGAAAACCACTTTTGTACGTAATGCAAAACAGGCTAGCTACCAGTGGTAGCGTACCACCTAGAGCAGTTTACAAAGCTTGCGCTTCGCTTAGGCGTCCTTCTTGTGGTCGCGCGTTAGTCGCAGCGCCACGACAAGCAGACCAATAAAGCACGCGCCAGGCAAAATGACCGCCGTCATCGTGGCCCCGTGGGATGCTTCTTGCTCGTCAGCCTGCTTGCCTCCAATGACCTTGGCGTCAAACTCGGTGACAGTTTTCGCCTCTGGTACTGGGAGTGGCTTGCCGATACCTGGGGCATCGTCATACTGCGCCCCAGTGTTGCCAGTGTCCTTCTTGGGAGCGCACGGCTTCACCACAGCGTCTTCAGCTGGAGGCTTGGACTCCTCTTCGTCACGAAGCCGCTTAGGCTGGCATGCCGCTGGCCACAACTGATAATTCATAGAAATCAACGATCATTAAAGCAGGTTCACGATCGAAAGGAGATACAAAACAAACGTACATCTTTCGGCCCGGAGTAGCCCTTGCAAACGGCATCCATAAGCTGCTTCAAGCCGATTCCGTGCGATGCGTCGCCTAGTGGTTCATCATTGATGATAACCTGTATACGTAGTTCCAAGGTGAAGTTGTCAGCAGTGATCAGGTAATAAGCAGATATACGATCGATAACCTACGTAGGGCACCCAGGGTACACGCAGTGACTGCCGCTTCGCCACATTCTGGGCCAAGTGACAATGCCCACAGAGGAGAGAGAGGTTAGATCCATTATCGAGGTGGTAAAGGTAGAGTGCGCTCGTTACAGTCTTACCTGTCGAAGAAGCTCGTCACTCTTTGTGTCGTAGCAAGTTTTCATCTTTGCGTTCGCTTCTCCCTCAAAGCATCGGTTGATGATGAAGCTCCAGGTCATACCCTTGTTGTCCTTACTCTCCATGCACTGTCAAGAACGCATCCAACGTAAGCATTGGAATCAGAGACCAAAAACGCAAGTGAGCGTCAACACAGGTACTCACAGCAACACGCTCGACGAGGTCTCCGATTTGATTGAACTCCTCGACTACGCAGCTCAACCACTTGTGCCCCAGACACTCCACCATGCCGGCGGTGCAGACAAAGTTCCCCTTCGCGTCAAAAGTTGTACCCGCTGCCGGCACGGGGTGGAAGTCGATGATCTCCTGAAATCTGGTCGATTGCGAGCAACAAGCACACGAGTTAATAGGCGATGGTGGAATATACCGCTAGATTGCATTAACTGCATGACGTACTCTTTGTTTCGAATCAGCGAAAGCAAGGGTCGCGTGATGAACGACATGCACCCGGGGCTGCACAAATACCCATGTCAGCCGAGAGATAGCAGCAATATGGGCGATATAAGACGATAACGTACCAAAAAGCTCGCCAGTACATGTCAAGCTTCACCTTCCCGGTTACTGCGGCGGTGGTTGGCACGTTGGCAACAGCAGGGGTCGCCTCAGCCGGCTTCACGTCCACAGCGACATTGCCGCTAACCACAGCATTTTCTTTCGCGGGAGCTTGGACTCCTTCGTTCACCTCCTCCTCAGGCACAGCAGGAGCAGCAGCGACTTCAGACTTCTCTCCGGCCGCCGCTAGGGGTTTGTCAGTCTTGTCCACAACTACAGCCGCTTCCGGAGCAAACTCCTTCTGCTCACCGGCAAGTTTTACGCATTCCGCCGGGTAGGAGCTTTTGGGTCCAGTGTAAGCGGAACAGACGCCGGCTTTCAACGCGTTCAAGGCCACGCCTTCGGTAGCCGAGCCAAGCACCTTTTGGTTCACAATTGTCTGTCCAGTAAATTAAACGCATGATTAGTTGAGCATCTCTAGCGAGACATACAGCAGCATGGCAGTAAACGTACGTAGGGCATCCAGGGAACGCTTCCAGAGCGCTCGTCGCGAATCATCTGAATCAATCACAGGCACTCCAGTCAGTACTTTATACCTCAGCATCTACAGAATCAGATGCAAGCCAACGTACCTTCACTAGTAGATCCTTGCTGCGGTTATCGAAGCACTCCTTCACCACGACGCGCTCTTCATCCGTCAAGCAGTTCTTGACCTTCGTATTCCAGTCGCCCACTTGTCCCGACTCGTCTCCTTCAATGCACTACCAGGAAACCATCCTATCAGCTAAAACTGCCACACACCCAACCGTAGAATGCAATTGCACGCACCGCAATCGTGCCGAGGTACTTGACGACGTCATCGCGGTCGTTGTCCAGCACGCAGACCTGCCAGCGGTGGCCTGCACACTCCAACGGACCCGCCTCACACGTGACCGATCCGTCCTCCTTCTCCTTCATCCCAGCAGCCGGGATCAGCCTGCAACAAATGCCAATTAATTAGTCACCAACCTGACGTCAGGTAATTAATTCCATCCCAGGAGATGCAGCACTCGCGCCCAAATGACTCACGTCAGGTTGACGATATTGCGGTACTCCTCCGTGCGCACGAGCTCCAGCAGCGGGTCGCCGACGAACCATTGGCACGCAGGACTGTGGTGTGCAACAGATACAGAGCGTGAGGCATTGGCGCAGTGGCGGGTTATGGTGGGAGGGTGAACGTGAAGGTACCAGAAGGCGCGGAAGAAGACCCGCAAGCTCACGCGGTGCTGCTCCGCCACGCCCGTGGACGCCGCGGAAGCAACGGAATCGGAGCCATGGAGTCCGAGCAGCAGCGCAGACGCAGCTGCAGTCGCCAGCGAACGCAGGAGGCCCATGGTGCGGAGGGAGAGGCGCAACTTCCAGCAGCTACTGTGCGATACGCCCGCCACGTCGGTGTATGAATTGGCGAGTGGGTCAAATGGCATTAAAGTAACGTATCAGTTGTAGAGAGATTTCATGAAAACAGTTTAGCAGCATTTTATTACGTGTGTGCTGCACACCAAATTGAAGTGATGAGTGACTCGGCCTATCAGCATGGTCGATAGATTCATTGGAGCTCGTGCAGGTTTCCACCGACATATTACTCGCTACACACATAGTGTCCTGCTTGCGGAACGGAGACAAGACCCTTGCTACAAACAACGCCTACGTCGACTCTGCGTAGAGCGTTTGCTCGCCAATGGTGTCGAGTGGTTCGGACTTGCCGCCGTAGATCTCAGGAACGCCTTCACCGAGTTCGGTGAAGAGCTGCTCGCCGTAGCTCAGCACCGTGAACTTGCGGACGGTCTCCGCCGGCAGGAAGAGCTTGAACGCCGCGAACATCCAGCCCATGATAACAGGCACGTTGACGAAGAACTTGCGGCTCAGCATTTCCGGGTACACCTTGGAGAACACGTCGATGGTCTTCCGCGACGCGACCTTAACGTCCGGGTCCTGGCGCAAGAACGATATGTTGAGGTAGTCGTGCACCTGGATGCCCTGGTACGGGTCGCGGCCCTCTCCGTAGTCGGGAATGGGCACCGTCGCTTTATTCAGCTTGAGCTTCTGGATGCCCTTCTCCATGAGAGCCACACGCCAGCGCAGGAATCTGAATGCGCCACGACAACGAATTAAACAAAAAGTCAGCGAGGTGATCATCACACTCTGGTATCTGACAGCTCCACTCACTGGTCGAGGTTGCCGAACGTGGCCTTGTTGTCCTTCACCGCTCCGTAGATGTTGAACGTCACGACGTCCTTCTTGTTCTCGCTCTCTGGGACGCCCTCGATCTCGATCACGTAGCCCAGTCCACCAAATATTTCCTTGGAGAACTTCTCGCCCAGCGTCTCCAGCGGCTTGAAGCTGCTGCGCCACGCGAGCGTCTCGCCCAGCTGCGTCTTGGCCTTGTCCACGTCGTTGGCGTTGGCTCGCAAGAACTTCTGCAGAATGAGCTTGGTCGTGAATGGGCCGCTCGGGTCCAGCGTCACGCCGAACACCTCGTTGTAGCCATTGGCGGCCTCGATGAGGGACGGCAGCACCTTGAGCAGCTGGTTGATGGGGTGGTCCTCGGCGATGGCAGGCCACTCAGGGGCGTTGGCAGTGGACATGGCGAGCTTCTAGCGGTTCAAACGTTCTTCGGGAACTGAAAACCATGCAGAGAAAACGCGTCAGTTGATGGAAACCTGCGCTATCGACTGGACATGAAAGATAGAAGGTGGGCGCTACACTTCAACTTTGCGCAAATGCCGGCCACAAGTGAGTCCTGCACTGGGCTGCACTGCTGTGTGTATGCTGTCCTTCCCAATGGTGCGGTCTTGGTTGACTTGCTCCAAGGATGAGTTGCATTGGTATTTTACAATGGAGTGTCGTAGCGACACAAAATAATCATTTTGACACGCATGGGACGTGTGACGAGGCCTGCAGCTATATTTGGCACTGCCAGTACAAGTATCACCGCGCCATGATCGTCCTCGTTTCCTAGTCGACTCGGGACCGCCGCGGCTCTCGTGTCTGGCACCGACAGTAGCAGATATGACGCAGCCGCGGTACATCGACCCACGCGACGAGTCCTCGTACTCGGCGGACGATGAAGACTTCAACCCAGTCGCGCCGATAGACGACGACGAGCTGGATGCGCATCAGCAGGTGCTTGGGATGGCGTCGGCGATTGAGCAGCTCACGCGAGACTTTGCTCGGCAGCAGGAGGAGCTGGCGGCTGCGTACAAGAAGCTACAGCACTATGCACTGCAGGAGCAGAGCGGGGAAGGCCCGAAGGCCAAGCAGAGTCCTCGTCCTGGCAGCAGAGAGGCCAACGAACACTGCGGCTGCACCCATGCGACGGAACTGGAAGAACTGAAGAAGCTGCTGGGGGTGAAGGACTTGGCGCTAGCGGAGGCGCTGCAGCAGCGCAATGAGCACCGAGTGGAGCTGGAAACGGCCGAGGCGCTGATCGCCGAGCTGCGTTCACTGCATTTGGACTCCACGGGGGGTCGGATCCCTCAAGCAGCTTGGAAGTCGAGCCCCCCTCCCGTGCCTGGGGTTTCGTCCGTTCAAAACACGTTCAATCGCAGCGCTCGAAGCGCTGTCACGTCAATTCAGTATTCCCAGGCAAACGTAGGCATTCGCACACCGATGTCACAGGCAGCAACCGCAGCTCTGCTTGGGTGTCCTGGTGCCATCGATGTACCTCACGACGAGCGGTTTGATACCGAAAGCTCGTACAAGTTGCGCAAGGAGACTGGCGGCGCCTTCTGGCGGAAGCAGTACAAGGAGGCCGTGCGAATGCGCAAGTCTCCGTCAACTGTGGGTCAGCCGAGTGCTGTTATCACACAGCACAACTCGGCTCGGCCGTCACTGAAGATCTTTTCGAGTCCTGACAACCGCAAGAAGAAGACTGATCAGCTACGCGATGAGTCCGTGCCGTCCTCGCGATACATTGGTATCAGCTCGAGGCAGAATAATATCATCAAGGAGCAGCACCGCATGCTCGCGAAAGAGTGAGCAGTGCGGAGGGTTCGCTACAAAGTTCACTCCAACTCAATGACCATATTTTCTTCATCGTAAGAATACATGCAACGTTACTCGGATTGAAACATGAATGCGGCTCCATTAGGTTACTGCTACAACTAATGCCCACACGTCGGTGGGTGGAACCATTCCACATCACTTGGCTGATAATTTTTCTGTTGCTCTGTCGGGGCATTATTCCGCGACCGGCACCGGTACGAGGACAGACGCAGCGGTGGCGGCGGCAGCGTCCACAGCAACAGCAGCTTCGACAGCAGCCGTGGCGTCGATGGTTGCCTCAGGTTCCTCTTTCTTGGGCTCCTCCGGCTTGACGGTCACAGTCGGCTCGAGATACTTGCCTTCCCGCGCGGACTTGATTGCTGCGGTGATCACAGCACGGCGCTTGTACTCGCTAGCGTTCTTGGGAATCGGCGGCGCGAGAACCGTGCGGCCGTCCACCACGAAGTGCGTAACCCGCTCGTACGGGAACGGTGACAAGCTCGACTCGTGGAAGTAGCCTGAGAACTTGAGGCGGCGCAGATAGACCTGGTAAATCTTGTCTTGCGGACGGCTTTCCACCACGAATCCGGAGCCGAACGTGGTCAGCACGCGCTCGTCCTTGTGGTATTTGGGCCTCCTGCGTATCAAACACACGAATCAATTCAGTACCCTCCCTGTCAGGTATCTACACCAGCATTTTAAAGCCGCGAAACTTACGGGGTCATCTTGATGGTTGCCATGGAGGATACCCTAGCCTTGACGCTCGAAAGCGTAGGTAGGTTCCCAGGAAGAGCAGGCAGGTTGGCTGGAAGCGCTGGAAGACCACCGGCAGCCACAGAGGCGCTACGCATTCGCTCACCCGCGTTCATCATGGACGTGCGCGTGATATTCAGAATCGAGGACAGGCGGGCGTTGGCCGCCGCCGGTGCATGCGCCAGGGCCGTCTCGGCCTGCGCGTCGCTGATAAACAGCAACGGCGTTTGCCCAGCAAGCGACGGCGCCTCCAACTCCACCGCGTACGCCTGGTCGTCCTCGCGGAAGTGCGCGATGTGGCCGAATCCGAACGGAGTGTTGACGCGGTCTCCGTGGGCGTAGTGCGTCCGTCGTTCCAGCATCCGCACCGAGTCCGCATTCAGGTACGCCGTGGCTCCGCATCGCGTCTTGACCACAAAGAACTTGTCCGGGCGCACTTCAAGCACTGTGCAAACACCGAAAGGCGTCTGAGCCTTGCCCAAGTCCGGCTGCTCCGCCACGCCGTCGAGCTTGGTGCTGACCGGGACGCTGTCTCACCAACCGACCAGGGCGAAAGGACACAGCGACGAAACAACATGAGAAACGGTCTCTAGCAAAATATATAATCCCTACAGCAGCATAGCAATGAACATCTCTACCTCTTGCTCGTCGTGGTGAGCTTGGAGCCGACGCTCTCCCGCAGCGAGCTGTAGCCCTCGAACAAGCGGTTCTTGGTGTTCTGGATGAGCGTGCCGCGCGAGTTCACCTTCTCGAACTTCTTGGTCGTGGCCTTCATGCGCCAGACGTGCTCGTCGTCCCAGCGCCAGTCCAGCGCGATGCTATACATGTCCTCGTCGACGTAGTACTGCTCCACGGTCGCCATGCCCCAGCGCGTCTTCACGCGCTCGCCCACGACGCTCTTAATCTCCCTGATAATGGTCTCCTCGCGCAAGTACGCGAGGTTCTTGGGCACCAGCTGCACCACGACAAAGCCGTCCTCGTGACGCACGTCCAGCACAGTTCCGGTGCCGAAAGTGGTAGCAACGCACATGCCGCGTCGCGCCTGGAAGCCCGAGTCCGAGCGCGGCGACGGGGAGCTGCCGGTGCTGCCTGTGAGCGACGTCTTGTTCGTTTCTACCGGTTCGGGCGCCGAGTTCTGGCGCACGCTCATGCGGCGGTAGAGCGACGTGGCCGTCGCCTCGATGGACATGCCGCGGCGGCGGATGGCGGCGGCGGCCACCGCCGCAGCGGACGGAGCGGGCACCACGCCGTCGTGGGAGCGGCGCTCGCCCGGGAAGTCGGGCAGCTCGCCCGCCTGGTCGTCCTGGTTGTCGTCGAGCACGGGCTCCTCCTCGGCCTCCTGCTCCAGCACGGACGAGAGCTCGTCCTTGGCGCCCTTGTCCTTGCGGTAGGTGGGCACCTTGGGCAGGAACCCGCCGAGCGCGAAGCCCGCGCGCTTGGGCTTGACGGTGTCTTCCTTGCTGGTCGCGACCATCTCGAACGTATCGGCGCTGCTCGCCTCGCTGCTTGCTCTTCTTGACGCGACTGGACTTTTGCGGTTGTGCGTGGCAGTAGCGCAGACCCAGGAGGAAATTGAGTCTCCTGCGAAATGGATACAGCCGTTTCGGGTTTGTAACGGAAACAGCGGCTTCCTCAATTAGGAGCTGTATTTTTTATTTGCAGATTTTTATTTGAGGCCTGGAGCGCTGCCAACTCGTGAAGATGCAATGCGGTTGAAGCGATGTTAGCCAGCCTGAGCATTGGACACGGGGGTACAGGTGTACAATGACGTGTGTGGTGGCAGTCAAGTCGACACATTCAAACTACTCCAGTATTTGCTACTCCGACGAGTTGAAGTGCGAAGCAGCAGCGAAATGATAGCTGACAATCAAAGGGATGAACTCGCCGGTGCTATTGTTATCTCGGCACAAATTTGTGCCGAGGACACACGAAGCCAACTCAATCGGCCGTATGAACACTTCCCGGCCTCACTACATGTAAATAAAATGGGGCCTGCGCCATGAATTCACAGTCAGCTCGTCGGAGTGGCGCAATACTACAAGTTGTAATCTTCAGTGCAACAAACAAGTGAGTCCTGCAAAAGTCTGCACCAAGTCAGTGTAGCTGCTTCAGGGAGTTATGCTGTGGGCTCAGCTGATGCCCTACGATGCAGCTTTGCAAGGGTGATCCTCCACGAGGTTGCTGTAAAGAGAAAGTTAAATACCTATATGAGGCTTACAGGCCTGTCTCGTACCGGGAATCAGAGCCACAAATGGGTTACAAATGCCCGTTTATGGCCACAGGTGGGGCCGTTTTGGGTCTTGTGGGAGTTGGTGTTTGGGTCTTTTGGGTGCGAGAGACCTGAACGTAAAGGTGTTCCACCGCTCCCGAGATGCGGCGGCGCGAGCCCAGCAGCAGCGACGCAGGAACGCACGCCGTCGCCGCGATCGCAGACTGCGGCCGAGTCCTCTTGCGTCCTGGACGTGGATCCGCACCAAGCGCAGCTCTGTCTGGTCCCATTTCTTAGGCGCAGCCGTGTCGGGCATGACATCACCTGCGCAAATCGCGGGCGCTCTAATCAGACCAAATTTTGCTGCTGAAGCCATCTCTGGGCACGGCAACCTGACGTTGCAGTCGCCGCATAGTTGAAATGCGTCGGCGGTCATCTAGATTCGATGGGAGCTTTGGGACTGTGCGCCTCAACGACACCCTGGGTTAATTGTTAGGCGTGGATGGGATCCGTTGCTCAAAACTTGTCCATGTATTCGCCTCCGGGCCTCGCATCGAGCTCTGGCCTGCAGCCTTTAGATGATGGCATCACGCGGTAGCAGGAACGCCATGAGCGGTAGCGGATCCGGCCTTTCAGCGCATGATCTTCTGCCACTCGTCCAGCGTGAGCATGTGCAGCGAGTCGCTGCGCAGCGTATCGTAGTGGAGGCGCTTGGACACCACGCCGAGCTGCACGGGTGTGCGCGTCTGGCGCCGGCGCCGCCGAACCACCTGCGGCCGGCCGTCGGTCTTTACTTCCACGACCTCCTCCACGTCACTGCCATCGTCGTCGCTGTTGAGCTCGTAGCTGTGGAAGTCAAGCGGGTCGCAGCGTTCGAGAGCAGGTTGCTCCTTAGTTTCGACGTCCTGCGACGCCTCACGCCTCTCCTTGGCCTGCTGTGCTCGGCGCTCCGCCGACGTGGGCTGTAGATGCAAAACTGAGTGTGAGGCGATAACCGAGGGATGGCAATAAAGCAGCGCTGCGCAACGTACCCGATAGGAGGCATAGTTGAGCACTAACTGCGAGCAAAAGGCACAAACGGGGGCTTCGTCATACAAATGGGTCATCCGGGCATGGTTCATTCCTTCGGCTGCCTGCTCCGCCCCGCCATTGTCCAGAGCCTCCGGTGGTGATCCATTTGCTGCCGCCCATGACGCCCGCAAGTCCACGATGCTCTTGTAGGACACTTTCGTAGTCAGATTCGTCTTGGGGAATACGTACAAGCAGAGCGAGCACGGCTCACTGGTAAGCGACGCCATGGTACTGCTCAGAAGAGGCGTCTGCTCTTCAGCGAGCACACGACGCAACTGACGCAGCTTCGCCCTCGCCTTGATCTTGTCGAGTGTGCGCTGGGACTTCTCAAACTCCTGTGAACATGCGTGCGACTTGGCCAAGACGCGGCGCAGCTTTTTGATCGCACAGCGCGAGATCGAACCAAACTGCTCCATGAGTCGCTCCTCGCTCATTTCCTCGAGAGAAAGCTTCGGCACTCGTTGAGAAGGCAACAGGCCGTCGCCTTCGCCCTCATCGTCATCGCCGGACGAGGGTCCAAACCCAGCAACTTCAGTAATATGAGGCAAGCTCGCACGCAGACCTACAACCACTGAACTGTTGTGACGGGCGGTAGTTTTCGCTGCTGCTGCGTCCACGGCCACAGCTGCTACTGCTTCCATCACGCCATGGAGGGTTTTGCTTGACGAGGGTGAGCGCAGCGAAGGAGTTCTGCTTGCACCTGCAGACTTTTTGCGCCCTAACGAGTCTCGGTGGGGTGTCATGACTCCTGCAGCGCTGATCGGCCGTTGGTTTGTGCCGAGTGCTTTCTTCGCCGCGAGGTCCACATCAGACGAAAGCGACGATCTCGAGCTGCTATTCCTAATCGAGTCGCCGACCAAACCTTTCGAAACGAGTTCGGACGTGCTCTTGCAGACCATTGCAGACTTTGGTCGAAGTCCGTGCGATGATGGAGGACTCGACACCTCGGGCGAGCGGTCTTGTGCGTTGTTGTTGCTGCTGCTGGGCGCTGCAGACTTTGACCTGGGCAGGGACCGCTTGGCGACAAACCTCAGCTCCCTCTTCTTGCTCATAACCACGACCTGCTGGTGCGGAACCAGCGCGTGGTTGCGGGTGGCCTGTGCAATGCCCTTCTCGTGATGCTCGACGGCTCTTCTCACCACCGCTTCCAGTAGCGTCGTGTTCCCACCGCCGCGCTTGCCCCCAGTGGCCGGACTCCGAGGCCCAAAGCCCAAGTTCTCCACCATTTGATTCCACACTACTCTTGCAGGCACGTTGCGCTCTGCTCGCGCGCACTCGTCGACGAGACACCGCGCCGTGGACTCGAGCTTGCACGCGACCAGCCACTCCTGCACCAGCAGCAAGGCGAACTCGCCCGCCTTGTCCTCGCCGGGGGCATCCTTGCGGCGCTGAGGCGAATCCAGCGCCGTGACAGCCATCGCCTGCGTCTACCTGGGTCACAAGAGGACTGTCGTCACGCTGTCAAGTCCCGGGATGTCTGCAAATAGCTGCCACGACCTTTCGAGATCGAAAACGTAGTGACTTAGATTCTGAAACTTCTAAATAAGCGATCCAAATCTTAGATTCTGAGGGGGATCAGATCCGATTTCCCTTTTGATCGGCGAAAATGGTGCGTGCCAGTGTGACCCGCTTGAGGCGGCTTCTCCGGGTGATATACCGCCTCCACGAGCTGCATAAGGCTGCAGTTATGCGTGCGGCTCTAATTAAATGCTGTTGTGCCGCAGAAATTCAGGTTCTGCGGTGGACTGGAGCCGCCCGACTGGCTGCTGGCCGAGGTGCCGCTGCTGTCAGGGGAGCAGAGCAAAGTGGTGCGCTTGCGGCTTCGCTGCGGCTTCAATGATCGGCGCTAACAAGCTTATCAAACTACATGCATAGACGCATGATGACCTCGCTGCTATGTGTGAAGCTATTGGGACGGATATCGGAGTGCAGGTTTGTTGAAAGCCATGAGTGCAGAGCGTGGGAAGGTGGAGAGCTTAGCGATGTTGGTTGCGTTGGCTGCAGGAGCTGGATCGGACGCAGACATTATTTCAGGACCCTGCAGACGCGAAGGTTGAGCAGGATTACATTGTTTTGCTGCGGTTCATGTTGACCTGACGAGGGTCTGGTTGCCATTCCGTTCCAGGCTGCTGTTGCTGCTCTACGGTTCATGTTGACGCACGCTGCCAAGTACGACGCAGACCGCGCAGATCTTGTCGAGGAGCTGCAACAACTTGGCATGCAGCAGGTATCAGCCGACGCCATTGCTCAGAGCTACGAGGAACAGCGTGTACACATCCAGAACCAACAGCGCTCCCGACGCTTTCAGGTGCGGCTTCTCGATCGATCGCTCCTTCAGCACATTGCACTCACCATCACATATACTTCACTTTACCGCGCAGTTTCCTCACGTCGAGCAAGTCGAGTGGAAGCTGGAGGAGGCTCCGTCCACGACGGTGAAGCTCAAGTTGAAGCTGGACCAGCCGGTGATGGATTGCGGCGTGGCGGCGGCATCGATACCAGGCGAGGCAGGGCACGAGCTCAGCTTCGACGTGGACAAGAGCAAGTTCCTGGCGCTGTACGAGGAGCTCAGTCAAGCGCAGTCGCTGCTGCACAGCTAGTAGCAGTAGCGTGCGGCCTAAACAGTTTAGGCAAGTTCCGACCCCGATTAGCGCGTCATCAAGGTCCAAAAATACGTGTGTGTCGCAAAAATAGGTGTCGCAAACGCTTATTCCCTCCTTCACTTCACTTGGTTCCACTATGGCATCCAGCTCAACTTGAGTCAAACGGGGGCACTTCCCGCCGGACACTCCGCCCCATCAAGACTGTTTCATGCAAAGCAGGGGGGCGCTTCAGCCCGGACAAGCGTTCCTCGTGACTGTCTTCAGACAAAGAAAACCCGCACAAAAGCGCAGTCATGGGCGGCGGGTCCTGGGTCGTGCACGAGGGCTTCCTGCTCGTCAAGCGCGACGGGGCTGCGTCCCCGCGCGCGGAGGGCGCCAAGCCCCCGCAGTGGAGGCCGGCGCTGGTCGGCGGCAAGGGCCTCAAGGAGCTCTACGTGGTGCTCACCATGAACCGCAAGCTCGAGTTCTTCGACGGCAGCGACCCCGAGGCGCGCAACAAGGTAGACATCGCCTACCTGCTGGGGTTCGCCGGCTGGGACGGCGACGGCCTGCTCAAGGCGGACTCGTACGGGCTGGAGCTCAAGGTGGAGCGCCACGCCAAGCCGCGCATGCACCTGGCGGCGTTCAACCGCGTGGATCAGGAGAAATGGTGTCGTGGATTTATGGGTACGTGCGTCGCCTAATGGCGGAAGATTTGGACCCAATTGCTGACGGGAATTGGGTACTTTTGATGATGTTGCAGCGGTGCTGGATCCGCACAGCGCGGCGGGCGAGGAGGTTCGGCGCGAGCGACGCCGCGTGAAGAAGGAGGAGAAGCGGCTGCAGGAGGAGCGCGAGGAGAAGATCCGCAAGTGGAAGGAGAAGAAGGCCAGAATGATCAAGGAGGAGCAGGACCGCCTGCTGGCGCGGGAGGAGGAGATTAACAACATGACGCCGCTGGAGCGCGTGGACGGCCTCGGCTCGCTCGATGACGACACGGCCAGGATGCTGGAGAAGAGGAAGCTGAGGCTGCAGCGTCGACAGGCCCCCACGACGGGCAGAGTGAACAAGGCGGCGTATCGCCGACGGCTCGAAGAAGCGGCGGGAGGAAAGACGGACAACGTGCAGCCGTTGCACACGAGGATTGTGGAGCAGAAGACCAAGGTTCGAGTGGAACTGCCTCCCCCTGGACAGTGTAAGTACACTTTGTATTTTCTTGGCCCACTCGAGGAAGTGAGTATCTGTGAATTAATGTGTTTTGATCTTGTGCGCAGTTTTCGAGGTCGGTGGTGTTGTTCACAATGACGCGCCGGTGCGTCTAGGCTCCTCTGGAAGCGACATGTCGGACAGCTCGTCGATGTCGTCGCGGCTTTCTTCTGTTTCGTCGGTAACTGGATCCAGACACGACGGGGGTATGGGCAATGCTCCTCCTCCTCCGCCGCCACCGCCGCCGATGCGCTGGTCAGCTAGTAATTCCCGCGTCTCCATGTCGTCCCGAGCGTCGATGAGTATCCCGCCACCTCCGCCTCCCCCACTATTTGACCACCAGAGTTTCAACGAGCGGGAATCCCGACTTTCGAGATCCAGCAGCAGCCTACGAAGCTCGTCGTTCGACTCGTTCGCATTTGATCGGGATGAAGACCCCGTGCCGTCTAGATCTTCCTTCTCGCAAGGCAGTCGCCGGATTTCAAGTGCGGACAAAAGCAAGCAGAACATGCAGGACAATCTGGCTGCCATCTTAGGTGGGGGAAGGCCCAAGCCCGCGTCAAGAGCGAGCCGCCGACGAGACTCGTTTGGATCTACCATGAGCTCAGTGACGACTGCGTCTTATGCGGCGCCGAGTCGAAAGCCCAAGACGGATAACACCCGAACGAACGGAAGTACGAGTTCACCGGCCCCAGAACCGTCGATGGCGAACGCTTTCGCGGCTAGTCTTGCTGCGATTCGGCGTAACCGTGCTGACACTGTCGAGGAAATGAGCGTTAGCAGCAGCGCTGTTAGCCCGGTGGCAGGCGCCCCCGTCAATGGCAAGGTGCGCGATCGGAAACGCGATTCTCAGCTAAGTGCTGAAGGAAAGGAGATCTTGAAGAAGGCAATGGGCGGCGAGAGCACTCAAGCTCCTGCTTCTAAACTAAAGTCGAAGGCGAATTCCGGACGCAGGGGTCTATTTGACGACAGTAGCAGTGACGAAGACGATGATTCCGACACTGGTTTGTTCGGTGTCGGTGGGCGAAAGAGCAAGGCGCCGAACAGTACCTCCCGTGCGTCTACTAGCATGCGTTCAAGTGATTTGAGTGTGGACTCGCGCCCAACGCCAGTGAAGAAGAGCGCCCCTGCGCCATCCGTAAGCAGCGATGAGGATGTATCAAGCGACTCCGATTCTGACAACGGTACGAATCCAATATTTTCTGATGTCGGTCTTTTGCAATGTTTGGCTAACCCACAGGTGCATGTTGCAAGCAGGCACATCATTCTTTGCCCAGCCTCGCAAAATCGAACCAACAAGTCCGAGGGGTGCCACGACGAACAACATGGGGGCAGGCGGCTCTGGTCCTAGCGTCGTCGTGGTGTTCATATCCTCTGCTCTGCGCACTGAAGGCAAAAAGTCGACCGGTGTCTTCACTTTCATGCTTCAGTTCGGGAACTTGGAGCACAGCTTCTCATTTACATACTCGGAATTTGAGGAGATCCACACACGACTGACCTCAGCTTTCCCGAGCACAGCGCTGCCAAAGTTCCCTTCAAAGCACCGCTTGCGCAATAACACGAAGCCTGAAAACATGGAGAAGCGAGCCCAGGAGTTCCGCCTGTACTTACAGCAGCTGGTGGCCTTACCTGGGGTTCTGTCGAGCGAGCGGTTCCAGTTCGAGTACCATATCGACGGCGCCTTTTCGCGCGCATTGGCGAACGGCCAAAACTCCAACGGAAGTGTAGCAAATGGTGCTCAGTCTAATGGCCGACCTCCGAGAAGCCCCGTTGCACCTCTACCGAAGAAGGAGCAAGTGGTGTCGCCCGATTCTTCTCGACAAGAAAGCCCCCCTGCCCGAGCTGCCAAGCCGAGAGCGTCGAAGGGACTCTTTGGCTTGGACGACTCGGACTCCGACCCCGAGTCGGACTCGGATACGTCGGTCGACACGCCAAAACTGGTTACACGGCAGCAGCGGCGTGAGTCTGCAGCGTCGTCAACTCAACGGAGGAAGCCGAAAACAGCCGAGCTGTCCAGCAGCGTTATCGGCGCTGTCCCCGAAGATACTCTGCGCGGCAAGAAGAGTCGGTCGCGTTCACGGTTGAGCTCTCGAGCGAGTTCAAGAGCAAGTTTGGCGGCTCCTCCTCGCCCCGTCGAACCACCAAAGCCGGCCGTGACTGGGTTACCTCCAGGACGCCCGAATCCCTTTGCAGGTGGTCGTGGTGACCTGCTTGCGGCGATTCGGCAGGGTACTCAGCTGAAGAAGACCGGCGACGGGGACCCAGCAGGTACTTCTGGTGCTTCCTCGGCCGCCGCGAAGCCTCCGCCGCCACCTCCAGCGCTTACGCAGGCTGGCTCCATCAACGAAGCCATCACGAATGCAATGGCGATGCGGCGTATCCACGTCGAGTACGAAGAGTCGAACGCGGACGCAGACTCGGACGACGACTGGGACTAAAGCCACTCTGAGACGAGTGACGCTTCTCGTGGCGAGGTTCTGGTGGCGCGCCAGCCTGCCTCTGCGAGCTCCGTCGGAAGAGCGAGCGGTGAGGGGCACAACCAGACCGCGAGACGGTAATATAGTAAGCAAGTAGCGGCGGCTGGCGGATGCCGCCGCGCATTTCTGACTAGAAATTGAATGAATGGTAATTTGGATAGCCTGGCACAGCTACACTTCAATTTGAACCTGCGTTTAACACGGCGATGCGCTCCGCGATGAGCAGCAATGCATTGCTGAACACGCAGGAACGGCAACTTGCAGTTACCGTGCATGTAGCTACGTAGCTCACTCCTGCTCGCGCTGGTCTCCTGCTGGCATCACCACGCTGCCCTCGAATTGGCCTGGAGCCGTCGTCTGTCGTATAGCAGCAGCAGCGACACACGTGTTAACTACAATAGCACGCACCAGCAGGGCCCCACTGTGAAGCTGCACGCAGACAGTCACTCATACCTCCTCCATGCTGCTGAAAACAATGCCGACAACCGAGAACGCGACGGCCATGCCCATACCCCACAGGAAACTCTGCATCACAGTACACGAGAATACCTCATCAGTCCTATGCACGTAGACTACTAGTGAATGGTCAGCCAAACGCGCTTACCTCCTTCATAACCCCGCCAAAGGTCTGCGGGGGCTGCTGCTCCGAGTGCACGAACGGGTTCGCCGGCGGCGGCGGGGCGGGCGCCTCCGTCAGCGCGTTGCTCAGCTTTGGCGCGTCCGGAACAACACGCCGCGCCTCGCTCTTCTTGACGCGGATGGGCTTGGCGCGCTTGATGCCGGCGGACGAGAAGCTGCGCGCCGAGTGGCGCAGGATCGGCAGCATGTTTCCTGTGCGATAAGCAGAAGTGGTGGCGTAACCGTCGTGTACCCCAAGGTTACACACTACCATCATTCTCGCGACCTTGCATACGGCATAAAAAAGAGGTTGCTGGCGACATGCGCTATGCAGTCGCTGGCATGGACTTGAGCGTCACCTCGGCGACAGGCTTGGGGGTCTGGGGGCAATGCTCAGCAAGCACAGGCAACAGGCAATTTGTGGACAAGAAGCGGTGATTGCTGCAGCGCTGCGAACAGCTCGGTGTCCGATATCGGAGGTCTCGCCTGCTGCACTGCTTCCCGCCGCCGGGCCAGTCCCACGCGCAGGGTGTCAGCAATTGACCGCTCGCCTGGCTGTCTGGAGCAGAGCGGGCAGCTTTCTCCTCGCGCCGTCGGACGCGCAGGCAGGGCGCCCCACCACCAGCACACGACGAGAGGCTGGGTCAGCAAGATACATAAGACAAGGCAAGACGTCAGCGTTCGCACTCATGGTTACATGTGTATTGCACCCTACTCCAGTATACTCAGTAAATAAATAATTTACTCTCTTCTCCTCCAGGTAGCTCCACCTATTGTACGTGTGTGGTGTCGTCTCTCTGTTGTTGTCGGGTGTTACCGGTGCCTTCTTCGATCGAATCGACCTTCCTTCCTTCCATCTCTCTCCCTCTCTCTCTCTCTGCTCTTCCTTCTCTGTGGTTCTCCACTGTTCTCTCTCTTCTTCATCTTCATCATCTTCATCTCTGGACTGCTGCTGCTGCTTACACCGAGTAGCTGGTGTCGAAGGAGCCCGCGGGGCTCAGTCGGAGCTGCCTGTCGCTCTTCGGGACCTCGTAGCCCGACAGGCTCACGTAGCCGGCGTCGTAGCTGCTGGGGTTCTTGCCGATGAACTTGCTGAAGGCCGCGCTCTTGCACAGCCGCGGGTGCGCGTGGATCACCAGCAGCAGCTCCTGCAGTCTCGCCGCGCGCGCGGTAAGCAGCTTGTCAGGCGAGACGAACATCTGGAAGACCGACACGATGCCATGTGGCGGCAGCTCCGGCAGCTCGGACAGCTCGGACAGCCCCTCGTGCAGCAGCTTGAAGTCCGTGAAGCGGCGGCGCACGACGTAGGCGTTGGTGTCGCTGGGTCCGCCGACGTCCACCTTGAACACCCACGTGCCGTGGCTGTTCTTGGAGTAGCCCGAGATGGTGACCGTGCGCACGAGGTCGACCTCGTCGCCCGCCGAGTAGGGCCGCGCGCGGGCCGCGCCGCTGGCCGGCGCGGCGGGGGCCAGCATGCGCTCGAGGCGCAGCGCCGACTCGGAGTAGCTCTTGTGTCTGCGGCCGCGTCGGCGGCCTCCGCTGGCCACCAGCGCTCCGCTGCTGGAACTGCTGGTGATGGTGGGGCGGCTGCTGCTCTGCACGTAGACGACGGCGGTCGCGGTCGCGGTCGGGGACGTGGCGGGCGTGGCGGCCGAGGCCGTCGGCGAAGTGGACGTGGACGGCGAGGCCGGCTTGAGGCTCAGGCGGTAGACCATGGGCGGCACGGCCGTGGCGTTGCTGTAGGTGACGGAGGTCCCTCGCGGGGAGTACTCCGGGATCATCATCCTGGAGGCGGCGGAATGGTGGCGACTCGGGCGGCGGCAGTCAGCGCGAGGCGCCGGTGTGCAATGGGGTGGCTGGGGGTGGGGAGGGAGAGCTCCTGGGCCGAGAACGATACAGCGGCCAGCTCTGCCCAGACGCAGCAACGACTCGCGCTGTTGCAGGCAAAATTCAAAGTGAAGGTATCTGCACAGCATTGGTGCTGGAGCGAAAGGGGGGCGCCACAAAAGCACAAGGCGCAGAGCCGGGCCAGGGGATGCGTTTTTGACGAGCTGCGGTTGACTTGTCTTCACTATGCCACAAAAGATACGGCAGTTTGGCTGTGAAGGTGATGGTCAAGCTCGCGCTTTGCTCTGGTCAGGGGCCTGCTGCGGCGCGCAGCAGGTGGCGCCGGCGCGGCGCCGTGGCGGCGGTGAGAGCGATGTTGACAGGCGTCGAGCAGCTGGATGAAGGCGGACCGAGGCGTAAATTTATTGGCCGGGAAAGCCCGACGCGATGGCCGGTCTCTACGGCGAGCTCCCGAACAGAGACCGGAGCGGAGCGGCGGGCGAATTTTCCAGCCCGGCAAGTCGCCGTCGCGATGTCGATGCCGCTGGCAATATCACCCCCCACAATTTTCCCCATCGAATCGGCCGCCGCCGCCGCCGTCGTTCGCCGGGTTGTGGCGGCACCGGCGCCGACAGCAGGCGCCAGGCGTCAGGTCAAGAGTGCCCTCGACCTCGGCGTCCAAAGTGAGACCGAGTTGCGCGTCACCCGTAACAGAAACAAGGGCGTTAGTAACCAATCAGATCTTGGAACTGCCGAACATCATACACAGGCATTAATTTCACTTTTCAGCACCGGCAGCTCTCTCTGCTTTGGCGCCGAGATCCGTCGCAGCTCTGCCATTCGCGTGAGCAATACTTAAGCCATTTCTCAAAAGTAGAGCACAGAGCGGAAGTCGCCACGAGTATAGCACGACTGCGGCGCTCACACCAGCAAATACAACGCTCCGAGATTAACTGCATGAGTCATACAGTGTATGACGTTGATACACTGTATGACGTTGGAGGGTTTCTGAAGCGCGCTGTCTCCGCTTCAACCAGGTCAAGTTGCAAGGCAACAAGTGGCTCGCAGCGCGTTGCGGGGCAACAGGTTGTTGAACAGCGGCCTTCACGGTCGTCCGCCGCGCGCCTTGTAGGGTGCCGCGCCGCGGTCGGCGCAGGTGGGGGTGCTGATGGTCAGGGTGCTCGCTCGTCAATGCGCCCTATTGATGTGACAGGAGCCGCTGCGATACCTGTGAAAAAAAGCTCGCAGCAATACAATAATGCATGTACGGGCCAGGATAAGCTCGCCGCGATCCGACCACGACCGGAGCCAGCATTTGAATATTTTGCTTGTGCGGCGAGAGCGGCGTTTTTGGTGAAAAATGCCCCGCAACCAGCTCAGCCCAGCTCCGGCTCGGCGGCGTGGCGTGGCTGTCGCAGCGCTCATTTGGATAAGCCGGCAGTGCCCTGGCGCTTCTGGTGCTGGCAATCATATCCTGACGTACTTAGCTCTCGATACAGGCAGCAACGGGTTGTGTACTAGCCACCGGCGGCTGCGCTGCCGAGAGTGTCGCCGTTTAACAGAATTTTGCGCTCGACTCGCCACGTCACGGGCGGTCCTTCAGCGCGGAGCGATCTCCACAGCCGCAGCCCACGCAATACAGCGGTGCAACCAGCCAGCCAGACAATCGGCCACCCAGCACGCCGCTCGTGCTGCTCGTTGCCAACTTTTCTGAATTTGTGGGTCCCGATCCGCACGCGAGCAGCCTGGAGTTTGCGCTCGTCGATTTGTTGCTGCGCTGCGAGTTCGTGGACAGTTCCGGGCCGCGCTCGAGGTGGCACGTAGGCGGATACCTATCAGTCCCGAGGCTGGCTGGTGGCGGCCGCCGTGGCAGGAGCAGCTTCCCGGTGGTGGCGATCGTCGAACAAACGAGCTGGAGCTGCTTACGCGGCGGGAGGGCAAAGATATCGGACGAAGGGGAGCGTGTGACGCGTTTCGCGTCGGCCTTGAGCGCTCTGCTAGCGGTTTGCGCGCGAAATGTGGGCTGAGCTGCGCCGGAATCGTGCTCTCGGAAGTCGATGGTCCAGAAAGATGAGAGCAACGGACAGCGACGTTTGCTGGCAGTGACTCACCCTTCGAGTCCTATGCAGAACTGCCCAACAGTGCGTTGCCAGTGAATCAAACTCACCTTCACTGCTTTGCTCTCGGAGTGGTGCAGCGCTCTCGACGCTGCCACAACAATGCTTATTCCTGGCTTGGGTTTACTACGATCGAAACTGTTGTTCTCTCACAATAGCCCAAGCGCAGCAGTTCTCTGCTGTGCCAGCCCACAAGTAGTCGAGGTGCTGCTGCTGCTGTCGACGACGTGATGGCCACGAGGCGAATCCAGTGTTGATAGGCATCACGAATGGGCTGCGTGGCCAGCAAGTCTGTTCCTCCTTCCCCTGCTCCTGCCGCAAGGGCTTCCAGTACACAAGCCACTGCTCAACCCCCCGCAGAGCGTAGCGCCGCATTTCAACCACAGGACCAAACGGAGCACGCCAAACCACCTACCGACGCACTTCTGAAGCTCGCAATGGAAGCAGATGATGAAGTTGAAGAAGTCCGAGGTGATGAAGACTCAACCGTCCTCGAACCTGCCAGTGGCAGCCCCTTGAAGTCGCTCCTTCAGCAGTCGATTCTAGGCGACCAGCAACCGGAAGATGCGGCCGTGTCCTTCATGCTCCCAGACGTATCGTATTCAATGCGCGGTAGCCACGGTCAAGCATCCTCTGCCATCCCCATTGACGGACTAAACCAGCAAACCAACGTCGTTCCACCAACCTGGAAAGGCTCCAGCGGTCCGGGAGTAGTGCAGATGCCTCCCCGTCAAGGATCAAGTGTTGGGGGTGGCCAAATGCCAGCGATCCTTCCATTGCAGCAGCCTCAAGTCGCGAGAGCGCCAGGGTGGGTATCAGGTCCGCCGCCACGAGGACGAGGTGGGCCCGTTCCCAATGGGTATCGAGCTCCTCAAGGTGGTGGTGTCCCCGTGCCGCGTGGTTCACTACCAGCTACACGCGGAATGGGACGACCGGTACACGTAATGGCTCCAAGTGACCGTAGCATGACACACGGAGGCCAGCGTCAACCATTTCCTGCCGTGGGGAATCCGCCATCGCCTGAGAATAGCAGTCCAAACTCGAAAGCGCAGATTAAAATTGAAAGCTCTAGCAGCGATGCAGATGAAGATGAAGATTCCGACGAAGACGAAGACATTGCCAAAGAGGACGAAGAAGTCGAAGACTGGGATCTTGGCGACGAGGACAGCGCTGTCACTCCGAAACCCACTGCGAACTCACCAACAAATGGCACTCCAATGGAGGCGAAAGCGGAGCCACCGCAGGCTCGAAACATTTCTGTGAAGATCGGTTCTCCCCTTCAGAACCACGACATGGCACCACCGCGCGTTGAGCCGACTGCTTTATCGTCCCCGCCGCCTCGAAGATCCTCCGGGTTCCAGCCAAAATTCCGGCCGGCACTTGAGTTGACCGACGATATTGAGACTGTGAACTCCGATAGCAATGGGAGCAGCGACGACAGCGATGACGATGACGCGGATGAATCCGACGACTGCATTCACGACTGGCTAGACGGACCTGGAGATCCGTCGCCGAGTATATCTCCCTCTAGACGTGCAGTGAGCCCACCAAAGTCCGTGACGCCACTGACCTCGGCACGTGAAGCTTCGCAGCCGAGTCCCTCCCCTCACCCGAATTCTCGCCACCTGTACGGATTGACCATTGTCCCTCCTGGCACAACTCCAACTCATTTGAGCATCAACACCTCAAATCCTACAACACCACTTCCACCAGGGCGAGCACCTCAGCCACCAACGTATCGTCAGGGTAATATGTCACCGACAAGAAGTGCAGGCGCGAATACGCACGTCGCCATGATGGGGTCGGTGTCGCCTGTGAAGCAGTCCTCGTATCGCTCGGGCATCGTCAGCAACGTTGCGCCAGCGGTTGTGCCTCTTGTTATGGTGAGTGACCAATCTCCAGGCAAAGCTGCTCCGTCCCCGAACAGCTCCGCTGCTGCGGCTATCCGAGACACAAAGGTAGTCAAGAAGAAGAAAGCTGAACTGCCTCAGCACAATCTCCCGCATCCCGTGCCAAAGTTCGGAGACTGGCTCAACTCGCGTACCATGATCAACAACTACATTATTTTGGAGTCGCTCGGCACTGGAGGGTATGCTGAAGTGAAGCTCTGCAAGGAAAAACAGTCGGGAAAACTCTATGCGATGAAGTTTATCAGCCGTGACGTGATGAAGAAGGATAAACTCGGGAAGCAGAGTAAACTGGACGATATCAAGCGTGAAATCGCCATCATGAAGAAGCTGAACCACCCAAACGTACTGCGACTGTATGAAGTGATGGATGACCCCAAGATGAACAAACTCTTCCTCGTGCTCGAGTACATGAAGCACGGCGACATGCTGTCGTTCCAGAAGAAAAAACACCCTCAAGGGATGCTCGAGAATCTGCGAGACCGAGATCTGCACAGTGTTTTCCTACAGGTGATTCTGGGCCTGGCCTATCTCCACGAGCAGAAGATCGTGCACGGTGATATCAAGCCTCAAAATCTGCTCGTTGGTGAGAAAGATGTCGTGAAAATCGCTGATTTCGGTATTTCCCAGTCCCTTTATGGCAGCAAGCAGAAGATCACGGACGTAGCTGGTACACCCGCCTTCATGTCGCCTGAAATGTGCTCCGGTGAAGAATATTCCGGCCAGTTAGCGGACGTTTGGGCGCTCGGGGCGACAATATTCATGCTCAAGTTTGGGAACCCGCCGTTCCTAGCCAAGAGCGCGATGCAAATGTTTGAGAGGATTCAGAACGACCCACTCGTGTTCCCGTCGGCGATCGATCCACTGCTAGCCCACTTGCTGAACGGGATGCTGACAAAAGCTCCTCAAAAGCGACTCACTCTATTGGACGTCATGGTTCATCCGTGGGTCACAAAGAACGAGAAGCACAGTCTGGCACTCGACGCCGTTAACCGTCCGTCACCTCCAATTACCGTGTCGAAAGACGAGATTGAGCATGCTGTCGGTGCCAACCACATAGCGATCGTCGTCAACATCCGCAAGCACATGCGCAAGCGACTAAAACGCGCCCGCGAAAGCTTAGCAGCGAAGGAGAAAGGGGGATCCGTATCGACTCCTGACTGGGACCACTCGAATCTAGTCTTCGCTCAGTCTCCGAAAGCAACCGGCGCCAAGAACTCGGCAAAAGCCAACAAAGTCTTTGCAGCGACCTCAGAGGTTACCGCCTCGAGCAAAGAGAAGGAAGAGCGTCAAGTGCTTTCGAGCGAAGAAATCGACTACCGCTCGCAGTTGTTCTCGCGGAAGAAGGCGAGTATCAAGAACGCACTGGAAGCCACTCCGTCAAATGGTGGCGAGCACTTCAGTAAAAGTGGCGGTGGTGCCGTAGCCCACGCTCACCACGTCCACGAGATCGTGAGTGACAGCCTCGATGATGAAGACGCTTTCTCAGACGATGACGACGAGTTGGCTGTGTCCCAGTCACCGCAGCTACTGGATGAGCTGCTGCTTACGACGCTCTCGATGCCTCCGTTGGCGAAATCATCAGCCGACTCTGGTGGAATGGCTTCAACACTTGTCAGCCGAGGCGGGGTGAATGGTAGATCTGCCTCCTCTTGTGCAGCTTCAATCGGTAGCAGATCCTACCTTAGCCTCGGTAGAACGACAGGAAGCAGCGATGATCTACGATTCTACGATGAAAGCTCTGTGCTCGGTTTGAGTTTTGGCGTGTCATCCTTGGAGGGTAGACGCAACACCCAAGAGGACCGCTGGGTAGTATTCCCCACAGTCGCCAATATTTTGGACAGCAGTGATCCTCCAGCGCCTTGGTCGACTCAAACCGCATACGTGGGGATTTACGACGGCCATGGAGGAGAAGAATGTGCCAACATTTTGCACGAGCAGCTTCACACTTGGATTTTCCGATCACAAGAAGCTCCTTCACTGTTGGCCAAGGACTTGCAGGATTGCTTTGAATCGCTGGACGCGTCGGTGTGCGATTATTTGTTGCACAAGGATGATCTTAGCGGCTCCACCGCCACTAGCCTCATTCTGCGTCGGTCTGCAAGTGGGGGTATCCTTTTGACGATTGCACACGTGGGAGACTGCCGTCTCGTACTGGGCAAGCGCGACGGTAGAACCGTCGAACTAACACAGGATCACCGCCTCACAGTCGACGCCGAGTGCGACCGTATCATCCAGCTTGGAGGTCGGGTGGTCAACAACCGCGTCAACGGCGTGATGGCCATCACTCGAGCGTTTGGGGACCTGGAGTTCAAGGGGATGCTGGACCCGCACCAAGGCGCGTCTAGCAGCACCGGGTCTTCTGGTTTTGGTCGAGCCTTCCGCGATAATGAAAAGGTACCGCCACTGCTCACAGCGAAGCCAGATGTGGACGAGGTAGCTCTCGACCCCACTGAAGACGCGTTCCTGCTTCTCGCTTGCGATGGGCTTTGGGACGTCTTGACCAGCGAGGAGGCCACCGCCATTTTCCGTGAACGTGTGGAATTGCATGGAGACTTGCAACTTGCAGCACACGAGCTGGCCCAGGAGGGCATTCGTCGCTACTCGAACGACAACATCACGGTCATTGCCGTTCTCCTCCAGCCACCTGTGTGATTGACTCTGAGTCAAATCGCGGTGAGCCCGGCTCACGTTGAAGTTGCCCTGTACTAATCACGCGCATTTTGACCAATCAGGTCGAGGATGATGCATCACGTTGCGATCTTTTCAACTGCCAGACGATCGCCATTGCAAGTTCCGCTCCCCGCACCAACAATGCCGCCGTCTTCGCTCCGCTGGGACGAGTCCCAGATGCCTCCGCAGCATGGCCGCTTGGCCATCGTCACCGGCGCGAACACCGGTTTAGGCTTTGCCACCTCGGTGGCGTTGGCTCGCGCTGGCGCCCACGTGATCCTGGCCTGCCGCAACGAAGCGCGAGGTCTCGAGGCGCAGCAGCGCATCCGCGACGAGATCAAGGCCGGTAACGACACCAGCAGCGTGTCTGTGGGTGCCGCAGAGTACATGCAGCTGGACGTGGGGGCGCTGCAGAGCGTGCGCGACTTCGTGTCGGCCTTCACGACGCGGTTCTCGGGACGTCGACTGGACATTCTGGTGCTGAACGCCGGCGTCAAGGCCGTCGAGTACGGCGAGACGGTGGATGGCTTCGAGCAGCAGTTCGGCGTGAACCACTTGGGCCACTTCGCCTTGACCGCATTGCTGCTGCCAGCGATGAAGCTCGACGTGCCTGGAGCGGACGATCTCCCGCCGGCTCGGATCGTGTCGATCAGTAGCATCTCGCACCACGGGAGCTCGCTCGACATGCAACACTTGAGTGTGAAGCCGGAGAACTACGACGCGATGAGCGCGTACCGAGCCTCCAAACTGGCCAACTTGCTCTTCGCCTATGAGCTGCATCGGCGACTGGAAAAGGCTGGCGTCTCACCGAAGCGCGTGCTGTCTGTGGCGTGTCACCCGGGTGTGACGGAGAGCAATCTGCTGCCCAACCTCGCGAGCACCTACAACTCAGCCATCATTAAGGCCATCATCGGATTCGTGCACTGGTTGCCGTGGGCTCAGACCAATGCTCAAGGCGCGCTCAACGTGTTGTGTGTGGCCACGGACCCGAGTGTCGTCGGTGGCGAATTTATCGGGCCGCATGGGCTGAGTGAGTTCTACGGATGGCCACGCACTGTGGCATCTAGCAAGCAGAGCATGTCCCTAGAAGACGCTCGACAGCTCTGGGAACAAAGCGAAAAGCTTACTGGTATTGCGTTCTCTGTCGAGGATTAAGTGGTGTGTGACTGCAAAATCAAACATGAATTATCATTGACTTCTTCGGAACCTAAGGACGTCTAGTCCAGCGGCTCGCTCTCGAAGATAGGCTTGATGACTGAAGCGAAGTACGGAGTCGGACCCGTGCGGTGGCGCACCGCGTCGAGCGCACCTTCGTAGATGCTGCCATCTGCGCGGCCAACGGACGAATTGAGCACTGTATCCGAGAACATGAACGCGTCGACGAGAGCCACGGCATCAGCACGCACGCGTGCGCAGCTTTCCATCAGCCGCGAACGAACGAGGTTGCTCTGATAGGGGGTCATAAACTTCTCCTTGAGCAAGAAGGCAGCACCGCGATCAAGCTCCTGGCAAATGTACAGCTGACACAGAGCCTCCAACACCGGCACGAGTTTGACGTTGTCTTCCGACACTTCCAGCTTGAGCTCTTCGATGTGCTGAAAGAAAGCGGTGGCCACGTTGTAGAACACGTGCACGCGCGCGATCTCCACAAGGTCCACTTGGCACGAGTTGATGCGCTCTGCATCGGTGTTCCCTGGTGCTGCAGCCAACTTCGCTGCGACTTGCAGTACTTGGCGACCTGTGTACACATCCAGTGCATCGCGGAGCAGCGTCGAGTTTCTCAGATCGGCGGGGCCCTCGACACCCCACTGACGGTGACGACTACTGGCCTGCTCTCTCTCCAGGTACTGCACAGACCCCGCTAGTTTCTCGCCACGACGCAGCTTCACCACGGATCGGATGAGGTAGTGCGCTGTTTGCTGCGCCATGACCGTGTTGTCGCCCTCGAAGGTCACCATGACCGAGAAGTCTGCTAGCAGCTCAGCAAGTCCAGTGTATTTGCTGTACCCGTTGCCTCCACAGCTCTGGCGGCATGCATCAATACCTTCCTGCACATCCCAGGTGCAGAAGGCCTTGAAGCCCGACATGGTGCCGTGGATGTCGGCCAGGAGCGCCTCCGATATATCGCTGCCATGAGTATCGAATTGCTGCAGGAGACGCGTGATGTACCTGGTCTGCAGTCGATACGCGTACGCACGAGCTAGAACCGGCATCAGCCGGTACTGATGCGTTTGGTAGTCCAGCAGACGTGTCTCGGCGTGGAGGTCCTCCGAGTTCACCTGCAATCCTTGACGCCGCACTGCAGCGTAGCGCACCGCGATTGTCAGCGCCTTCTCCAAGATCCCCACCGACAACGTCACAATCTTGCCGCGGTTGACGAGAAGAGCTGCGTAGGCGAGCTGCGCCTTATGCTGCGTCTGCGAGAATACACCGTCCCTTGAGACCTGTGCGTAGCGGCGCAGCATGTTCGCTCTCGGGATCCGGACGTGGTCGAACTGGATCCAGCCATTGTCCACTCCCTGGAGTCCCATCTTGGAGCCCATGTCTCCGATGCTCACACCTGGCAGCGGCTCGTGCGTCTCCACGTCGCGCAGTGGCACAATGAAGCTCTGAACTCCGTGATCGGCTCCTCCATCCTTAGGCAGCACGAGTCTCGCGAAGCACACCGTGTGCGTGGCAGTCTGCCCGGCCCCACCGATCCACCACTTGGTGGCTCTGTCAGTGCGCGTGTGGATCACGAACTCGTCCGTCTCCTCGTCGAACGTGGCCGTCGTCTCGAAGCCCCTCGTGAAGCTGCCGTGGCCGAGCTCCGTCATGCCGTAGCAGCCGAAGAGCTCCAGCATCATCGTCGGCAGCATCCACTCGTCCTGCTGCTCCTGGTCTCCCTGGCCCATGATGGCGCCCAGGAACAGACCGAAGTGGACGCCGTTGCGCGTCCACAGCGACAGGTCGAAGACGCCCACGATGTCCGCCAGCGTCTCGCGCTTCTCCACGTCTGCGCCGTGCTCCATGAAGAGCGTGTACAGGCGGCGCACGCGCTGCAGCGTGTGCTCGCGGCGCTGCGCCAGCGAGCGGTCGAAGACGCCCGCGTCGTTGCGGAACTCCGCGTGGCCCTCCAGCAGCCGCATGGCCTCAAGACGCAGCGCCGTCTGCTTCTCGCCGCCGAAGAGGAAGTCGGCCATTGCACGCGGCGAGAAGCTGCAGCGAGCGCGCTCCGCCGCCAGCTCCGCGACGGTCTGGTCGCGCGTGGAGGCGGCGCATGGCGCGGGCTGCAGCTGGCGAGAGAGCGCTGCGAGGCGCCGAGCGGGGGCGGAGGCCGAGGACTTGTCCGACATGGCGGTCCTGCCGATGAAGACGCAAATGCCGAAGTGAGCTTGAAGTCCTTGACGTGGGCGGCAGCGAGGATGGACGTCATCAGTACAGGGAACGATAATGACAGGCAAATTATATCTTACAGGTAACTATAGGTTTTGACATTGAGAACGTAGGGTATGGCTTCACTATGTATTAGTTTAGAGAGTGTGTTTAGTCCACACCGTGTTGAAATGCTTGCGAGGCCGTGGTGAATTCAACGGAGAGCTGACAGCTTAGTCGCCCCACGCCGAAATGACAGGCGGAGGGGAGTTGTCGGCCGGCAAGTCCATTCCTTCATGCAGCTGCAGGCTGCGCATGTTCACGACGATGCTGATCTTCTTGCAGGCCGGAGGACTTTCACAGCGCTCGGGCAGCACCGGCGTCGAACTGCATGGCTCGAGCCGTCGCGACTTGCGGTCAATCGACTTCCTCCTCTTTTTCTTCTTGACCATGTGCGCTTTTGCCTGCCTGCCGCCAGAAGGAGCCGCTTGCTCCACGTTGTTTCCTGCCATGGTTTCGAGAGTTCCAGTCGAGTGGCTGTGCGTTTGTAGCGCAGGCTTGGCGGATTGCGGACGTTGAGGCAGACTCCTCGACGCCGGTCTCGAATATGCCTCACGCGCGGACTGAAGTGGGCGCGACTCCAGACAAACTACAGCAATGCACGACGACGAGAACAGTGTTAGCGCACCCTACATCGCTGGCATTCAGGCATCACGACAAAGCACTACCCTTGCTTCCAGGATCCCGCTTCTTGGGTCCTGCAAGCTCTGACTTCTTGCACTCTGTGCACAGTGAACACGGAATAATCAGAATGCTGCCATCCATCCACAAGATGTTCATCGAATACGAAACACCACCGACTTGTTGCTGCCTTGATCGTCTGCCCGTTGCAGTGCAAGCTGCGACTCTTAGTCGCCGCGGTCTCGCGTCGTAGCAGCTTGATATGCGCAAAGTCCTCGACCGTCTTCCTTCCCATGATCTTCTGCTGGGCGTGGCGGAGCTGCGCCACCTCCCTCTCCTCTCGCTGCTGCACGCGGCGCTCCGCCAGCAGTTCCGTGTGCAGCTTGAAGCCGACTAATAATCGCACTCAAACACGTCAACGACACACACACACACACTCACAACAGGCAGCACACAACTCGGTTGCCCCCTGCTCTCACCTGGCCCCACGACGTCCTTCCTGCCGCCATGCGCCGCCTTCTCCCTGCGTCGCTCCATGATTAATTTTGTCCATTTGGGTGACGCGCTTCAACTTGGTGGAAACGAGACGACGACAGTACCGTGGATGACCCAGCAAAGTGCGAACTAGTGTGGCCCACATCCACACCACTTGCAGCTGTATGCCCATACTGAGACACCGTGTTTCGTCCCTGCTCTCCGATGCTTCATTTCCAAAGAACCGTCCACGGCCAAGAAGCGCTCGGAGGAGCGACCATGAACCCGTCGTATCCGGGCTCCTCGGGCGACCGCCACGGGCCCCCGTCGCTCAGCTCGGCGTCCAGCGCCGGCCTGGGGGGCAAGGGCTCGGTCCCGCAGCAGCAGCAGCCGCAGCAGCACAGCTACCACCCGCAGCCGTCGCTGGCGCAGCTCGGCCACCTGCACCCGCTGCACGGCGGCTCCCAGCAGGGGCCTCCGCAGCAGCCGCAGCACTCGATGATGCACCCGGGCGGGCCCGTGCTGCCGCCCCCGCCGCTCCCGGGATCGCTGGGCGGAGGCGGCTCCTCGCGCTCGCCGCACCCGCTCTCGGGCTCCATCCTGCACCCGCCGCGCGGCAACCTGGGGGGCTCCTCCAGCGGGCCGTCCGTGCTGGGCAAACCCGCGGGCTCGCAGGGCCCGCCGCCCTCCAGCGCCGCCGGCATGATGGGCCACTCGGTCCGCATGCAGGCGCCCAGCATGAGCCAGAGCATGGGCAGCGTGCAGCAGTCCATGGCCCCGACGTCCGGAGGCCTCAAGCCGCCGTCGCAGGGCTACAGCGTGCGCCCGCAGTCGCCCCCTCGCCGCCCAGTGGAGACGCAGCAGCAACAGCAGCAGCAGCAACAACAGCAACAGCAAGTGCCCATTCAGCAGCACTACGGACTGGACGGACGCATCATCCCGAACGACCAAGTGGACGGGGAGTACTACCAGCAGCAGAACATGCAGGGCCCGCCCCCGCGCCATCGCGAGCTGCGCGTGGAGGACGCGCTGCTGTACCTGGACCAGGTGAAGCAGCAGTTCGGAGACCAGCCGGATATCTACAACCAGTTCCTGGACGTCATGAAGGACTTCAAGGCGCAGGCGATTGACACCCCGGGCGTCATCCTGCGCGTGTCCACGCTCTTCCGCGGCTACCCGAACCTGATCCTGGGCTTCAACACGTTCCTGCCGCCAGGATACCGCATCCGACCTGATACGTCCATTGAGGTGATCCCCTCGCAGATGGGCGGACGTGGAGGCGTGCAGCAGTCCATGTACTCGGGAGTGGGCGCACAGCAGTCGTCGAACGCCAACATGGGCCACCGACCGCCTCCGGTGACGATCCCCCCGCCGCCGTACTCGCCCCCGGAGCTGCACAAGCCGACGCCCTCGTCCCGTCAGCAGTTGGCCCCTGCTGGCCAGATGAAGGCTGGCGGGAAGCCCAAGAAGCAGCAGCAACAGGCTCCGACCCCCAGTGGCGGCAACGCCGCCGCGCGCAGCTCGACGAACCCGGTCGAGTTCGACCACGCCATCCACTACGTGACCACCATCAAGCAGCGCTTTGCTGACGAGCCCGAGACGTACAAGGAGTTCCTGGCCATCCTGCACACGTACCAGAAGGAGCAGCGCTCGATCCGCCAAGTGCTGGACCAAGTCTCGCACCTGTTCCGTGACCACCCGGATCTGCTGCGCGAGTTCACGTTCTTCCTGCCCGATGCAGTGCAGGAGCAAGCCAAGGAGCGCTTGAACCGCGCGGCTGAGAAGGCTCAGCAACGCAAGGACCAGATGGCTCAGAAGGCTCGCAAGTATGGCACGTCGTCGCAAGGTTACCAGCAGTCGGACCGACGAGACGACCGTGGCGCGGACTCGCCGTCCAGCGCTGCGATGAAGGGCGGGCGTATGATGGTTGAAGATGAAGACGCGTACATGAAGTACGGCAAGAAGGGAAGCGGCAGAGGCTACAAGGACGACGACCACCGCCTCAGTGGCAAGGCGCTGGAGCGCCGTGAGAAGGAGCGTGAGCGCGAACGCAACCGCGCTCAGTTCAACCATAAGCGTGCTAAGCGCCGTCCGTACGATGGAAAGGAACGTCGTGCGTACCTGGCGATTTCGGACGTGCTGCTGGATAAGGAGGAGTGGAATATCTTCGAGAAGATCAAGAAGATTCTGCCGTCTCGCGACAACTGGCGCGAGTTCTTGAAGTGCCTCGAGTTGTACAGTCAGGAGGTGCTCGACCGCAACGAGATGCTGTCGCTTATCAGGAATCTGTTCGGTCGCCACACCGAGCTGGTGGAAGAGTTTGACCACCTCCTGTGCTCCCACGGCGTGCAGAAGACCCCGAAGGAAATCTGGCCGTTTATTCCGCTGGCTGAGACGGACCTGTCACAGTGCCGCCGCGCCACTCCGTCGTACCGCGGTCTGCCGGCGAGTTACCCGATCCCGCCCTGCTCCCACCGCTCGGCTCTCGAGAAGCAAGTGTGCAACGACTCTTGGGTGTCTGTGCCTACTGGAAGTGAAGATTTTTCGTTCAAGAGCATGCGCAAGAACCAATACGAGGAGGCCCTGTTCAAATGTGAAGACGAGCGATTCGAGATCGACATGGTGATCGAGGCGAATGCATCCACGATCAGCGTTCTTGAGCCCTTGGCGCACGAGATCGAGGTGCTCAAGAAGAGCAACGGCGACGACGACAAGATGTGGAACTATGTGGTGGACAAGGGCACGTTCCGTGTTACGCACCTGAACGCTATCACCCGAATTTACGGCGACGCTGGTACTGAAATCTTGGACTTGCTGCGTAAGTACCCGGCGGGAGCGATTCCCGTGATCCTCAAACGCCTTAAGCAGAAGGACGAAGAATGGCGTCGCGCACGCGAAGATCTTAACCGCCAGTGGAAGGAGGTGAACGAGAAGAACTACCACAAGTCCCTGGATCACTCTAGCTTCTACTTTAAGCAGAAGGACAAGAAGCAGACGAGTATGAAGATGATGATGCAAGAAGCTAAAAAGAAGCTCGAGGCTGACGAGAAGCGCATTGAAGAAGCCAAAACGACGGAGTCAAGTGCGTCACCGTCTACTGTTTCAGCCACGGCCGAAGTAGTCAGCGCAAAGGCCCCTCCGCAGGCGTCAGATATCGCTGATGCGCTTCGGAAGGAGCAATCCTCTGCTGCAGCTAAGATTCCGGCTGCAGATGGCAAGGTTGCGGCGGCGTTGTCGCAGCCTGTATCCTCGGGCAAGTGGAAGCCCCACTTTGTGTACAAGTTCGCGTCAGTTCAGATCCACAAGGAGGCGTTTGGATTGCTGTCGTACGCTGCTGAGAAGAATCTGAGCGTGGCGGATAAGGAGAAGATCTCCAAGGTGTGGCAGGCGTTCTTCTTCCCGTTTTTCCACCTGGAGGAAGAGTGGCTTGTGCGCAAGCCACAGCGCACTACGGTCACGCTGGAAAAGGCGAAGACCCTTTCCGTTGGTACTGAAGTGAGCACGGAGTTTGGTGAGGGAACTGTGCAGCAATACAACAAGGAGAAGGGCTACTTCACGATTAACCTGGCTGCAATCGGGTGCCAGGCGTACTTGCAGCCTGGTGCTCTCACCATCCAAGAAGCCGCAGATTTCCCGCCTGGTCTTCCTGCGCTGGACAGCAAGCAGGATGCCGCCAAGGTGAAGGCCGACTACAAGTCTCTATTCTACGGCAACCAGCACGCCTATGCGTTCCTGCGTTTGTACCAGGTGCTGCACAACCGACTTGAGCGTGCGTTCGACCTGTGCGAAAAGGCAAAGCGCAACCGCAACCGGCGCACGATTAACCCTGCAGCGCGCGCACTGGCTCACGCCCACCACTCGCTGTCAGCATCGACCAAGGAAAAGACCGGCGACTACCAGGCGTTTGTTTCGAAGCTGTATTCGCTGATTGACGGATCGGTTGACAACTCCAAGTACGAGGACTCCTGCCGTAGCCTCATGGGATCGACGTCGTACTTCTTGTTCACTATGGACAAGCTGGTGACCCTGGTTCTCAAGCAGATGCAACATCTCGCGAACGATGATACCTGCCAAGAGCTTACCAAGGCGTTTACCGAGGTACAGGGTGAGCCTAAGCCGTCGACGGACCCCGCAGGTGCTGAAGCCAAGGCGACGGCGTACCTCAACAAGACCAAGTCCATTTTCGAAGGCGAAGGTGCGTTCCGCATCGAGTTTAACCCTGGTGTGCTGCGCAAGACTCCTCTGGAGGCCCGTGGCGGCACCACGCCATCGGGAGCGTCTGAACCCTTCAAGATTTGGGCTCCATCGCCGCGCGTGAAGGCCCCTGAATCCAGCAAGTGGCTTATTGAACCGGAACTAGCGATCGAGTACTTGGGTTCTATGGACGACGATGGAGATGACGACGACGATGATGACGATGATGAATCGCCGAGTGCCACGCCGATGGACACGCCGTCGGCAACACCCATGTACGGCTCGCCCGTGCATGACACACCTGTGCACGAGTCGCAGGATGACGACGACGATGAACCAATGGAAGAATCCAAGGAAGACGACGATGTCAAGAAGGAGATTTCAACACCAGCATCGTCTGGAAGTGTCGAGCAGAGCGATAGCGCCAGCGCCTCGTCAGATGATGCGCGCGCCGCCAGCGCGGCGAAGGCCTTGGAGTCAGCAACTTTGCTGAAGAAGCGCGCCCGCGATTCAGATGATGAGGAGGGTGCTGTGTCAGAGACTTCTCCATCTACATCTTCCACGGCTGCGGAGGTATCAGTTGCGGCAAAGAAGGCGAAGACTGAGGCCGAGGCGTCGAATGCTGAGAGTTCTGCTGATACTGTCCAGTCGTCTGCACGTGCTTCTCAGGAGGATGACCCGATGACTGGAGGAAACGAGAAGCCGGTTGCCTCTGCTTCATCCACGCAATTCAACACTCAGGAAGTGAAGCTAGAGAAGACGCAGGAGCAGACTCAAGAACGGGAACAGAGAGTGGAGGTCGAGAGGCAGACAGTGGATAAGCCCAAGGAGCAGCAGGCGCCAGCTCTCGACAATGTCAAGTCCGAGCGACCTAGTGGCAGTTCTGCGGCTGCGCCCTCTGCTGCTTCTACAGGTGATGTGAAGACTCACGCGTCAAATATCGTGTCTTTATCGGGAACGAGTGATGACAAGAGGAAGGATTAACGGGATCAAGAAAAGGTCGATCGGACTACTGAGGATGTGAAGGCAGAGTGAGACGCCGCTGCGAAGATTGGTACTTGTGTTCGGTAATTCATGTATGCTTGCCCAGTAACAGCGCGCGTTTGTGCTTGTGGTTCCGCTGTCGCGTGCACTTACAGGCCTATTCTGCTGGGACGGCGTCATAGCCTCGATACCTGGGTAGCAAGGGTAGTGTTCTGCCATCACCATGCAATCGTGTCAGTGACGATAAGCAAACGGCGTTGGTACGGTACGTACTTCCCGTGGAGTTGTCGGCGCTTGGTTACAGTGGGGAACAGGAAGAGAAGATCGTCCGAGGCCGGCTTCGTGGGCTGATCTGCGGCGAGTGTATCAACAATGGTAGTTTTGACAGGCATCTGCACGTAGTCTCCGAGACTCTTGCCAGCAACGGGGTGTTGCAAGTTCGCGAAGGCCCGCGCTGCCTTCCGTTGTTGCCGAGTCATCCGTGTTGGGCTCTCGACGGGTTCAACGACGTCCTCACCGGAGATGGCGGCGAAATTGCCGATTTGGTTGCGAGCTCGCAGCTTTTTGTCCTCCGCATTGGCAGCGACGTGCCTCAATACTACCGACGGAAGTGACATGACGCGGGATGGAACTCCAGCGGTGGAAGTCCCAGCAGGAGATTGTGCTCGACCGGAATCATACGAAGAGGAGGTACGCTCAGCAGAGGCACCCCGCCCATTCGCACTGGAGACTGACGACAGATCTGACAACTGCTTGTCCCCCTGGATCACTGCGGAACAGGTTGTTGGTTCAGTGAACTCGAATCGGAGAGGTGGATCGTTCAAGGTGGGGAAGTACCTGGTTGTTTGTGGCGCAAAATGTCACGCAGCAAATCGATCTTGAGGCGCTGGTCGCAGTGCTCGTTCTTGGCCTCGATTTCGACGCGCTCCAGTACAAACCGCAGAGTGTCGTATGCCGTACTCTGCAATTCTGCGGGTACGTTCAAGAGCGACGACTTGTTAGCCTGATTGAGTACTCGTCATTAACTTTCGATCAGACCAGCCACTTACTTTCGATGCACGCCAACACGACTGGATCATGCCGATCGCTGCTCTCGCGCAAGAAATCTTCCTGGGACAATGAGAGGGCGTGTACTGTGGTGACAGCTCGGACGGTAGTGGGCTCCGGAATTCCAAGCACGAGTGAGATGTCTCCCACTGCAGATTTCTGGCCGAGAGAGGCGACAGGCAGCTGAAAATCGTCGCTCCAGCGAAATTTGCGTGCGTGGCGTAGTTGGGCCTCTGCGGTTGTGAGCGGTAGCTTGGAGCTGGTTGACGAGGCATCAGTGAACTGGACAGTGCTTGGCCTGTTGGTGTCATCACGCTCGACCGAAGCTCGGCACTCGCCTTCAACGATTAGATACAAATGACTGAGTTGATGACCCTCTCGGACGATAATCGCGCCCGGCTCGAAGACTGCTTGGCGGAGGCAGCCCACAAACCTCTCGAGCCCGAACATTTTGGCCCATTGGAGACGGTCTGCAGCCCCCGAACCGGTCTCCCGAACGTCACTTTCCGTGACCACGATGTAGTCAGCCGGACCGGAGATGATGACTTTGTTGTACAAGTGGATGTCGTTGCGCAGCGTGTTCTCGCGCTTGATGCGTCTCCATTTGCTGTCCGCGACACCAACAGCCGCGGTGGCTGCAGTAGTCGAAGACGAAGCGTGGCTCGACCCTGACGACTTCGATTCGTGATGTACGCGCATCCTTGGCGAGGCCCCGAGATTTCCTACAACGGAGCCCTCTGTGAAGTTTAACACGGGGGCGGTGGCGAGATTGAATGGTCTGGCCTCAGCATTGCCGTACAAGAGGATACACGATCGAGGTGCGTCCATGGAGGTGAGCCAGATAACGTGTTCTTCTCCGCGACGAAGGTGCTGCATTTTCATCCGACTGGCAGTCTCCAGACTACAGCAGACGACCGGCAGAACCGGAGTCAGCAAAACAAACTCAAGCGAGAGAAGAGTGAGTCACGCCTTACCGATCAGTGTGTGAAAGCCCTCTCCACCATGGCTGCTCCAAGATCGTCGTCTCGTTGGTCAAGTACGTGACGATGAAGTTCAACTCGTCGATGGAGAAGTCGAGCTGCCGCAGGAAGAGGGCGCGCAGATGGAAGCGCGCTCCAAGTTTGGTTGTTGCATGCTGCGTGACTCCCTGTACCATTGCCATCCGCTGCGTTGATGCACGTCAGTTAGTTCATTGTCTCCCGTCCTACGCAGCATTATGGCGCGATTCTAACCCGCTTGTTGTTCATGGCCGCTAAGAACGGGGTCGTTTGCCCCACGTTTCAATATTTTTAGTGAACTTCAAATAGCGAGCTTGGCTCCAAACACTAACTTCGAAGGAATTGTACTAGTCGACGTGCGCTACACTAATAGAACTAAGCGTTACCAGATTCTTCACCGTCGAGACGTCTTCAGAACTCGTACTTGACGATGCATTCGCTCTGGTCTCTTCTGGGCGAGTCATCACTCTACATGGCACACAAACGCATTCACAAGAAACAAAATACAGGTGTAAGAGAAGACGTTGCCATTCGCCTCTAGCAATAACTTTAAGAAAATGTACATGCAGTCTATGGGAGCAAACCACACAGGGAGGAGGAGGTCGAGTCTTCCCCTCCCGGCTTCAAGTAGTACAATCACAGATAGGCATCATCGGTCCATACCTGCTCCATGCTGTTGAAGTGGCCCATACTGGGAGCTTGTCTATACAGGGGCATGGACACCGGCTTGGACTGCTGCATGGCCATCGGCTCGCTGACTTGGCCTTGCTGCATGTGCTGGGCCGGCATGCCGCGGAAAATCTGCGCTGTCACGGATACAGGACTGTCATTCTTCCACATGTCACGCTGCGAGCCCTGAACGTCGAGGATACGCTTGTGGGGGAGGTTCACGGGCGGAGCGTCAGTCGGACGGTACTGCTGCGCAGGTCCTGCATTGGACGGGCTCGAGTACATGCCGCCACGCACGTTGTTGTTAGAATACGGGTTCCCGGACATCATGTAGTTGCCAGACTGTTGCTGTTGCTGCTGCTGCATGTGGCTTGCCGGCGAGCCGTACGGGGAGTTCATCATGCCCATCGACGTCGAAGGAGGGGGCGTGCCCATGACAACCGACCCAGGACTGGACGATCGAAGACGCTGGATCTGTGCCTGCATGGGAACGTAGTCGAAGGCCTCATTCTGGTTGCTCTGGTTCATATCATCGGCGGGGGACACCGAGCAAGGAGACGACGTCATGGACATGGGACGGCTGTAGTCCGGGTTCATCCCGTTCGAGTAGCCTCCGTTGACGGGGTAAACCATGGTCGGTTGTCGTAGGGAAGTGGCCATCATGCTCGAGCGCTCAAAGTCGACCATGGAGTTGCCATCCGCCTGCAAGAACATGAATCAAGAACAACAAGGTCAGCGACTGTCCTCACTGTATCATAACTCCCTTATAGGAACTCACGCGTGCGGCGTTCCCAGGGACGTCTGAGAAAAGCTTCTGAAAAGTGGATTGGAAACCCACCCCTCGCTGCGGTGGGAGCTGCTGCTGGGGGGAGAGCTGCGGCTGCATGACTCCGTTCAAGGGTCGCTGCTGCATGGGGGCAGGCCCAACTTGGCTGCCGTTGTTCTGCACGGGGGACGACGCGACGGACGCCACGCGGATGCTCTTGCCCTCGCGCATGGGGCCTTTCTTGCGGATCGACTGGCGCTGCATGCGGCGCATGGTCGAGTAGTAGCGGTTCTTGATAGCATTGTCCGTGCGGCCGGGCAGCATCTTGGAGATCTCGGCCCACTGGTTGCCCACGTTCTTGTGGCACTCGAAGATGACGTAGTCCTCCTCTGCAGTCCACGCGTCCTTGCGTACGGACGGGTTCAGGTGGTTGTGCCATCTAGAGCAGCACAGCAAAAAGGTAGCGTGAGTACACACATATGCATTAGTATCCGACGCCGCTCACCTCTCGCGGCACTGCTTGCCGACGCGGCCGGGCAGGTGCATGGCGATGAGCGACCAGCGCTTGGCGCCGTACTGCTTGACGAGCTGCATGAGCTTGTCGTTCTCCTCGCGCGTCCAGGGGCGCTTGCTGTTGGAGTCCGTCTTGCGGCGCACCGCCTTCTTGCTGTTGTTGTCGTCGTCCTCCTCGCCGAAGGACTCCTCGGGGCTGCCGTACTTGCTGCTGGTCGTGCTGCTCACGGAGCCGCCGTGGGTCGCCGTCGCCCGCAGGTAGCTCAGCTGCAACGCAACAACAAACAACAACACCCAGTCAGCACCGTCTACGGTGTGCTAGTTACTACAGTTAATCAGGCGGGCGTACGTCTGGGTGGTGGGCCACCTCCATGAGGGGGATCTCCTGGTTGCCGCCGCTGCTGTTGCTGTTGCCGCCGTCCTCCAGCTCCATGAGCTCCAGCTTGCGGTTCATGTGCGTTTCGAGCGTTGGCGGGAGCGTTGCTGCTGCGTTTGCTGGCGGCTCGGTGGCTTGGGCGGCGCGGGGGCGTTTTGCGACTGGCAGTTGAGCCGCATCCCGTGTCGCCCGGTTTCCGACTGCAAAGCGAAGCGAGCGGCTCCCCAAGATCGAAAGAGTGGAACGTTTCGTCAGTTTCCGCGTTTCAGCCAATTGCGGCGCGCAGAGACCGCACTTTCGACCAATGGGGCGCGGCGGCGCTCCTTCGATGGATACGTTTTCCACCTGAAAGGGCGCGCGAGCAAAGTGTATGGGCCCCAGTATGCTCGGCAGAGAAGCACGTCGTAACGGGCGGCCGTTGAGTGTCTCTCTTGCGCTCACTATCAGCTCAGTATGGCCTTTCGTCGCTGAACGCCCGGGCGGTTTCGCAAGCGCAGTTGGATTGAGTGGGTTTCCCCCTCTTGGCGCCGCGTTCGTCTGCAGCGCTCGTTACGCCGGCTTAGCCCGAGCGTTAGACCGCGCGGTACCTGCCGCGTGAAGTGAACGCGGCGGGCGAGGGCACCAACACTACACCTGCTGCAACATGAGCCGCTCAGCCAGGTGATGGTACATCGCTCAACCTCGTGGCATAATGCAATGCTCTAAGCCGAAGGCGGGGCCAGACGTACGGGAGGGATATGCGCAACGGCACCAATTGCGCCAGCCAGCTCGCCTTTCAGTCCAGACGCGGCTCTCGCAGCGCTGGAGTGGCGTCGGGCAAGACGACCCGTCAAACGTGTCTCCGCCCACCCAACCTGATCGATCGATTGATCGATTTCCGCCGCCAAGTGGCTAGACGAGCTTCTGGCCAAGAGGTAGAAGAAGATCTCGTCTCGTAGCTCAATCGTGCGGTCACTGCACTCACTCATCATGCGGAAGCCTCAAAAAGGCAACTGCCCCTCCCCTTGAAGTTGCGTACACTTTGTGTGGTGCGCCTTGATTGGCCAGACCTCGCATCTTTGAATTTTGGCGGCAAAACCCGCACCCACCCACTCTGTCAAAGCTAAGACTCCAACCTCTCAGCAGTACCAGACATGAGGGAGCGCTCGGTCCGCGTCGTCGTGGCGGCGCTCGAGGCCACGGGCGGCATCGGCCTGCGCCAGCAGATCCCGTGGCGTCTGCCCTCTGACATGAAGCACTTCAAGGCGCTGACGACCGCTCCGTCCTCCTCCTCCTCGTCGGCGCAGCACGCCGTGATCATGGGGCGCAAGACGTGGGAATCGCTGCCGGCCAAGGTGCGGCCCATGCCGCAGCGCTACAACGTGGTGCTCACGCGCGACGCCAGCTACAGACAGAGCCAGGGCGTCCCCGAGAGCGTGGGTGTGGCCGCGAGCTTCCGCGAGGCGCTGGAGCTCGTGCAGCAGCAGGGGGACGAGGTGGACCAGGTCTTCGTCATCGGCGGAGGCGCCGTCTACGCCGAGGCGCTGGCCTACGTTGGCTGCAGCAAGGTGCACCTGACGCGCGTCAAGGGCGCGTTCGAGTGCGACGCCTTCTTCCCGCTGGAACAACTCGAGCAGAACTTTGAGGTGACGAGCGAGTCGGAGCTCAAGGAGGAGAACGGCGTGCAGTTCCAGTTCGTGGAGCTGGAGAGGAAGACAGAGCAGAGCGTGGAGACGACAACGCTGGCGGACGCCACCACGCCGCATGAGGAGATGCAGTACCTCGACTTGATCCGCAAGATCCTGACCCAGGGAGCGAAGCGCGGAGACCGGACGGGAACAGGCACGCTGTCGGTCTTTGGCGCGCAGATGCGGTTCAGTCTGAGGGACAACGTGTTCCCACTGCTCACGACCAAGCGCGTGTTCTGGCGCGGCGTGGCGGAGGAGCTGCTGTGGTTCATCAGTGGAGACACGAGTGCGCACACGCTGCAGCAGAAGGACATCCACATCTGGGACGGCAATGGATCGCGGGAGTATCTGGACAGTCGTGGACTGCAATCGCGAGAAGTGGGCGATCTCGGACCGGTCTACGGCTTCCAGTGGCGGCACTTTGGGGCCAAGTACACGGACATGCATGCCGACTACACGAACCAGGGCGTGGACCAGCTCGCGGAGGTTATTCACAAGCTGCGCACGAACCCGACCGACCGACGGATCGTGCTGTCGGCGTGGAACCCGGCGGATCTCAACGAAATGGCGCTCCCGCCGTGCCACATGTTCTGCCAGTTCTACGTGGCTGACGGCGAGTTGTCCTGTCAGATGTACCAGCGCTCGGCCGACATGGGACTTGGCGTGCCGTTCAATATCGCCAGCTACGCGTTGCTGACGCGACTGGTGGCGCAGGTGACGGGGTTGAAGCCTGGTGAGTTTGTCCACGTTATTGGCGATGCCCACGTGTATCTGAACCACGTCGAGCCGCTCCAGAAGCAGCTTACGCGAATGCCGCGCCCATTCCCGACACTCCACATCAATCCAGGCAAGACCTCAAGTATTGACGACTTCACTTTTGAGGACTTGGAGGTGCGAGACTACAAGCCCCATGGATCGATCAAAATGACAATGTCAGTCTGAAGGTGGTGGCTCCTGTAAAAAGAGTAAGGTGGAGCCGTAGAGGCTCGAAAATATGCGACCCGGAGCGTTCGCTACACAGATCGAATAAGTCGAGAGTTGACGAATGGCAGTAAATGCAACAAGTAACTCTGAAACTGGTATTCACAGGTCGAAGAGCTGTGCTTGGACGGAGCTTTACTGTAACTTACTGAAACCGGGTACTTCTCTGTCCCACCAATTTATAGGTAGTTGAGTTTTTCTATGATAAGTCCGCCTACACAAACAAGCCAAAGCCCAGCGTACCCGCGTTGTGAAGCCCGTTGTAGAGCGCTGTTTACAGTATTTTTTGCAATCTAATAGCGGCTCTCAGCAAATAAATAACAGCACAAATGCAAGCACACATTTAAGAGAAATAAGGTTTTATTTCGTAATTCTGTGGAAAATTAGCGATATTACAACAAAAAGTTACCATACGATTGCTCCAACTTGGCGACTCTCCACACAATAGCACACGCAGGCTTGGAATGTAGTACGAATCTAGCAAACAATCCCTGAACCGAGTTAACAACAATTTGTAGTTTTTAGTCGTATTGTGAAAACCGCTTCATTTGCCTATTTTACTTGTAAATCGATTGATTAGCTCTCTGATTTAGCTCGATCGATTTGTAAATCGATCGCGCATATGCGAGTAGATGTGCAGATTAGGCGATCGTTTTATGGAAGCCAAGTCGATATAGCCGCGCTTGGAGCAGAATGCCCACCTTTTACTGGACAATCGAGCACTCAAGTGATGCATCTAGATCACGATCGATTTCAGCCCTGATTTGTACTCTGATTAATTAGGAAGATGAGATCTAATAAGGGGTTGCTACAGATGGGCGGTTTAGCCTGTTCTCACAATAATTGCAAAGAGTTAAACCTGTAGCAAATAACCCCTGGGTTGCAGAGTCTGTAAGAATTCGTAGCTTTAAGAAGTACTTGCTTAAGTTAATGAATACCCGCTTTTGGAAATAAAAGTACTTCTCTGTCCCACCAATTTATAGGTAGTTTGGTTTTTTGTGTACCACCTAAATACGTTAGAATGATTTAATTGGATATAATTATTTGGGGTAAGGCTAGCATCAGGCCACCGTAAAATGGTTGGTGTGCGCGTAATCTACGTTTCGAGCCCAACAGCAGAACCTGCAGTCAAGATGCCAAGGACAGTCGGCGCGAAGGACATCTCGCCGAAAATACGCGTTGCGGTGGTGGTCTTCCTTACCACCTTAAGTAAGGAAGGCCGCCTCCGCTACGGGACCATCGTGCGGGCCAAGAGGCTGTGTTGCGGCCGTGCCGCTTTGCCATCGAGACTATCTGGGGTCTTCGGGGGGATCCAGCTGCGCTGGTGCAGCCTCGGTGGCCGTACCCACCCAAGTCGACGCGTCTCATCCCCAAGGAGGTGGGCGAGCGTGTTGCGGCCGTGCCGCTCTGCCAGCTGCAGACTCTGCGCGCTCTCGAGGCGGCATCCGCCATCCCAAGATCCATGCTGCACAGGCACCTCAAGTCCAAGGTCCTGCGGCGCTTCATATCGGTCCAACGTCACTTGCAACGACAGCGTCAACTATAGAAAATGGCTACAAGGCACTGACGTCTCAGATTCTTAATCAATAGAGCCACTTTTTTAAACTGAGTATTTATTATTTAATTGTGTATCTAAAACCTTGAAGATTGGTGATTGGATAAAATTATCATGTAATTTGACCGAAATCAGCATAACAGACAATAAAACCTCACATATTTGAGTGCCTAATTCGGAATGTTCCGCATGTTTCGGCCCTTGTTCAGGTGGGGAATGTGTTCTGTGCTTCAGTGCGGGCTAGGGCTTTTGGCTGAGGCACGATTTGTGCTTGTGATTTTCAAAACGTGTCCAAGTAAATTCCGGAGGACTTTATCTGCTGACCTCCCGTCATTTTTGAATCACCACCAAGCACATGTACCGAGTCCTCTCGCTAGTGCGTGAGCTAGCTGTAATTAAACGGCAGGCCCTAGCGTGAGGACACTTGGGCATTCAACAACACCTCGTAGACTAGCCACTGGATGCACATATAAAGCATTTCGACGTTGCCATCGCCCACGGCAACGCACAGAAAGCATGGTTGTCGAGCACTTTGTCGGGCTTCCTACGGGCTTCCTGACTCGGACTCTGATTGGCGTAGAACCTGCCTTGTCCTTGCCCGTGATTCCTATCACTAAAACTACGTTGCTATTACTCTTTATTAAGTATTTTTCCAGGATTTCACGATTAAACGAAGTGCTTATGATACGCATCCGCTGAAGCAAACTTTACTGCTGGGTGGTGCTTGTCACTATCTCGTGCGTGCTAACCCATTATCTGCATATTGCATGATGGGTTGCGCTTCGAATGTTGTAAAGCTTAGTACATGTACACAGTACATGTACATGTAACGGGGAGTGGACTAACTACCGGTAAGACCAGCAAACGCCACTCCTTTTGCGAAGTTTGACCACTGGCCACACGATGACTAGTTACACGGACTAAGCTTAATAGATGTTACCAGCATTCTGACCCATCGCAAGCCAGTACGTGGGATCCCTAAATGTGTCGGCTCTAATGCCGTCTCCAAACTAGCTCATCGCGAATATCTGTCAGTTTATTACAGCATCGGCAGCTACACCTTGCTCAGGTTACCTACCTCCCATGCGCCAATTACTCGACTTTTAACGTACGCTATCTACATATAGTGTATCGCCATGGCAGCTAATCAACATGTTCCTGCAGTTGTGGAAATGTTTTTCACTTTATTCTAATCTATCTCAGCTGCTGGATCAAGTGGTGCTTATCACCGCTGCGTGTAGTTTTGAGCATTTCACTACTCCAATCTCTGTGCGTGCCGAAAGAATGCCCGAGAAAAATGCAGTACAAGTAAACCAAATATCTACTTGCTTAAAAATGATTGCAAATTCAAGACATGTTACTTCTGCCCTTGTGGGTTGCCTATTTCACTACGCGTAACATTCCTGCGAAGTAGGTTTGCTAAACGTCTATCTTTATCAACTGCGTCTTGGTGATTTGGACATCTGCAGTGAACTTTTCGAGTGCAAGGAGAGCATGTCGAGAAGTAACGTGAGAAAGTAACAGATAGTTTTGCTGCGGTTTGCTTGCACTCGATCTTCAAAAAACAGGGCTGGTAAAACCGGTTGATTTATTGAAAAGCCATTTACGTCTTTGGTTTTACCTTGGTTTTAACAAATACAATCTAGTTTTTATTGATCGAGTACGCTTCGTTGGTAATTATCCGTGATTCTTTTGTGTTCATGTTTCCTATGCAAGGCACATTCCCAGTTTTCTGTGGATGGATTATCGAAACGAGGAGAATTTTTTTGAAAGAGCTTTGATATGCTCTCGTATTCTTATTCCAACATCGATAGCTTTGTGCAGGCTAATCGCATCATTAACTCTGTTTTTACTGGGATAGGAAGCGACGAAGTACTGATAGCCCAGCCCAAACAGGATTAATTCGGGCGATGTCCCCCCGTCCAATCGACACCGGTGATGAACCGGTAACGTCTTTAGGTCAATTTACAGTAAGTGATGTCTATTGACCGAGTGTTTTAGACTTCTCAAGAATGATGGAGGCTGGTCCAGTTCATTTGCAAATTCGTCGAGCGTTGATTTTGCTCTGAAATCGGTTGTACGTCGTGACCATAGCGGCGATACATTGTCGGGCAGATTCTGCGGCTGCGAGGCAGGCGCAGGAGATGCCCGTGGAGCGTGCGGATTGAGTTTATCAATGGCGATCAAAGGTGAGTTAACCAATCCTATCCCAGCCTTCGCGAAGCCCTAGTAGGTTTATCACATATAAACTTCTTTTATTCTCATTAGTCGGTGTCTCCAATAGTTAAAGTTGATACTTCTCTCGCCGGAATTTCTACAGGGAGAATGACTCAGCGGTCATTATCGTGCCGCAAAACCTTATTTTCCTTAGTGTAATCGTCGTCGCTATCAACATCTCTTTCCGTCATTGTTATTAATATTAAGTAGCACTACAAGTTTTCAGAGGAAAACGTGACAAGCAATGTTGTTCTTCGTACCTAAACTTCAACAACTTCCCAGTAAAACCTATCGGTGCTTTTCGGAGGTAGGCAGGTTTTACTATAAAAGTTAAAGTAAAACTAATACTTAAGCCCGTCGTACCAGCCCTACCAGGAAACGACAACCAGTGAATCCAGAGTCTCCTGTTGTACTTTATACCCCACTGCGTGCACACGAAAGGAAGTTGCTGTTTAACCCAACCACTCCCGAATGCTCCCTCCATACCGTAGCACTTGATGCCTGCATCTCCCCCACCTTTCCCCCCTCTCTTTTCATTAATTTTTGAAAAGGCACTATTGTTGCTGTTGCCCTACGACTCCCGGAGCAGTGCTCCGGTAGCCTATTGTGCTTTGCAAAGTTTATGACACTCTGGACTGTAACTCGTACGACTTATCGAGCACGACTTATCATAAATCGTACTCGAGTCCGAATTCCTGTAAGTCGTGGATGGTCGGTCAATCAGCACTAAGTACTGTAGTGCACATGTGCCATCTCCTGCATGATCTAGCACATCAAGTACGGATTAGCATCCTTTTGGCACTTTTAGAAAGTGCCATTTCTGAGCCAAATCGATTTCGAAACACGATCGCATTCAAAGCCACTACGATTTACCGCTAAGTACGAACACTAGTTAGTGCACTACCGAATTTGTTTTGTAGAGGGATACACCCACCCACACCTTCTACGAGCCCTGGGGAGAGCCAGGCTCCTGGGCTCTTGGGTGAAGCCAAAATTTCGCGAGCTCGGGCTCCTGGGCTCTTGAGTTCAATAGGTTAAGTGAAACTAGCCCTCCAGAACTGTGAGCCCTCGTTAAGGGCTCCCCCCTCACCTGTGCTAAATATCTGGCTGATGATTGGCCGCCATTGAAGTATCTACAGGTTCTAACCTGAAAAGGCATAGGAAAGAGGGCTTCTCGGTGAGGGGAAAG